AGATTACTGGTACGTGTGTTTTCACGTAGGGCTACAGTCTGTTTAGCTGAACATTTCTCATCATAAGAAGCAGGGGCACCATTCTGAGCATAAGCACCAACTGATATAGCATATATACTCTGGGAATAACCATCAGCTGCACAAGTGTCAAACTCAAACCCTCCTCCATTTCCAGCAGCAAATGTAACAATGTTCCCCCTACCATTTCTCCCCTATTGTAATTAATTATAATTATTTGTAAAATTTATGCATTCTTTGTTGCAATATTCTTTCCTACCATTTCAGCTCCTTCTTTCAATGCTAGTGATGACAGGTATCCTGGCCCACCAATAGTGAAACCCGAATCAGGTGGTCCCCAACTGTTACTGTAAATATCAATATTGTCACGAGAATAACTGAGAGCAGATGAAACAGTTATATCTGTGATATCTCCTCCCAATAAACGAAGACCTGTTATAATTAGATAGGTAATGAATGGATAAAGCATATGAATTCAATCCCCTTACCTGCCACAGAGGCATTATAAGCTACACCTACTCCACAAACATTATTATCCCGGGCCATGACAATTTCACCAGCACAAGCAGTTCCATGAGACGATCCACTTGGAGGAGAAGGATCACTAATATTTTCATTAAAATTATAACTGGAAGCTGACACCTACAAGTATATCAAAATAAAAAGAGGGAGAGGGGGGAGATGAAAATTAAAATATATAAACTAAACAAAATGTATTTTATCGGTAACTAACAAAATAATATTTATGATAAAATATTTATAATAATAATAAATAATATTTAGTACTAATTAAGTTAATTTATAAATACTGTATAGCTGGAAAAGTTTGAGGGAATTATATTTTTGCAATTTTAAAAACCAATATAGCAAAATTTGATATTTGTGGAATTTAATTTTGTTGGTGTAGGAGTGAACTGTTGATACATCCATTACCTATAATGCTTTGTGGAATTAAATTATGTGCTTTTATGACGAACGGCAAACAGCAAAATTGAATTCCAGCAAACATTTCCAGCTATACGGTAATCAAAATATTTAGCATAACTTGGCAAGCTTGTAAGTCCATTCATAAAATTGATTATCTCAATGCTCACTTACATAGTTATTCCTCAGGTCAGTATGATTATGTTGCACTCCTACACAAAAATGACTAATGTGAGTACTAGAACAACTATATCATCTTACCATCATCCACGACACCAACTAATATTCCATTTCCAGTATATCCTTGTATCCATGCTGGTTCTGCATTCAGATCAAGGTAAAGGTTTGTCTCATTAGTCTGACCAGTATTGTTCTACAATAAAAATTCCAGCTCTGAATAATCTCAGTCAACTTTCACTCCAATTGATAATGCACTATCTATTACTCATGATACTTCACTCCAATTGATCCTATCTATTATACTATTTATGATGTTACTTACAACTGTCCACTGACTACACCACAGTGGATCTGTCTGACATGTTGGTTGAATATACTTCTTTTCCCAGTTGTGCAAACTCTGCTGCTGTACATACCCTACCTACATGAATACGTAGTTATACTCTGATACAGTACATGTATATGTACTCAAGTATAAAAAAAGGATATTAACTATTAATAACAATAATTACAAGCATGATATGAGACCAATGGAATGTATGTAGCATACTAATGAAAACACATTCCAGTAAAAAGGGTACATAAAAACATCCACTTTCTATGAAATGAGAGTAACGAGGAAAAGAAAGAGGAAATTAAAGAGAGGAAAATAAATGAAATAATGAGCACAAGAAATGAATAATATTATAATAAGATAAACACATAAGATAATAGTACTCATGAGATTTAACGCATACAGCATAGTCCAGTAATAATAAAATGCCACATGATAGCTTTGCCATTATAAGTAAGGAAAGAAGAAGTGTCAAATTATACCACACAAATAATCAAACAAAATTACTTTCTTTGCGCTAAACCAAAATGTATTGGTACATGAGCAGAGCTATAAAATCTGCCGACTAATTTCTATATATATCCATTGTAAATGCAGTTAGAGCAGGAAGAACAAATAAACAAATATTTGTAAAGATCTGCAGATAATTATTTTGCTGCCAGCAAAACAGCAACATGTTGCCAAGCATAGAACAGCTTCTTGACAACATTTTGCAACAGGTAGCTGCAAAATTTTCTAGCAACATGTTGTCTAGTGTATGCTTGGCTTCACCTTTATCTCCGACTTGAGGGCAGTTGTCATGTATTGCACTTCAGTACCAGATTTAATGTTTTCATTAATGTTGTGAATAGAGGAGCTCATTTTGAAATGATAAATATTAGCAAAGGCACCAACCTGGCAATGATAACAATTAAAATATTTCATTAAGTGTTATTTATCTCTTACTCTTCCCATGTTAGTGAAGCCATGTCTCTCTGCAATCTCATTAGCAGCTTCAATTCCACCATGAACCTCAACAGCCCAGCTATCAGTGAGGACTGCTACTGGCAGTTGGGCCTGCCCTTCAATGTATGCACTAATATCAGCAGCAACAATACTGAGAGTAAGAGTTAGAGCTAACAAAAACAATGAGGAGGTCATCTTCTCCGACAATACCTGCACTCTGCGGAATTATGTTGTTTTATATACAACCACATTGATCTAGTTCATTGTCACACCCACTCACTTGATTAAACATACAAAATTACTGGAATGGATTATTATGCTGATTTACTGCTTATAATAACAAGTCAGTGTTTGCTATAAGGACTGTATGACTTAGTATAAGAATGTTCTGTCACCACAAATTCTACATATTACTGATGATATCATTTATACAAAGGAGAACATAACCAATAGAAGCTACAACTTCTAACACATAAATTTAAAGGTGAATTATAGCTATTAGTTCCTTTTTCCACGAGGTTTTCTACCATGCATACCCATTGTTCTCTTTCCACGTCCACCAGTTGTCATTGCCCCTCCCCTCACATTTTTCCTTGCACCCTTGCGTTTATTTATCTGTCGCCTTTCCTTCATAAAATTAATTTTTTGTCTCTTGCGAAGGATCTCGTTCACGCTTTTAATCTCGCTCTTTACCCTCCCCCCTGACCCTCCTGCCCCTCTGGTTGACTGACGAGGATTAAATCGTCCTTTTCTTCTCGTAAATCCTTTTAATAAGTGACACATTAATTAGAATAACTTATAATCTTACTATCAGGTGGAGTTTCGCTATCCATGGAATTACCTTCAACTTTGTTCTTTGTCTTCCAAGTTTGATATCTAAAGAGAGAAATATATTCACCTTCTTTAATTCACCCCCTCTCTCTCTTGTTCTTCTTACAATCCTGTTTTATATGTTGAGGATATCCACCTTCCACTTTCTGTCTTAATCTTTTTGGTGCTGCTCTCTTTTCCAGACTCTGTCACAAACCTCTTTCTCTTTCTATCCCTAAAACAATCAAACAATCAAATCTTCAATTACTCCTAATTCTTCTCTTTTCTTCCTTTGATTTTCTCTCCCTCCCTCCCTCTCTATATATATTATTACCATTTTCTTATTCTTTTTGCTTTTTGCATGTCATTATTCTCATCTCCTGTCAAATCAAGTACAGCACTTGAAGCTGCTTCTTCAAAATGATCAATTGATAGACTGAAATAGAAAGAATTATTAATACACTTGTCAGTGAAACAGTAAAACAATAATAATAGTATCATTGTTATATTTAATCATAAAAATACTTGTCCCTTCTCTTTCAATGATAATTGTCATACCCTTTCTCTGTGTGATGATCTGATGGTTTATAATTAATGTAAGGCTGTGGAGCTGTCACTGATTCTGTAATAAATTTAAAAAATACATGCAATTATCACAAGAAATCTAAAAAAAATATTATATGTATGTAGGTTTAAAATTTAGTGGCTAGGTTACTAGAAAAAATAGGTTGCATAAAACATGTTTATGTATCAGAAAATGAGAACCATTTTAAAAAAATTGCAACAAAACCAATTTTGTACATGTATGTCACATGTACCAAGAGTAGATTACCGTATGGCGGGTATATTTTGTCTGGAACAATGTTCGTTCTAGAAATTTTCGTTCGTTTTATCTTCGTTCTGAGCAGCCATTTTGCACACGTGGCATTGAGGAAACGCCCTTTTCGTTGGAAATGTTCATTCCACAAGGAATGAGAACAAAATTAAACTCGAATGGAATATACCCGCTATACGGTATCTACTCTCACCATACTTTATCCAATCTAAGACCCACAATAGCCTTATCTTATAAGCTCAGCTTGATTTAAGTATTCTGAAGGGAGAGAATCCTTTGGAGGACTCTTCCTGATTTTTTACCCATGGACTTTCAGTAGGGCTAGGCAAATTATGCTTTACTTTTTACCTATTATGGTTTTAGGCACTGCTCCAAATTCCATCCTAATATGCTTTGAAATGGATCCAATTATGCTCATTATTATGCTCATGCTTTAAGCTTGACTCAAATATCAACTATCAAGTTACATACACGCACATGCATATGTTATAATTGTAATATTGTAATAATGCCAGCATCTGAAAATGTTTCCAGTGACTTTGAGTCACTGGAAAATAGAATAGTCTGAGTCATTGGACTCACCACGCTTGCATAGGCAGGTACTAAGCAATTGGGTTGATAGTACTTGTACCACTCGCCATATTGAATTGAAATCATGTGGGGCCCAGAAATTTTTGACCCATTATGCTCCAAATTATGCCAGCATAATTTGCCTAGCCCTGCCTTTCAGGACAAAACTGTCCTGAGCAAAAGGTTAAAGTTCACGGGATCCCCTCTTTGAGGGATAAACCTGATCCTCATATACCATGGTGTATGAGGAATTTCACTGGTGTATCATATATACAGTATTACACCACTGTGTGGCCCTTTCATCTTATGGCTTCCTATAGTACAAGTACATACATGTATACATGTACATGAATATGTACATGCATACATGTGCATGCAAGAGTAGATTATCCACTCTTGCATGTGTACATACGTGTAGGTATGCATCTAATAAAAAATTATTAAAATGAAGAATTCTCTCCTAGTGATTATTGCCAGAATTAGGCCAAAATCCCTGTACTGGGTCTTTGGTCTGATTTTGAAGCAAATAAGAAATTTTAAATCTAATTTTAGCTGGAATCAGCTCATAGTGTATCAAAAAATGGACAAGTAGCTAAACTAGCATCATGGGCAGTACATATTGTAATTTTTATTTTTGATACGATTTTTTCAAACTTCTTACTTTTTGATTTTTTCTTATATTCTTCAAAAGTTTGTAATCCTTTCAAATCATCAGCCATTGACTCACTGTCCCTTCTCTCTTCTCCTTTCTCTCTCTCCTCCTCCTTCTTCTCTTCTTTCTTCCTTTGATTTGATTTCTCTCTAAGCGTCATCACCACTTGATCATACTTGGCCCTGCATTTACAGTACCTCAAACTCTCATTCTCAGGTTTCCATACCCATACCTCTTCGAGAGCATCACTTTCTTAGCCACACCTTTTGTGGTTGAGTTGACTTCAAATATCGTCTGAAAATTAAGTCAAAATATCAACGTCTTTACAATTAAAACAATTACAATGTAATAGTAAAAAATAATAATAAAATCACATGTAATATTCACTTGCAATGGTTTGTAAGTCTTCAATGCACTTAACAATTCTCCTCTCTCCACTTGAGAAGTCAAGCAATGACTCCCTGTTTTAAAAGCCACACCCATTAATTACCACACCCCTTATTTAATTACCAAAGAGTGGGTGGGGATGGAGTGAGGTAGCAAGTTCTTTTGCTCTTCGGATTGACTCCGGAGATGAGAGATTACGAGACTTGATGTAATGCTTCATACCGTTCTCAGCAACTTTTCTAAGAGAAACCTACAGAAGAGGAAGAGAAAGGAAGAGAGGAGAAAAATGGCAGAGAAAGAGAAAAAAAAGAGAGGGGGAAAGGAGTACAATGTACATGTCAATAATTATTAGCTAGTTACCAATTCTTCATTATTGTTGTGAAGTTTAATCAAGAGCTCATCTTCATCTTCAATGGCAATATGGGGAACAGACCCATACACACCATCACACTCTATACAATAATAACAACAAAACATTAAAATACTGTATCCCTTCAACCATCTCTCCCTACCTCTCCCACTCAATCACACACAAATAAAAGAATAATATATAAAAAGAATCAGTCCCACTTCTTAATCTCTCACTCTCTCCCTCCCCCCTCTCTCTCCCTCCCTCCCTCTCTCTCTCTCCTTACTGGAATGGCTCTCAGTGATTATATTTCTTCCCAGGAACAAGTGAAGGTCAACAACATAAGCTCCTTCATCAGGAGACACTAGAGAATAGGCTGTACCTGCTCTCCCTGCCCTAGCCACCCTACCTGTAATGGAATAAAACTATCATGCAAATGAATAAACAATAATATACATGTAATACATTATTCAAAGATTATCATTCCATCATTTTGCTTCCACCATTTCTGTTGGTCTTTTGCTGTTAACTGCAAAGCTCCACTCATTCAACCGTGTATTGCTTTAAGTTTCAGCATTCTCATGATTCTCTTGAGTAAGCAACATGCTCCCTTCCATAGGAAACATTGCTAATCAAGACTATTGCAAACATTGCAAACAATAGTAGTCACTGTTTTTTTATAGTAAAGCATAATACAGGGCCAATGCCCATCCAAAAATTTGTAACTTATAAAGCTAAACTATATAATGCCTACTGAAGAATGGTTGTTATAAATGGTATAAATGTTGTCATATCATCGTGGGTCCAAATTATTAAATTTACTTCCTGTGATGTCATAACCCAATTTATTATCAGAAACTATTAACAATGATTCTCTCTCCTCTCTCTCTCTAGGGCTAGGCAAATTATGTTTCAATTTTTGCCTAATATGCTTTTAGGCACTGCTCCAAATTCCATCTTATTATGCTTTGAAATGAATCCAATTATGCCAATTATTATGCTCATAGTTTAAGCTTTACTCAAATATCAACTAATCAAGTTACATGTGCATACATCTGTTATAATTATAATATTGCAATAATACAAAATGTTTCCAGTGACTTTGAATCGCTCCAAAATAGAACAACCTATGTCACTGGATTCATCATGCTTGAGTAGGTGGGTATTAAGCAGTTGGGTTGTTGTACTACTAGTACTAACTTGTACCACTTCCTATAATGAATTGAAATTGTTTGGTCAGGGGTATAGTGCCAGAAACTTTTGACCCATTATGCTCCCATTATGCCAGCATAATAACTTGCCCTATTATGCTCCAAATTATGCTAGCATAATTTGCCTAGCCCTATCTCTCTCTCTCTAAGCGCGTTTTGTGTTTCTTACCAACTCTGTGTACAAACAGCTTTGCCTTTGAAGGAAAATGATAATTGATGACATTATCTAAGAGTGGAATGTCTATACCACGAGCCTGAGAGAGAGAGAGAGAGGAGGGGGAAGGAATAACTTTAGCAGGTAAGAAAAACAGCTTACAGCAATATCAGTAACCAGTAGGACATTTGTCTTCTTATAAAGAAATTTACCAATTGAAATCTTTCGAGCTGCAAAAACACAATATAACCTTTATCCCCTCTCTTCCTCTCTCCTCTCTAATTCTATTCCTCTCTCCCCTCCTCTCCTACCTGTCTGATCCAATGATCCATACACATAAGAGGAGTCAATCCCAGCACTGGACAGTATTTCCTTGAGATACTCCACGTGATGTTTAGTGGCTACAAATACGACCGACTGTTGATTAGGGGGTATCACTGAACGCAACAAATAAAGAAGAACAGCTACAAAATATGAGACGATTATTATAAAATGCACTACAATAAAATTCATTTCACATTCACATCAAATTAATAGAACCATCTACGTGTGTAGTACAGCAAATTTAATTTTAAGTGTGTACCCAATAAAAAAATGAGGTTTAGTTTTGTAATGGCCCCAAGTGAAAGTCAATGGAGATGTTGTATTTAACTAGTACTATACATGTACATGTATATTACATGTTCAGATGTATAATTAAAGATAAATACAGTAATGGCGTGAAAACTGACCGGTCTTATCATCAGATCTACAACTAAGGAAAGATAGCGAGAGTTGGTTACTCAATTTAGAGTCAACATCAAGTCGGATAAGGACTGGATCAGTTAAACCTGAAACATTTTAATATTAAAATGTACACGTGTATTGGACTACCTACCTGCTTTAGCAAAGTCAACTAACATCTTTGGGAGTGTTGCTGAAAACAAAAGTGTCTGCCTAAAAGAATAAAGATAAAAAAATAATAAAAGTAAGCGAGTAAAGGCCATCAACCAGAATTTGATAAACAAAGAGTATGAGCTCATACCGTATAGCGCTTTATTTTCGAGGAGCTAAACTTTCACTATTTTCGAGGTTAGCATGAAACCGCGAAATTAAAGATCCACAAAAATTTCAATTGCAATTAAAGGTGTGGCACTAACATTGCGAATCCGCAAAAATTATTTCCGCAAAAAAAATTGATTTTTATCAATCCGCAAAATTTTAGCTCCACAAAATTAAAGCGCTATACGGTACATCCATTGGGCATTAATGTACATCACATTCACATACATATAACAAAGGTATTAGTGAAAGAGGCTAAGAGTGATATAGGACTCTGGCTGCATGTAATGTGAATGTACATGTATGTACAAGTACCGTTGTTCTGGTAGTTTGTGTATAATCTCATGGAGCTGCTCACTGAATCCCATTTCAAATAACCTGTCAGCCTCATCAAACACAACATACTCAACATGAAGCAACTTCATGTCCATCTCCAGCAGCAAGTGTAGGAACCTTCCAGGAGTTGCTATTATACTAAGAGAATAAAAAGAATAATAATAATAATAATTCTTTATTTTTAATTATGAGAAATGTACATACCGTATAGCCACAAAGTTTCGAGGCAATAAACTTTCGCGAATCAGGCCACAAGTTTTTTTTTCGCAAATTAACTTTCGCGGTTCTTATTTTTAAGCACACGTGTTTATGGGCAATACGGATAATTTTACGGAATTAACTTTCGCGAATACGGAAAATCAGCAAAAACAGCGAAAGCTGTACCCTCGAAATTAAGCGGCTATACGGTATTATTGCAACTAATTGTGAATGCAAAACTCCCTTTCTTACATGTCAGGATTTTCATGTATTGTAGAAAACTGATCTTCAATCCTAAACGCATAAAAACATTAATAATTAACATGTTACATGTATGAATTATACATAATAATAAAAAATTACCTGTCTCCTCCTAATATTACAGCTGCTCTCAATCCAGTAAAACGCCCAAGCTAAAAAAATTTAATTAATATTATTGTAATTATTACAATAATTAATGTACTTCTTTTGTGAATTTCATTGTCTGCAGAGCCAGTTCCCTTGTAGGGGATAATATCAGACCCCTTACACCAGACACCTAACAATTAAATATTACAATCTTTATATCTTTATTACTTTCTTTTCTCCCTTACCTGTGGCGAGTGTGATTTGAGTCTTTCAAAGAGCGGAATCAGAAAAGCTGCCGTTTTCCCAGAGCCAGTCCTTGCCATAGCCACAACATCCTTTCCATCCATTATCAAAGGAATAGTCTAAGAGCCAAGTAAGGGCTGAGAGGAGGTAAGGAGTAACTGACTTTTCTTTGTATTGGGGTAGGTACACGATATCCTTTCTTCATGACACCTTTATATACAGTATGACTCAATCCTAATGAGAGGGAGAGAGAGGGGAGGGAGGCAAACAATGTTAAATAACATGTACAAGTACAAAACTTGTGATTAAAAATTGACTGTGTAAAAGTATTGTAAAATAAATAAAAATCAAACAAAAACTCAGATAGCCCATTCTTATAAAAATCAGTGATGGTGTACATGTACATACCCATTGACTGGAACCCGCCACTCCTTTTCTTCTTCTTGTTCTGTTGTAGGACTAAACTCCTAGTGAATCCTCCTCCTCCTTCAGCCTCATTATCATCATCAGAATACTCTTCATCTCCCTCTCCATCAGTTTCTTCTTCCCAATCCTTTTCTTTAGAATCAGACATGTTGACAGCACGTGGGTGATGTGGGAGTGGTCGTGTGGTTTATTAAGAGGTGTGTCACCGGAATTAGACAGGCCAGGGCTGCTCTGCGAGTTTGCTGTGGGTTTCGTGCAAGATTGCCAAGATACATACGAGGCGATGGCTAGCTCTACTGTCAGACAGAGATCAGTGGGAGAGGAGCTAAAAGATAAAAGAAAAGGTAAAGCCATACTTTTTTGGCATGTCCTGAAATTAATAAGCAGCTTAGGCTGTATATATATAATCTTGAAAAGATGCATAAAAACTGTACTTTACTCATTAAACTAAGAACTTTTTTGTTTTGATTTATTTGACAAGCACTACATAAATTAGCTTTTATTAATAATGTATTGTGCTAAATATTTGCAGTAATGATCATCAATTAAATTTTACTTTACAGCATACTCTAAATCCAATGTCCTTTTTTATTTAGTGTGTGTTGTATGCTAATCACTGCTAACAATTATTAATTGAATTATAGAGCAGCGTCACTTAAAGAAGATCAAGGACGATGCTGAAACAAAGCGAAAAAGAAAAATAATATTGTGGATACTAGCACTCACAGTTCTCCTCTCCCTCTCTGTCTATTATTATAATTATAAACCCTCCAAGGGAAGGCAGCAGACACCTTCTCCCATCCCCCAACAGGCTCCATCATCCGGTATCAATGACGCAAAGTCAAGCAATCAGTCTACTACAAAGAGCGAACCATCTTCAAAAAAGTCTCCATCAACGAAAGAACAATTGTCTAAATCGAAGTCTAAAAAGAATAAAAGTTCGTCCGAAAAAGTCTCGTCCAAGAAAGAGAAAGCCTTGCCCAAAAAAGAGAAGGCCTCACCCAAAAAAGAGAAGGCCTCGCCTACAAAATCTCAGAAATCAGGCCCAGCTTCGAAAAGCAGGGAAGAGCTTTTAAAGACGAAAATCAGCGACTTACCAATCCTCCGTCGCCCCGTCCCCCCCAGCGACCCCGACCGACCACTTATAATGGAAATACTCGAGGCAGACGACTATTTAAAGGGAGGCTACTACTCTGAGGCACTCGATAAATTCAAAAAGGTTCTAAAACGTTTTAAGCAGAGTCCCCGAGGTCTCTTAGGCAAGGCTCTTGCTTTAGAAGGACTGGGAAAGACCAAAGGAAGCATCAAGTACTTGGATAAAGCTATTGACATTTACTATCAAATATCATTTGAGGCGAGCTCGTTGGCAAATGATGATATAAAATTAGCAGCGCTAATGGGACTAGCTGATTGCGCAGAGAGACGAGAGAAGACGACCATGTTGATTAAAGCGTTGAAAAAAGCAGTTGTAATGGAACCAATGCACGAGGTATATGCCACTAAACTAGCCCAAGCATACATGAAAGGAGGACAGATGGAGGAGGCAGAGAAACTCCTTGAGGACGTCATTAATAAATGGCCAGGGAACTCTCTCGCCCACGCTAATCTTGGATACCTTCATTATAAAGGTGGGCGGTTTGATAAAGCAATGCCTCATCTTGTGAAAGGGCTGTCTGAAAATAGAGAGATACAAAAGAATCCAAAGTTTTATTTATATACCGGAGAGACTCTCTCAAGATTGGACAAGACTGAAGAGGTAGGATGTAATAATTATTTTTTACATGCTGAATAGTGCATGGCCACAAATTTGCCAAATTTGTGACAAAAAATTTTTAGAAATTCACCAAAATCTTACCTCTCCAAAATTATACTCTCCTCTCTCTCCTCCTCCTCCTCCTCTTATTCTTCAAGGCTGGTTTAGTATATGCTGAAGGTGTTGCTAGAGGTTTCTTTCCATCAGTTGATCAGAGATCACTGTACAATGAGCCTGACCTTGAAGCCAGGCCATGGTGGAAAGTGAACGAAGTGGGAGAGCAAGTCCTAGTTGAATTAGAAAAGATGGCACCTGTCCTGAAAAGGTACTATAATTGTTGCACTGTAGAATTTATTGTTAATTTTTGCGTGGAAAAGGACCTGGATATTGTCATGCTCTTGTACAATGTATCTCCTACTTAGCAAATCAATTCACATGTAATGCATCAGTTTCTTAAAAACTTATTATAAATTTATGCACGTACATGTACATCAAATCAAGAACCCATTGTGTTTAAAAGTACTTATATATATTTGTTTTAAATTTTTTGAATTCTTATTTACTTCTTTTTCTCTTTTTACACCCACCAGTGAGTTAATGTCAGCTATAGAGACTAATGCTGATATGTTCTCTGATGCTAATCAGACACAGATCATCCTCATATCAAAAGGAAAGTGGAACAAGAGACCCTGTACAGTCCTACCCACTCTCTGCCAGCTCCTCCATAAAATGCCTTCAGCTACTAAATGTAGGAGAGGAGAGGTAAGCTTTTATTATGACTATATAGTAGTACAGATTTTGAAGTAACTTTAAAAATTTGTAAAAAAAATCCAAACTTGATTGGAATCAGCTCAAACTTTCTATGTAACATAAGACCATGTATATGTATCAGAAAAAGTTATAAAAATGGAGAATTCTCTCCTATCCATTTTTGGCGAAATTTGGCCAGAGTCACTGTACTATAGTACAGGGACTTTGGCCTGATTTTGGAGCAACTTAAAAATTTTGTAAAAAATCCAAACTTGATCGGAATCAGTTCAAACTTTCTACACGACATAAGAACATGTATATGTATCAGATAAAATTATAAAAATGAAGAATTCTCTCCTATCCATTTTTGGCGAAATTTGGCCAGAGTCACTGTACTATAGTACAGGGACTTTGGCCCAATTTTGGAGCAACTTAAAAATTTTGTAAAAAATCCAAACTTGATCGGAATCAGTTCAAACTTTCTACACAACATAAGAACATGTATATGTATCAGATAGAATTATAAAAATGAAGAATTCTCTCCTATCCATTTTTGGTGAAATATGGCCAGAGTCACTGTACTATAGTACAGGGACTTTTGCCCGATTTTGGAGCAACTTTAAAATTTTGTAAAAAAAATCCAAACTTGATCGGAATTAGTTCAAACTTTCTACACGACATGAGAACATGTAAATGTATCAGATAAAATTATAAAATAGACAATTTTCTCTTCGTCATTTTTGGCAAAATTTGGCCAAATCCCTGTACTATAGTACAGTGTCTTTGGCCTGATTTCGGAGCAGATAAAAAATTTGTGAAACATCCAATTGTGATCAGAATCAGTGCAAACTTTCCATGCAATCAATTTTTGAAGTGTGATAAAATTTTTTTAAAGCATAATACATTAAGTATATTACCTATGCATATACTAATATTAAATTTTTTCTTGTAGACAAAGGTATTACTAATCCCAGGCCCAGTTCATATTTCGTCTCACATTGGGCTCACCAACACAAATTTAAGAGCACTCCTTCCTCTAAACTTATCTGGCCCATTAAAAATAAGAATGAACAAAGACACAAGGTACAGTACATGTACATGTACATCTCTTCCACCCACTCATGTGACTATCATGTGACTATCATAGGGAGCTAAGAGAAGGACTGGTCTCAGTCATAGATGACTCGTTTGAACAGGAAATGCTGTACACTGGAAAGGGACAGAGTCTCATTCTTACGGTTGATTTCTGGCACCCAGACTTACCAGAAACAAAGAGAAAAAAATTATCGACACTGTAATAATAATAATATTAATAAACTTTATATTCGTAACATTTTATGATTTTTAGAATAAATATAATAATTATTATTATTTCATTGGTATACTAAGGAACATTGTTTCTTTAAATACACATACACTAGAACTAGCATCCCATCAATCAGAATCATACGACTTGTTGTCACAACACAGCAGAGCCACACCCTGCCCTAAACTCTACCATGTCCCCACTTCTCTTCCATTTCTGCTCCTTCTCGTCGAACCTCTCCACACTCTTAAGCCTCAACTGTCCGTCGTACCCTCCTATAACATACACCTCGTTTTTAAACACAGTAGCGGCAGGCCACGCCCTAGAGTGAGTAAGCCTTGGAAACGACTCCCAAGTATTTGTGTCGACGTTGAATCTCTCAACTATGTCGTAGTAGGCCTGCCTGTGGCGGTCACGGCCGCCTATCGCGTAGAGGTAGCGACCGAGGACGGCCGTTGCGACACCGGAGCGAGGATGCTTCATACTGGGACACATGTACCATCTCTTCTCATTCGGATCGTAACATTCCATTGAGGAGTAATGGACTGCTCTGTCCTGCCCTCCGAGAACATATAACCTGTCATTAAAATACAATGAATAATAATAAAGACACATGTATAATAATAATTATGAAAATAAAAAAGGTTAAATACATGTACATGTGCTGTAAGCTCAGTTGGTCTACTCATGTTGACAAAGTTAATGAGTAAAAAAATAATAATACATGTACAAAAGACTAGCAGTAGTAAATATTGAAGGGCGTTGTCCTGTTTAGGTTTAGACTTATGTTCATAATAATCAACAGCTCTTATTGAATCTGGGAGAGGATAATAAAGGAGATAAATAGTAGTGCTGAACAAATGATACTGTTTATGGGGAACTGATAATGCAAACATGCATGTAATTTGAACTAGATCTGTTTAATACATTACACGGTAACACAAGAAGGGACCATCCCTTTCTCATATATGTGCATGTACAATTTCTATACCGTACTAATATGAAATACATATTATTCTATTCACAAATACAATGTGCATTGTGCAGTAGACAATACCTTCCATCTAATGCAGCAGCTCCAGCCCCTGATCTAGCAGTGTGCATATCAGGGACTATAGACCATGTATTAGCAACTGGGTCATACTCCTCCACCGATTTATAGCAATACTGAGTGGTCTCACCACCTATTGCATATAACTTATCTATAAAGAGAGAGAGGGGGAGAGAGAGGGGAGAGAGAGAGGGAGAGAGAGAGGGGGGGGAGAGAGAGAGAGGAGAGAGAGAGGGAGAGAGAGAGAGAGAGAGAGAGGGAGAGAGAGGGGGGGAGAGAGAGAGAGGTACAATCAATACACAAAACTGACTCTCTCATTCCTTACCGTTCAATACAGCCACAGCTGCAAAAGAGCGAGCATACCTCATCTCGGCGACATTACTCCATGTGTTTTGAATCGGATCATAATACTCTACAGAGCTGAGGTAGAGGGTCCCTTCGTGTGAGAACTTTGTTTCACATTCGCCACCCACAGCATACAACCGACCATCAATGGAACCAGCAGATACTGCAGTTCGGACCTAAAGAAAAAAAAATTAGATCAAATCTTAAAAAAATTAAGAGCTCAGGTAAAAAGTGATTAATAAATATACACGTGTAGTTGGAGCCTTGAATTATTTACTGCTTATTCCAATCCTCCCCCCCTCTCTCTCTCCTCTTTATTCTTACTTGTTTCATGCATGGTAGTTCTTCCCATCTGTCATCCTCAGTTACATATCTCTCTGCAGTGTTGAGGCACTTCTGCGAGTTCCTTCCTCCAATGGTGTATATGGTAGCTATGGGAGAGCGTGGCTTGAGTGAGAGGCTCGTGAAGTCCAGACCCATGAGGTACCCACGCATGTAGGCCTGACACTCACGACTCCTCTATAAAAATATGCAGTAAAACTCAGGATATTGCTACAGGATACTTAGGTTACTAGAACAGTAAAACTCTGGATATTACTACAGGATACTTAGGTTACTAGAACAGTAATTTACAATAGGATAATATTACAATTGTTCCCTCATGTAGAGTACACACCGTACATGTACATTTAAATAATTTACATGTACATGTACATTATTTACATGCATGTATATGTACTGTGAATAATAGTGTATGTGTACATGTACATGTATAACAATTAATTATTCTCATTCTCCAGCAACACTCACTTGAAACAGGCGATGATTAGTAAACACGTTCTCCCAGTGTTGCTTGGGCAGGAGGGGTATTCTAATGCAACCAAACAGGTCGTAAGCAAAAGGCGCCCTACCATCGATATCATAATCTATCCACCTCAGGAAGGCCGTGAAGACCTGGAGTTCATTCTCAACGTGAAGATGATCGTTTTCTAACAACTCGCATAAGATGTGGTGAGGGACGTCGAGAAACTCGTCCGTTTTCACAACGTCTGCAAATTTTCTGACGATAAATCGATTAGCTTTCTTGACTAGGTCGGGACAGGAGTGCATGTCGGCGAATTGTTTTATTCCGAGACAATTGGTGACGTCCATGTGATCGCTGAGGAACTCACAGCAGGCCGTTTTGAGGTCTCTTAGTTGAAGGATCCCGGCAGCAGGGAGGAGGTCTTGGACGTTCTCTGTTGTGACTTCAATCTCACCTGGAAAGTACAATAACAATAATAATTTTTAAAATAATAATAACAATAATCCCTTTCCATCTTAAATTCTATATTTTTTATATCTAAGTGTATTTTTCTACATCTAAGTGCATGCATTTTAACCTGTTTTATTTCTAATTATTGTACTTTTATAATAATAATTATTATTATCTGTTCTATTGTTTATTTTAAATTTATAATAATAATAATAATAATAATAATAATAATAATAATGAATAACAATAATAATGACATTGTAAATTATATGTACATATATACACATACACACACTCTTTCTTGACCTCTTTTACATCATTTACATGTACATTTCTTTACATTAATCATAGTATGTCATTTGGGCTCAAATTTTAACCTGAAACTATGGACAATTACATCCATTACATTTTCTGATACATGTACATGTATGTATCAAAGTATCAATCAACACCCATATATTGCTATGCAGAGAATTTGAGGTGATCCTAATCAAAAACTTTAGTATCCCATTAAAGTACAGGTACCTCCTATCGACTAACTCTCCTCCTTACTTTCTTACCAGTGTAAGCAAAGTCGATCAACAGTTCCATGGCCTGTGGCTCAATGTCCCTTAGCATGATCTCATCTTGGGTGCTCTCCTTCATCCCACAGGTGAACATTGCTCTTAGATACGGTGAGCAACTGGCCAGTACGACCCGATGGGCAGAGAAGGCGTGGTCTCCGATGCGAAACCTGATGTCCAGGAGCTGGTTGTCACGTCTTAGCTGATTCATGACAGTGAAGGAGGCGGAGCAGTGCTCCTTCATCTTGAAGAGGCGAGAGGTGGTGAGGTGATCTGGTTGTATGCCCTGTGCAATGTCGTGCTGGTTGCTGGCCATTTCAGTCTTTTAGAGTAAGAGTAATTTTTCCTTCTACCTAGCAAAAGAGAACATATCAAGACCCTACAATTTTAAGTACAGTATCTTACTTTATTATATAACTGCTTCTCGTGTGAGTAGACTCATTTAATACAATCTATTGACTAGAAAAGAAGAAATGAAAATGAAAAACAATAATGTTTACAAGGCCATATCACGTGATCTTTAACTATGCCACACCTTTACACGCCCACAAACACTGAGCTCCGGATTTCCCCGTTTTGTTTTCCGGGTTATCTGTTAGGCGTGGTGAATCAATTTTTAATTATTCAAAATGGCGGCTCCTAAGTTAACCTTTCTTCCTCAGGTAAAGCAGCTCTCTCCACGCGTCATGAGGGTACTAGGGCTCAATCCTGGTCACATGACTCTTCAAGGCACCAACACGTACATTGTTGGGACTGGAAGCAAGTATGACAGAATAACAATGATAAGATTTATTTTATATACATGTATATACCTATGTACTCTTGCTATGTATACACTGTAGTATTCATGATTACAGCCTTTAATTTTTATTTCTTTTAATTTATCGATTTATACATGAAATACTAACTAACTATGAGAATCATTATCTGGTTTTTAACTCCATTTAAATCATTTTAATCTGCACCTTCCCTTCCAGGCGTGTGCTGATAGATACTGGTGAGCCCAACATACCAGAGTATATCAGCCTATTGAAGGAAACACTGGCGAACCTAAAGGCTAGTTTAGAACACGTCCTCATCACTCACTGGCACTATGATCACACTGGAGGAGTGAAGGAGGTTCAATCAATCAATCCTAATGGTAACTGAATTATTAACATTATGTCTTTGGTCAGTAGTATACATGAATAAAAAGCTCTTCCCAGTATTAGTTGTATCATTGTATGTATGGTTTGAGTACTGCTCACTTGTCAGTTGGAGTGAGAGGGGGAGGGAGACTACTAATTGATAGATATCTTGTGAATTGTCAAACTTGACACTGTTGAAAAGATGAATGTATTTAGAATGCTAAGAGGAAAGATTAAGTGTGTTTCAATGCTCTTCCTGTTTTGTTAGTGAATAAGGATGTGACATCACAGGAAATTAGAGTATAATTATGAGAACCCACAATGATATGGTAACATTTTGTAGCTTTTTAAATGAAATTGTGAAATTGGTAGGAATGGTGCAATTTGTGTTCTAAAATTTTTGGAGGGGACTTATGTGGCCCCAAGACTAAGTTTCTATAATTAATTGTAAATTTCTAATGAAGTTTAAGCCTTAGTGCAGACATGATCTTTAGTTTATTGAGTAGACTATTTTTTGAGGGGACTTTATATGGCCCAAAGACTAAGTTTACATTATTAATAATAATAAAGTTTGTCATTTGTGAGTCATATATTGTTTCCAGTGAAGCTGTTAGCCTGTTACTTTTTAATTGGAGCTTCGCAATTTTATTTTATTCCAGATCCACCATTGTTCTCAAAGTTCCCAAGGAGAGAGCCTGAGGCCAGTACCGCTGAGTCTGACTACTCACCAGTTCAGTATAATTACCTATCAGATGGTGATGTGCTAGAAACTGAGGGAGCTACCCTTCGCGTGATCTACACACCCGGACACACTGATGACCATATATCGCTTTACCTTGAAGAAGAGGGCGCCATTTTTAGTGGAGACTGTATTCTAGGAGAGGGGACAGCTGTAAGGAATGGCTAAATGTTATATATTGTCCCTTGTAATATTTATTGTTTCTGCTTTGCTGTCTTCCATCTTCCTCTCTTCTCTCTCTCTCTCTCTCTCTCTCTCTCTCATTATCTTTTATTCAGGTTTTTGAGGATTTAAAGGAGTACATGGACTCACTTCAAAAGTTAAAGACTTTCAAACCAAAGCTCATCTATCCTGGTCATGGCCCAGTGCTCAATGATGCCATGGGTGCTATTGAAGAATACATCACTCACAGAATGTCAAGAGAAAAACAAGTTTGTTGATATCCCTTTTGTTAATCTTTCTCTTATCACCAATTCGCCTTTGTTGCTCTTTCACTTTCTCTTTTTATCTCTCATTCTCTTTTCACTCTTTCTCTATCAGCCCATTCCTCCTTATAACCTTTAAGAGACCCTTTTATAATTATTCTCCTATTAGCCTCCAGTTATTGAGTATACTGAGTAATTCTCATTTAACAAGTTAATACAGCCTTTTAGGTGTATATCCTATGGCATTCCTATTAGGCCCTCTTTTCTCAGTACTACAAATAAACTTTAAGTTACCAGAGGGAAGGAAAATAATACCTAAAGATAAATTGTTGTCTAAGAATAGGGTGATCTTTGCTTAGCTCTGCTGACTGTAGCAGAATAGCTGTGTAAGTGCCAAATTTTAGCTTCGTGGGAATTGTAGCTACTATGCACCACCTACCGTGTGAATTATGGAACCTTCCCAGCTCATACATCATGCTATCTCTATTACTATATAGATACTGGATGCTTTGACAACCTCTCCTCGTGCTTTGACCTCTATGGGCATTGTCAAAATTATTTATAAAGTAAGGGGATGGGGAAAGTACCAAAAATTATTGTATTTTTGTGTGGGAAGGATGTGCCAGAGGCTCTTTGGCCCATGGCAGAGAACAATGTCAAGCTTCATCTGGAGAAACTTCGCAAAGAAAATAAAATAGGTACAATACTTGTATGCTAGCCCTGAATTAATTAAAAATAATGCTGACAAGAATTATAATCAGGAGGTTATAATTTGATTGATGTTCATTTCTATGTATTCCTTTGTTTTTGTTGCACCTTTAGTAATTGAAGCAAGGCCAGGGGCAGATGATTTGCACTGGAAAGCTGTGCCGTCAAAGATATAACATTTCTATTATAATAACACTGACAAATTTTTTAATGTTTTTTTTACCATTCAGAGCGAGGAAAATCATGAAACTGATAATTGGTGTATAATAGTAATAATTACATATAATTATCATAATTATTTTGTGTAATATATAAATGATACATTTTTGTTCTTTGCTGAAACTATCCGGATTAAGTAGATAATAATGAGAGGATTTTAGGATTATAAAAAGTAGATGTTAATCTTCGGCTTGCTGTGGTGGGCTTTCAGTATGGTTGTGGTAATTGAATAGAGTAATGACAATCGGCTCCGAATCAGTCTTGTAATCAAAGACAAAGTGTCTATAATAGAATCCGATCCCTTGTGATATGTCTCTCCCTTCACTATGAAGGTGACTATCAGAAGGTAATGTATATCTGCTGTCCTTGTTTCTTCCACTTGTATGGCTGTATAATATGTCAGCTTCATCACTACTCCTGCTTATAGTAGCTGAGGCATTGCCTGACTCTCTCAGTGCCTGGTTCTGCATAAAGGAGTGAATATGGAATTAGTATTATATAATATTTTTACTGCCTTACCTTTTGCCTGCAGAGCTCAGCAGTTATGACTATTACTGCTACACCAATGGCGTACGAAATAAAGAAGATAATGAAGAACTTAACGAGGACTCTAGCCATGGCGTCCTAGAGATTAGAGCCCAGAAACTCTTATGAGAATGGGTCTACTCAGTACTCACTTTATTGCATTATTTACTGTGGGTGTGGACTTTGATTTATAGGCGTGTCATAGGTGTGGTTCAATTGATAATGATTGCACGTGTTGTGTGTGGGAGGGTGTCATTATGACTTGAGGTTATCATAATTGCAATTAAAAAGCACTCTCTTTTCATAGTTTGAAAATTTGGCTGGTCTGTTTCGAGGTACATGACTACTTCAAAGGCGCTGGCAGACAGGGAGACGTGATATGTGCTATAGAGTTACGTGAGAGAGAAAGAAGGAGCTCTCCATCATGCGCCTCACTTGGAAAATCAGACGAAAGCTACTACGCCTTGTGGCTGCCGGGACTCTTTTATCAGCAGTAGCTCTCCTGGCCCTGTATGCTAGCTCTGAAGCTAGTCCCAAGGCTATATCAGAGACTAAGAGAAGACAGCATAGCAGTTTCATGTTCCCGGAAGACCTTCATTATTCGCATAAAGGCTCTAGGATCACTGCCAAGTGCACAATGGCTACCTGCTTTAATGTATCAAGGTGCATAGACTCTTTTAAGGTATATGTGTACCCATTTGAAGAGGAGAAGAAGGGAGGGAGGGGAGGAGGAAAACAAGCGGCCTCGTCCATTTACAAGAAGATGGTAAGAGTTCTTCGTGATAGCCCTTACTACACCAGCGACCCAAACACAGCCTGTCTACTGGTCCTTAACATTGATACCCTCGACCGAGATCCTCTCAGTAATGACTACGTTAAACGCTTACCTGAGAAACTCAAGGCGCTACGGACTTGGAATAACGGTCGGAACCACATCCTCTTCAACATGTACTCTGGCTCGTTTCCTGACTACAATGATCAGTTGGACTTTGATCACGGCGAAGCTATCATAGCCAAAGCCTCATTTGCTCTAGAGAACTATCGGACTGGATTCGATATCAGCCTTCCACTGATACATAAACTGCACAGTGAGAAAGGAAAGTTTACTGGAGGTGTGTCAGCTCATGGAAACCTATTCCCGATACGTCGAAAGTACCTGTTGATCTTTAAAGGGAAGAGGTACCTTTGGGGGCTGGGCTCTGCAACTCGTAACGCGATCTATCACCTTGACAACGGGGACGACGTGATTATGTTGACGACTTGTAAGCACGGGAAATTCTGGAGTCGATACAGAGATGAGAAGTGCAAAAAAGATAATATCTTCTTTGAAAAGTGAGGAAGGAGAGAGTGAGACATAATGTGTGTGGTGTGATGGTGAGAGAAAGGATGTTTTTGTCTCATGGATATTAATCAGATGTGGTTTGAGGTTGAAATACTACCATCATTTCATTACCTGTGGTGTTTTTCTATGGCATTTTATCTACATGTACCTTAATGGCACGATGCAGCAGATTCTACTTACTATGCACATTGGATGAATTTGGTAGCCAAAAATGAGTTTATACCATGAGTCTACTCAAGTGATTGAGCCTTCAAATGTTGGTAATGTGCCAGATTAGTACAAAATAAAGCACTTGCTATGTCTCTCACTCTTACCCTCTTCAATATGCAACAAACACTGTTTGTTTCTTCTTTGTTCTTTTCTCCCTCTTTCACTTCCTTTCAGGTACAATTATAATCATTTGATTTCAAATTCAACGTTTTGTCTAGTGCCTCGAGGTAGGCGACTTGGTTCTTTTCGATTCCTTGAGTCCCTTCATGCTGGCTGCATACCAGTCTCATTGAGCAATGGGTGAGTCTCAGAGGGAGAGAATGAGAAAAGAAAAGGAAAGTGTACTTCTGCATAATTTACAGCATACATGTACATGTACAGTATAGCCTCTATAATAAGGACACCCTTAGATAAGGACATCTTTATAATGAAGACTGTTTGTAATGTCCCAATTTATGCACACACATACCTCTGAAATGAGAACACCTCTATATTAAGGACAAGTAGTGTAGCATCCTTAATAAAGAGGATCCACTATACAGCACTATCTATCATTAAGTATTAATGTTAGGTTCCTTCCTTTCTAGACTAGTACTACCTTTTCATGAGCTGATAGACTGGTCCAAAGCTTTGTTTGTATTTGATGAGAGGCAACTCTTCCAGGTATTGTGCATACAGTAACTCAGTATAATGACTTCATGTGAGTATTGGTTGGGCTATAGGTCCCTCACATGCTCCGTCACATTCCTGAGGATAAGATACTCTCCATGAGGCTCCATACCCAGTTTTATTGGGAGCAGTACTTTAGCTCAGTGGATGCCATAATGCATACGACACTAGAGGTACTAATTATAATGGATATACTGGCTTCTTTCTTTATTACTTAACTCCCCAATCACATGCATTTCTTTTTCCTTCTCACCCTCTCTCCTTTTCCCTGCCTCTTTTATTTCTCTCTCTCTCTTTTTTACTCTCTTTCTTACTCTCTCTCTCTCTCTCATTTATGGAGTATTGATTGATAGAGTAAAATAAAATTTTTAGCATTTTTTCCCATCATCCTATAGACAATGAACCATGTGGGTGGATTATAGCGTACATCCAATTAACTTTTACAATCAGTTTTACTAATTTAATTATTGTGCACATGTATGGAGATAAACTTGTTTACAGAAAGCTAATTCTTAATTATAACTTGATAGTATAACTAATTATTAGATTAATGTTCTAATAATTTTGATTGTTTTTAAAATATTTTATTCTATTGTTCTTGTTTTGTTGTTTTTATTTCCAATCAGATAGTGAAACAGAGGATTAGTCAGTTTCAAAATGGCGTCGTAGCAACAGCGAGCAATGCTCATTTCTTGTGGAATCATTATCCCGGTGGGCTTGTCATTAGTTCAGACTACTCTGAAAAATTGGAGGATTATCCCTTTTTTATAAAACGTCAACAGGTAACAACAGCAATGATAATAGTAAAAATTTAACTAATAATAATAATAATAATAATAATACTTTACCCAACACATTGTCAATTGTTGTAGTCAAATTGTTATTAAAAAGTTCATATCATTAATTTAATCAGTGTGTAGCAGGTTTTGCTGCACCATTTTAGCATCTTTAATAAAATAAAGTCTGTGAATATCAATAATTTCCCTGAATTGTTGTCATCTAATTGTATTCAGCTTAGGCTGAATAAAATTTGACCAAATTTGCCAAAAATGGGTAGGAAAGAACTCTTCATTTTTATAATTTTTTCTAATGTTCTTATGTTTTGTAGAAAGTTTGAACTGATTCCAATCGAAATTGGATTTTTTACAAATTTTCAAATCTTTTTAAATGTATTGATTTTAAGGTTGTGTACTCTCTTGTAGGGCCCTCCTAGTGGATACACTGCTGTTGTCATGGCAACTAAACCTGCCTCCAAAGGGAACTCACCATTGGTCTTGCTCCTTAAGAACCTTTGCAACTCAACACACGCAAGGAAGGTACTGAACCTTGAGAGTCACTCTACTTTCTACTTTAAACCACTAGTGTCTACGTGTAACTGAACATTTTTTCTCCTCTTCTCTCTCTCTCTCTCTCTCTCTCTCTCTCTCTCTCTCTCTCTCTCTCTCTCTTTCTCTCTTATCAGATAGTAGTATCTTGGATAGGCTCGGGGAATCCTAAAGTTATGGTTCCTCCATTTTGTCGCCCATCAATCAAAGTAATAGACGCAAGGAAAGATAAAAAGGTAGACATTAAGTGCTTGTAGTTTTACATGTAGCAGCAGATGTTCTCATTGTTTGTCATTGTTTGGAACATTTAATGCATCATTGATATTTGTAATGTTTACTGTACTGTAGCATGTACACACAGTGACACCTGTTTCAAATTCAAAGATAAATGTATTGGAGTTAATTGTGTGTGTACTTACAAATATTTCCAATATTCCCCTCTTCTTCCCCTTCTCTCTCTTCCAATGATAGCTCATGATAAATGTCATGATACCATATATGGAAATAAGAACTGATGCCATTCTCTCCTTATGGGAAGACACTGAACTGATCACTGAAGAAGTAAGTAATGTATTCTTCCACTGGAAGCTATTGCAGTCATGCAACTGTTACTGTAGTACATACAGGAAATTTATAATTACACATCTACAGCATGTGGGTTTATTTTATAATACTGTAAAAGCATCAGACACATAACATAGACGTTATTTTGATTAGTGTAATTTGCAGATATTTTTCTATGAATTCTGTACTGATATAATGTACATATTACTGTTAGCAATTGGCTTTAAGGCCACTATACACCAGGCAATTCTATTGGAGGCAATGTGTGGTTACTTTGATGTTGTAAGCAATGTGTTGCCTAGAATAGAACATGTTTCTATTCTAGGCAACAGTGTTGCCTGAAGATCAAAGTAACCACAGATTGCCTGCAATAGCATTGCCTGGTGTATAGGGGCCTTTATGTTACTTTCTTATTATTAGGTTGATTTTGGTTATTTAACCTGGTTGTCCAATCCAGAGAGGTTGGTTGGTTTTGTTGGCAGGCGTCATTTTTGGTCTCCTAATCAAGGCCAGTGGATCTGTTCCTCTGGCCTCAACAACAGATACTCACTGGTCTCTCTTGGAGCTAGCTTCTACCACAAGTAATAGCAATGAAGATAAGTGGGTGTATTGTGTCAGAGTTTTATTTCTTGTAAAATGAATGTTTTCTGCAAAATGACAACTCAGAACTAAAGTCTGTAATCCCTTTTAGAATGAAATTTTTTTCCGGCGAAATATATTTGCTATGTAATAATGATAATAATACCTTAGGGTGCCTTTTTGAGGGCTTTAAATTTTGTGGTTTTGCGATTTTTTTTAAGATTTGCAAAAATTACTTTCATGAATATCAAATTATTACGATACAAGACGGCAGACGGCATAAATTCGTGAAAATTAAATTCACAGAATAAAAACCTACAAAATTTATAGCCTTCAAAAAAAGGCGCCCTATGGCACCCCAATCTTTAAATTGACACTGTTTTGCCAAATTTACGTATTTGTTAAAAATCAAATTCAGTAGTTCTCTCTTAACGCATCTTATATTTAGATATTATGCTCACCACGTCTGGCACCACAAGCTCTCATCATCAGCGAGGAAGATACTAGACAGTTCAAAGGACTGCTTCAGCATTGGACTCAACTTCGTTATATCTCACATGACAGGGAGTCCCCCACTCAAAGTGACCCAGCGTGTGTCCCTCAACTACTTCACCTCTAAGGAAAGGACAGAGGTTGTCATGTCTTGCGTCTCTTGTATTAATTCACTCACGATTTCATTTGGATACATCCCATTGAAGTATTCGTGGAGTCGTGCCGATCCTGTTCTATTTAGAGACAATGTTGCTGCCCACAGGAAAGAGTTTCGTAGGATTGAAAATGTGACGTGATTTATAAAACTGGTTTTGCAATTTTTTATATTATTTTTATATTGTGTTATATTATACAACCACCATACTTTACTACCAATCAGTTTCTATGATTAATTTTATTTAAACTCGACCACATGTAAGCACGTGTTTATAGTATTCGGAGGTGCACTGATGCACTCTGAGTATACGGATCACACACGTGTAAAGTACTGTGAAAAGAGAAATGGGTCGTGTGAGAAAGACCTCTCGTTTGGGAAAGAAGAAGATAAACAGCACGTCATACGGTAAAAAGAACAGAAAGAAGCACAACAAGAGCGATTACACCATTAAAATGTCCAACATACGCGAAAGATGGAACCACTCGATCTCAATGAAGAACAACCTTCAAAACCTTGGACTGGTCTATGACATCAATTCAGACATTAAACCATACGGTACAAGGACAAAGAAGAAACAAAAGCAACAAGAGATGGAGTTTATGGACATATCTGAAGCAACCTCTTTAAGTAACACAACTGAGGTCGCTCAGATGGAAAGTGAGGAAGATCAGACAGTGAAATTTAAAAAATTAAAAGGTGGAGCCAAAGCTCGTACTCTTCACGAAGAGTTTAAGAAACGTTCGGCCAGACGCAACCGAAAAACCTGTCACCTTTCGACTTTAGAGACAGAATACCTCATCCCATTAATACAGAAGCATGGAACAGACTATGGTAAGATGGTGAGGGATAAAGGCAACTTTGACCAGCTGACAGAGAACCAGCTTAGAAAGAAATGCGAGGAACTTTTGAGCTCAAGGGAAACACGTCATTTGAAGAAGTTTCAAGAACTAGGCTTGATTTCCTAAGATGTGACATAATCCTATTTTTAAGTTAATAATAATTAATTATAGTATCAATCAATTAATTATAATAATTATGATAATAAATTTTGTTGCCTGAAAGCATAGATATTAGAGTGTACTCTAATATCTATGCTGAAAGGCTGAGAAATCATTGAATAATAATTCATTTTAAAAACTAAACCGGAAGTGTAAATAAAACCGGAAATGAAATGAAACCGGAAGTGACTTTCAATTTTTTCACAAGCACACTGACACTAGGATATTTAGCATAAAAATATCTCTTGAAATTTATTTTCCCATAATTGTACATGTTGTAATATAATAAATATATTAAGCAAAACAAAGAAAATAATGAAAACATGATCATAAATAATAATAATAATAATAATAATAATGAGAGAGTGATACATGAAACTATTGCTGCAGTAATAGTTTTGACATATACTCGTAAACAACGAATGTGATACATGTGGCAGGAACAACCCTAAGACAAGAGAGATAGGAATCATAGTTCACATGAACAAAACTTGCTACCACCACCTTACTTAATTAAATTTGGTTTAAGTCCTTTGTAAAAACCTTTATAGCCTTCGTTACTATAAAAATACATACAATAAATCTTATTAATACAGTTACAGTTCTATACCGCCATGTTCTTTTAATAGTACTAATGACACCACTGTACTTCTGCTCCTGATCCTATGACATGATGATCATGTGACTATCATGTGAGTTTAGCTAACCTGTAGTCTGGCTCTTATGACTTGATAAGGATAAGTGACTGATGCTGCAACTGCCTTTGAAGTGGCAGCCATTGCAATGTATGTTAACGGACCCTGAATGAGTGGAAGAGCATTAGAGTTTCATTAATTCTAGTCAATGGGTACATAAACACATGTGCATTTAGCTCATTCATAAAACACTAAAATTTTGTTGTATAGATCTAATACAAAATTTATTCATGTATTACTCACTAGTTGAGCTGTGATTGGTATAGATTGATAGTTACAATAAGTTTTCTTTAATTCTTCATACACCACGAACTGTATCGTGCCATGACTAGTACCAACTAAACCAGGAATATATCCCTATAATTGAAAGAAGAGAGAGAAAGAGAAATGTCACTAATATACAATACAGCTATCACAGTACTTTATAGAGTCCTCTAATACCTTCGTATTTGTAAAGTTTCCACAACCCATCTGTAAAAAATATAAGGCCATTAAAAGCATTTAAACTATCCACTTTAATAACATGCATAGTACATAAGCATACATTGCTATATAAAGCATTAGCCAGTGTATTAATAGATATACCTCTGAGTCCTTTGTATCTCATGTGAGAAGGAACACTCTCTGTATCTGGTAGACACAACCTAGTCTTTATGACCCAAATGGGATTGGTTAGACTTAGTGTTAGGACGCCTAAAACACAACAGTTTACATAATACAGTGTAATTTTAATTTAATTGTATTATTAAGGATAGTCCTTACCAGCACATGATGCTAGGAGCATGTGCATTAATGGGCTAAGCTGCCGCTTGAGGTTGCCATCTTGAGCTTGAAACTTGAATGCATTATAGCTAAAGGAATAGAGTCTATTGTACAAAGACTATTAGTGATGTGCTTACAAAAAGAAATAAAATCCCCATGAAAGACCAGCTCCAACCACATTAGCACTGGAACCCTAACAAAGGGTTAAAACTAGTCAGACAGGTCAAATTGGTTTACCCTATAGAGGCCTAGTATCCCATCCTGTCTGTATATAGTTCTGAAGGCATGAGTAAGCCCCTGGTATTTAGGTCTTTGATCAGTTACTGCTCCATCTTGAACTAAGAAGAGAGATCCATCAGTGAATAACAAGAATATTCTTATTCACTTCTTACTTACAAGATCATGGGATCATTGTAAGTAATTTATGTTGCTTTGCATTATTTCATAATTATGCTGCTATATACAGCTAACAATTCTGAACCACCACAGCCCCAGTCCAATAGTCTAATTGTGGGCATATATATGCTACCATGCAGTCCAGTCTGTACATAAAAGGAAAATGCCATCTCTTTCATATTCTTGAGGCGGGTTTTTATTGCAAATTTTATACTGTAGCCGGATCATTTTTCTATCAAGACCTCCTAAGCCAATTACCTACAACTGTTTATATAGAGAGTAATAGTATATGCATTCCAGTCAGCCCTATCATGTGATGTCATTTCTTAGTGGGCCACAATAACCAGCCTCCAGTCCAAAAGGGGCGGAAAGAGAGAGAGAGTACTTATAACTGTCTCCTATAGAAGCTATACTACGCTCATTTCAAAAGGTGGAAACAACTATCTATAGAGTTATGACAATTGACAATTATTTATATACTATCAGCCTTAGGAAAGACAAACGACAGTGTCTATATGCTTAACTTGATATTCCTTCTCCTACTCCTATCAGGAGATGTTGAGCTGAATCCTGGCCCTCTAACAGGTTAACAGACTGACCTTTATTAATACACCATCAATGACTGTTATACTATTGTATAGGCCAGGATCCAAGAGATATATTACGGGAAAAATCCTTTTCTCTTTCACAAGCAATTTCAAATAACCTTGCTCAAGTTGCTGGAATATTACATGAAAAGAAACTAATACCACAACAGGCAAAAGCTAATGTATCAATATTAGGTGTACAGGATTATGAAAAGGCTAGCAGACTGGTGGGTGTGTTGGAGATGCAACTGAGTGCCTCCGATGGTAATCGACAGAAGTATTTGATTGATGTCTGCAATGCATTGAATGAGCTAAAAGATACAAAACTAACAGAACATGCTAATGCAATGTTAAAGGCGTTAGGAATTAGCAGTGGTAGTACTCAACGAGGTTAGGCAGCACATAAATATACATTTACATTTGTAATTGTAATTTGTATTATAGAACGAATTGTTCCAATGCCTGCTGTGCCTATTACTAGTGGTGGAATTGAAGAAACAGATCATCCAAATGGATGCCAAGGAGCCACGGCAACACAATCCAGTAATAATAACAATACATATTTTATAATGGGGAATAATTGTTATCATCATATATGTAGTTGTTGTACCTGATCCACCAGATGTTAAAAGTGAAGAATGTCCTCCAATGGCAAAAATTAAACCGAAAAATTGTACATGCACCCCAGACCTTATAGCTGATGTCAATATAATCCTTGTGACTGCTACTAAAAAAGAATACCGTGCTGTTATGGGGACTGGTACACGGATAGAAGGGGATGAAGAAAATTACACACGAGTTGAGTTGGATGATGTTTCGTTTAATCTAGTGATGTATGGATCGTATAAAGTCGCTGTAATAAGGACCGATCAGGGTCCAAAAACAACAGAAGCTAAGCTAGAAAAGATACAAGCAGTAATCAAAGCTCAATACGTGATTGCAGTTGGAATATGCTATGGAATGAAAGAAAGTAAAACAAAGCTTGGTGACATAATCGTTGCAAAAAGTATCAAGGATACATCAAGCAGACGTGCTTCAGACCATGAACTCTCTGCTAGACCAGAAGAATACAAATGTGGGGAAAAACTGTATGCTACATTTGAAAACGATGAAGGCTTTGAACTAGAAACAAAAAAAGACGAATACGTTCTTATTCATTGCGGCACCCTGGTGAGTGAAAATACGCTGGTAGCTAGTCAAAAGTATAAAGAAGATATACTCAAGCAAATACCTCAGGCCCTGGGAGGAGAAATGGAAGGAGTAGGTGTAATGACTGCTGCTGAAAAGGGCAAGTATGAAGGGATTGTGATAAAGGCCATTGCTGACTGGGGGAATGAAGAAAAAGAGCCGTATAGGAAGTGGCAGGAATTTGCTGCTGTTGGAGCTGCAAAATACGTTCTATACCATTTGGAAGCAACAGAAAAGTTTAAGAAACAATGAAGGCTGACATTAATTAATGACTCGTTTGAATTATCTTATTTATCTACATACCTACATTAATTGTGCCTATTTTTTATTAAAAAAAGTTTCAGCAACTCCACGTTTAATAATTAGAGCAGACAATTATAAGAAAAAATTTTGAATATTGCCAGGAGAGTGAGGAGACATACAAAAATTATTTTGTACCTGCAAATCTTAGCTTAATGAGATCAAATGGGTGTGTCACTAGCGTAGAAGCCACACCTCCACACAGACCAGCCACCAAGTGCTGATATCTGATCCCTGAGAGCAAAGATCTGAAACTAGACGAAGTGAAATGAGAGTTTCTTTCCATTCAGGAGAGAAAAAAAGAAGAATAGAAGAAGGGGTCACTTAAACAATGGATATACACAAAACATTATGACGTCAGGTTAAGTAATACCTTACTTTTAACCCTTTGTCAACAGTATATTAATAAAGAGATGAGACAGCATGGAAGATGCATGCACTCCGTCTCTTCCTAGCAGCTCCCTTCTTCCTCCCGGGGTCGCTCCAATCAAACCACAGTAAGAGAGAAAAATATAAAAGAAAGTAAAATCATGGTACTAGGTACATCCAAAAAAGGCCTCTGGAAGTGACCACGCCCCAGACCGCCCCTGAAGCTCCTCCTACTAAGAAAAGGAGAGGACAGAATAAGCACAGACCTCCGACTCGACTCGATTTCTCACAACAACTCTGCCCGTCTTTTCATGCAAAGGATTACACATGTCGGTTTGGAGATAAATGTCGTTACTCACACGATGTGAAAGGGTATGTACTAGCAACATGTACATGTACATAATGAAAATTACATGGGTAGAGGTTTATGGGTTTTATGTCAAGTTTACATTAAGTTCATGTACATCTGCTACTTGATTAGCATATTAGCATTTGTTTAGCCTTTTGTGAATCTTTTGTGTTAGTCTTTTTATAATTCATAAAAATTTTAATGCTTTATTCTTCTAATTTTATTTTTAGTTATTTAGAGTCCAAGCCGCCCGATATAAGTGACAAATGTTACATGTACACCACTTATGGGATGTGCCTGTCTGGTATTGCCTGTCGCTTTGGTTCATCCCATATCTCAGTTGAAGGGGAAAACATCATCAATAAGAGTTTGTATGATGAGAAGAGAATAAAGTCTGTATCCAATGTAATAGAGAAATCACTTCAGATTGCATTAAGGAAGAAGAAAGTTTCCTTCCCTCGCTCTGAGGAATATTTGAAATCTTTAGAACCAAAGAAAAACCTTACGGGGCCATCATCAGGTGATGCCAAAAACTCAATTACTGAAGAGGAGAAACTCAAGGAAGAAGAGACAAGTAGTATCAATGAAGAGGGTGTAGTGGGTAATAATGGAGGAGGTGATAGTGAAGGAGAGAGACTAAGAGCTGAGGAAGAGGTAAAAGAGAACTGTCTTGAAGGGGATAAAGGAGAAGATGGAAGCATCAAAGAAGAGAAAGAAACTGATTCTACTAAGACTGTAACCCCAGTTAGAGAAGGAATACAACAGTGTGAAGGCACTTTAGATCATAAGATGGCTAGTGAGACTGGATCAGCTATAGAAGATGCAGCAAAGTTACCACAAGGAGCAATCACTGATGGCCTCACTAGTACTGGTTCATCACTCACTGCTCCTTCAGGGAATGGTGAGGGAATGAGTGTTGGAACTAGTGGACCGTGTACTGATGAGGATAGGATATCACTCACACCACGAGAGAAGAAAAAGGTACTACTAAACAAAAGTTATGAGCATGTAACTAAATACAATGTACATGTACATGTAGCAAAATTTGAAAAAAGCATGGACTATAGCCCATGGTTTTTTCCAAAAAATGGATCCAAAATCATCCCAAATTTTTATTACATTTTCTGATACATACAAGTATTGATGTCCTTATGTTATATAGGTTGACTTCAGTAACAAGCTTTATTTGGCTCCTCTTACTACCGTAAGTATATCCTCTCCATATCCTTTCACTATATGCCCTGATTGTCCTCCTTCTCTATGTCTCTCTTATCCAAAGGTTGGTAACCTTCCCTTTAGAAGGATATGCAAGAGGTTTGGTGCTGATATCACCTGCAGTGAAATGGCAATGGCATTCAACTTACTTCAGGTATAAAGAAGAAGATATATAATATATAGAAGAAGATATTTATAGAAGATGTCCTTCCCTTATCATTCATTTTGACCACTAATGCCACTCTACACACAATAAGATTATAGTGGACATTTTTGTTGCTTTTTAGGGTCAGCAGAGTGAGTGGGCATTAGTGAAGAGACATGAATCGGAGGACATTTTTGGCATCCAGGTATTTATGTGTGTTTAGGCTCCTCCCACTAATTAATTTAGGTTTGTGGTTCTTCGGTTGATGTAATGACTCGCTGTGCTGAGCTCATTAATATTCATTGCTCTGTCGATTTTATTGACATCAACTGCGGCTGCCCCATTGATCTAGTTTTTAAAAAGGTGCACTACTTTACTCAATTATTTTTTATCAGATGTATTAATTTTTTGTCCTCCAGGGTAGTGGGTGTGGTTTAATGCAAAGGAAAGGACGCTTTGAGCAGATTGTAAGAGGAATGTCACAAGTAATAACTAACATGGAGTTTAGATTTTTTTTTGAAAATATTTTCCATTACTATTTTCGTATCAGGTAATTGATATTCCATTGACAGTTAAGATGAGAACTGGAGTTTATAATAAATCCTGGAATGCTCACAAACTCTCTCCATGCATCAAGGAATGGGGATCATCACTGCTAACCGTTAGTCTCTTACTGACCTTTGAACTTTGACCTTTTGATGATAGATACACGGAAGGTCAAGAGAGCAGAGATACACCCATTTAGCCGATTGGGACTACATTGATGAATGTGCTGAGTTGGCACATCCCATGCCTGTATATGGTGGGTGTGGCTAGTAGTTATTAAGTGTTATTTGCTAGTTATTAAAAAGGTAATGGGGACGTGTTGTCTTATGAGGATTATCAGTATGGAGTTGAAGGAAGGAAGATATCTGGTGTCATGATAGCTAGGTAAATATAATGTATAATAATTGAGCACATGTACATGTTTATTTTGATTTATATACATGTATTTTATAGAGGGGCTTTAATAAAGCCATGGATATTCACAGAAATAAAGGAGAAAAGGTGAGTAAAAGAGAGAATGAGTAAAGGAGTCAATAATTATTATCTTCTGGTGTTTAGGCATTGGGACATCAGTTCCTCTGAAAGATTGTCTATACTACAAGACTATGCACACTATGGATTAGAGCACTGGGGATCAGACACTCAGGTAGTTAGATTATTGTGAGGAATGACTTGTGTTAATAGCACTATTTGCTATGTGAACCTTGATTGAAGATGTATTTTTTAATATTAATTTTGATCTGTCATAAAATTTCCTCCCTTAGTCTGATTATTGCTCGTATTATTTAGGGAATAGAGAGAACAAGAAGGTTTCTATTGGAGTGGCTCTCCTTTTTACACAGGTATAGCACTATCAAGAATATAACAATAGTATAATCAGAGTTTCCTTGACATATTGTTCATAAATTTATGAAGTTACTCCAAAATTTACCAAAACAATGTGTACTATGTAGTACAGGGTATTATTTTGTCAAAAATCACTAGGAGAACATTCTCTATTTTTATAATTTTTTCTGATGCATGTACATGTTCTTATGTTGTGTAGAAAGTTTAAACTGATTCCGATCAAATTTGGATTTTTTACGAATTTTTAAAGTTGCTCCAAAATCGAGCCCAAGTCCCTGTACTATAGTACAGGGACTTTGGCCAAATTTCACCAAAAATGAGTAGGTGAGAATTCTCCATTTTTATAATTTTTTCTGATGCATATGCATGTTCTTATGTTGTGTAGAAAGTTTGAACTAATTCTGATAAAATTTGGATTTATTATGAATTTTTAAAGTTGCTCCAAAAGCCATTTACTATTGTAGTGCTTCATTGTCAGCTCATGAAGCAGGTGTGTAGCTCACTTTAGCATGCCTTGTTGGAAAGTGAAACCCTGTCTTAAAATAACATATTCTATTTATATACTTTAGGTATGTTCCTGTTGGTTTGTTGGAGAGGTTGCCTCAAAAGATTAATGAGAGGCCTCCGTATTATCAAGGAAGGGACGAGCTTGAGACACTTATGTCATCAAGGAATTGCAATGACTGGATAAAAATTAGGTTAGGGTCTGATTTTGTAAAATTATTAACTTCTACTCTCTCTCTTTTCCCTTCCCTCTTAGTGAAATGCTTCTGGGACCAGTTCCGTCTAATTTTAATTTTCTACCAAAGCACAAAGCCAATTCTTATGCTCCTTCAAATTCTTCTGAAACTTCTACTGAAAATTAATTATTATTAATTTTAATCTTAAACATGTGGGACCACGTGGTTTCGAGCATGCGCAGTCACTTACCAAAGCACGTGCTTGTACTTTTTTCTTCACAATCACTGGGATTGGTGTGTTTGTTCTGTTTCTTGAATCAGCTAAGGCCTTTTATTTGGCGACTTACACTCTCCCTATCAACCGAAAAGATGTCTAACTCAGAGCTAGCTTGTGTCTACAGCGCCCTCATCCTTCATGATGCTGGACTTGCCATCACAGTAAAAAATGACAAAATGGCTAACCATTCTTTTTTTTATTTTACAGGCAGAGAAAATGACCACTCTCATTAAAGCAGCTGGTGTGTCCTTTGAACCAATATGGCCAAATCTATTTGCCCGTGCTTTAGAAGGTAGAGCAGAATTATAAGAAATAATAAATTTCTATTTTTGCGTTTTATCTCTCCTACTCAGGGAAGGATATTGGTGCCCTGATATGTAACGTAGGGTCAGGTGCTGCTGCTGGAGCTGTTGCTGGTGCCTCTGGTGGTGGTGGAGGTGGTGACGCAGGAGAGGCTCCAGCCGCTGAGGAGAAGAAGGAAGAAAAGAAACAAGAGAGTGAAAGCGAATCCGATGATGACATGGGATTTGGTATGTGGAGTATTGAGTTAAAAAAGTAATAAATAATTCTTTTCTCTTTTTTTAAATAGGGTTGTTTGATTAGGAACAATTATGTAATTCATTCTGAGTAATTTTTTGGAAAATCTTTAGTATCAAAAATAAATTTTAGCAAATTATATAGGGGCGGGGCTAGTTAGTAATTTGTTGTCCACCCACGCGAAAATATTTTGACTTGAATGGCGTCCAGTGATACTGAAAGTTTAGGAGGACAGAAGTCTCAAGAGCTTAAAGAGAATGAAGTAGAGGTCAGGATATTTGAAAGGCATGATATAGTTTTGCTTGCAGTTATTTTGAAATGCTGCTATGACTGAGAAGTAGTGATAAAATCAGTGAGTGGGCGTAACTGGCTCTCTCTAGGTAAACAACTTGGAAGATGATGATGGTAAAAAGGTAGGGAAGAAGAAAAAGATGACGGCAATGATGAGACTCACTATAACTGAGCTTGAAACTGCTCTAAAGGTAGCAGCTAAATACTGTTACATTCAGAACAATGAATCACAAAAATATTTAAATCTTTGTATTGGAATGTGTGGGTATTATTATGCATGTATCATTGCAATTTTTCATTTTAGTAATTTTGTGCATTCTTTTGATCAGGAATCCCATGAATTGCTGTCAGAAAGAGATCAAGAAATAAGAAAGCTCAAGAAAGACATGGAACACTATAGACAACAAATTGCCCAAGAAGTTGCAACTAAAACTAAACTAGCTCAGTCTCTTGATGAAAGCCACCAGCAGGCACTGGAATTGGAAGAGGCCCTGCAGAAGTGGCAGCTCTCAATGAAAGAGTACCAGCAACGTGTGGCACACCTTGAGGCAGCCCTGCTCCAGGAGCATGCAAGATCTGCTGAGCAAGAGAAGAAATATGGAGAGATTTATGCACAGAAGAATCTTGAAGTGGATCAACTTAAGAGTCAGTTGATTGAAACTAGACAGAGACTGCCTAAAGACCCTGCAGCGTTCCCGGGTAGGAAAAGTAGCAGTTCATCGGCTCCCCAGCCTCCCCAGGTCGATGAATCACAGCTCCTGTTTTTAAAGCAAGCAGTTTATCACTTATTGACTGACTCTCATGCTGACGAACATCTAAGAGCTATTGTAGCCATCTTGAACTTTTCTGCTCAGGAGAGGAAGTGTGTGTATGCAAAGGTGGCAGAAAAGAAAGGCAGTGGCTACAGCAAAAGACAATAAAAACAAAATGAATAGTTTTATAAAATTTCTTTTTAAAACTATGGCTAAAAAGGGGGCACCTAGGATTGAACAGGGGCCTCTCTATCTGCAGTCGAATGCCCTAGGCTATGCCAAAGGAGAACTGCAGATAGTGAACATGATTTTATGTAATAAATAATTAATTAGCCACACCTACCTGCATGCATAATTATGCATGTTTGCATGGTGGTGCCAGGCATATGGGCCCGTATGAAAAAATACCGTAATTAAATTTGGCTCAACTGACTATGGGTCTGCTCTCTAAAGGAAAGCCTCTTTCCTGGGAAGAGACGAAGAAGAATGCCTGGAAGGTACACAAAGTCGGGATACAGCAGTTTATATCTCTGTTTCACAAACTGAAGGATCGCAAAGGCGATACACTGAAATGGGGAGACGAGGTAGATCTATGTAAAACGAGAGGAAGCGCAATGTATATATTCAACTTTGTTAAAAGCAACTTTTAATCATGGAAGCTCTATATGCCTGAAATAATTATAATTAATTTTTATATATAATTTATTTCACCGTGGAGTTGCAATGGATGGTACATGCATAAGTAACTCAGTGATAATATTGCACTTCTTGTCTTAATGTAATAAATAATTAACTGTAACCATTCGTTTGTACTGCATTCTCTACCTTACGTTTAGTGTGCAGTATCAAAATCTCAGCCTGAAGGCTGAAGCCCACCATCCACTATTCAACTTTGTTGAAAGAAACTTAGTGGTTACTTTGATGTGCTGTCAACTCTGTTGCCTGAAATAGAACTGACTTCTATTTCAGGCAACAAAGTTGCCCCAAGATCAAAGTAACCACAAAGTTGCTTTCAATAAAGTTGAATAGTGGATGGTGGGCTCTAAAACATCGTTTTCCCTATTATTTTCAGGTGGAATATAGTCTGATTAGTATTGATGACGAGAAGAAAGTAGCAAAGCTCTCCCTTCTCAGCTCTCAGATACTTGAAGTCTTACAGAAACCGCAATTAGATGACCCTCTGTAAGATTTCCTCATCTAGATGCAATCATTTGTATCACATCGTTCTCTCTCCTTTCCCTCTTAGACATCATAAAGCAAAATGGACGCCTGAATATGCCAGCTATGTGGTAGAAGGTAATTCATTAACAGCAACATTGCATTTTTAAATGAATTCTACTGATTTGTTTATAATTATAAATTACTACAAATGACTTGGCCACTGAACAGTATGTATTACTCACATTTTTGGATCATGTAATGTAGGTACACCAGGAGCAAGCCCTTATGGTGGATGCTATAGTGACTTTAATGTAGTCGAGGCTAATATGAAACTAAGGTTTGAAAAAGTAGTGATTGTATACAAACGTCATGCATACCTCACCTATTCCTTTTCTCCTCATGCTCTTCATTTTTCTTTTCTCTCTCCCTCCCTTAATTCTTAGGCGTGAAATGCTATACGAAGCTCTTAAAGGTACTTCAGTTTTCCCTCTTACCCTAACTGCCTTCCCAAGGTATACCCTACTGTGTATGTGTGTGTGTGTATGTGTGTATGATAATTGATCATAGGATGGGGTGTCCAGGTTTCACTGAGCCAGAGTTTCTTCCTCAACCTGCAACCTCAAAGTCTCGCTCTCTCTTTTATCCTGACGAAGCAGTATCCAGTCATCCTAGATTCATGTAAGAAAAGTATCAAATATACATTACGTCTTTTATTGTTATCATTTTTAGTACATTGACTCGTAATGTGAGGGAGAGAAGAGGAGAGAAGCCGGCCATAAACATGCCGAGTAATTTATTTCATTTTTAGCTACTTAAAGAAATTATTGCTTTCTTTTGTGAAGTATTCAAAGACAAGGCTACACCCTCTCCATTTGTTGAGGTGGTTCCTAATGATGATGGTACTGCTAGTACTTATGGTAAACCAGATCACATATACTTGGACTGTATGGGTTTGGGAATGGGTTGTGCTTGTCTTCAGGTATAGAATGGATAGTATTGTATTATGATTTTTTTCATGTGCTTCACCTGCTATTTTTATTATTTCTTTTGTGTAGGTTACGTTTCAAGGCTGTGATCTCAATGAGACTCGTCATCTTTATGACCAGCTCTCAGTCATGTGCCCTATCATGGTATTATATATCATGTGACAATCATGTGACCTGACCAAAATTTGTATTTTTCTTATACATTGTTAGCTTGCACTCACTGCAGCTGCTCCTATACTGAGAGGGTATCTTGCTGATGTTGACTGCAGGTGGCCAATCATTTCTGGAGCTGTTGATGATAGGACTCAAGAGGAGAGAGGACTAAAGGTTATTTTTGTATTGCCTTTTAGGCTTATGCTTTAACCTTTCCTTATTCTTTGCTTTCCTTTCTTTAAAATTCTTTCTCCTTCTCTCTGTAGCCATTAAAGGATGATAAGTGGGTTATACCAAAGTCAAGGTATGATTCAATAGACATGTATCTAGCTAATCCTGAGTATAATGATAAAGAAGTACCAATCAATGAGTTAGCATATCAAACACTAACAGAAAATGGTCAGCGTTAAGAATCATTTACTTTTTGCTTTGTAACCCATTATCACTTCTTTCTTTCTCTCTCTCTTTTCTTTCCACAGGTGTTGATGAGTTAATGGCTAGGCATGTTGCTCATTTATTCATTCGTGATCCAATCTCACTCTTTGCTGAGAAGCTCGAACAAGACGTGGAGAATGAAAGTGACCATTTTGAGGTTTTTATAAGATGTCGGGGAGTGATTAGCATGTCCTATTGTCTATAGATTGTGTTAAGTGTTAAATTGAGTTTTAATCTCACATTTATTCATTAATTCTGTAGCTACTTAATTACATGTATACATGTACAATGTAGTTTCATATATACTTGTGTTGCAAAATGCACATACAGTATATTTGCTTATGTACATCTTACATGCATTTTATTTTAGAATATTCAGTCGACTAATTGGCAGAGCATGCGTTTCAAGCCTCCACCTCCAAATTCACCTATTGGATGGAGGGTTGAGTTCAGACCAATGGATGTATGCAATACTTGAGACATAGTTTCATTCTTCATTTGTGCATACACATATATGCACCCTTTTTGTCTTTTTATGCATTTTACTCTCTCTTTCTCTCTAGTTGCAGATTACTGATTTTGAAAATGCAGCTTTTGTTGTGTTCATTGTGCTGGTCACTCGTGCCATCTTGTCTTTCAAGTTAAACTTCCTCATACCGATATCAAAAGTATGTCCAGACATTAAGCAAGCCCAATCCTATTTAAATAAAATAGCACCAAAAACCTCAAAATGTACATGTACATATGTATATATAGAATGTATGAATATTCTCTTAGCTATTTGTCACAAAGCACTACTACTGGTGTTTGGCCCAATTTTGGAGCAACTTCAAAAGTTTTTAAAAAATCCAAACTTGATCGGAATCAACTCAAATTTTCTCTGCAAAATAAAAACATGTCTTTGTATCAGAAAAAAATTAAAAATAAAGAATTCTCTTCTAGTGATTTTTGGCAAAATTTGGGCAAAGTCCCTGTTCTATAGTACAGGGTCTTTGGCCTGATTTTGAAGCATCTTCTAAAACATGTGTCCTTTGTTAGATGGAGGATAACATAAATAGAGCCATTTATCGTGATGCTGCTAGACAAGGCCTCTTTTATTTCCGTAAAAATTTATTTTCTGAAGATGAAGATGATGATGAAGGAAAAGAGACTCCGCCTACTGGAGCCACTCCTACTGCTCCTCAATCTCACGAACATGAATACACACTGATGAGTATTGACACCATCATTAATGGAAAGGTAATAATGCTATTTTTACCCTATCATTCATGTAAGTTTGCATGTAATAATATAATTATAATAATCAGTAGCGATTAGTGTACCTCGTTCTGTACATGATACGTGTGTTTATTTAGGACGAGTTTCCAGGTGTTATTCCACTGGTGAGGATGTATGTTAATTCCATTGACATTGATGTAGACACCAGGTGTACTCTAATGCAGTATCTGAGATTTATATCAAAGAGAGCTTCAGGTTAGTTTATCAAATCTCTGGCACAATAATACAGCATACCATAGCTGATAAATGTGCCAAATTTGACATTTTTATTTGCCAAAAATAACCTTTTCAACCATTATACACATGTCATGTGACCACAAATTTGACTTGCCTTTCAGCAAGAATTTGCCAAAATTTTACCTCTTCAAAATTGCACCCTCAGTTAAATTTACTAAAAAACACTTACATGTAGCTGTTATTAAAATAGCTTATATCATATGATAATTGTGTTACAGTTTGCTATATAGTACATCTCTCATTCTCTCTACAGGTGAATTGCCAACAGCTGCCACCTGGATGAGACAGTTTGTACTATCTCATCGAGATTATAAGCATGATTCTGTTGTCAGCGAGATAATCAATTACGATCTCATCTCAAAGATACGTGATATCTCAGAAGGGCGGAGTCCATGCAACGAGTTGACAGGGAGACTGACGTCAAGAGCTGATTCCCTTCGTCCTTCTCTCCCTCGTCGTATATCAGTCAGGAGCGACAGTAAAGATGGAAATGACTAACAAAAGTTTATTGAAGTATTTTGATTATTATTGCTATTGTTAGTTTTATTAGCTTCACTTTTCTTTTTTATTTCTCATTTTTAATTTTTGGCATGCTTTTACTGATTCTCATCATCATTATTATTATAGTCAAAATTTCATTATATTTTAATTTTTTTCACTCCACTATTTTCTTCTAATATTTCTGCAAGTGAAGTTACCAAGTAGTCTTAAAGGTGTGAACTTGAAGTCAATGAATAATAATTAGATCTAACGCAAGTCGATGAATAAAATTAATAATTAATTTTAGCCACACCCATCTGATCACTGCAGCTCAGAAAAAGATCATGGGCCTGCTCTCTGAAGGAAAGCCTCTCTCCTGGGAAGAGACGAAGAAGAATGCCTGGAAGGTACACAAAGTCGGGATACAGCAGTTCATATCTCTGTTTCACAAACTGAAGGACCGCAAAGGCGATACACTGAAATGGGGAGACGAGGTAATACAACTAAAACACCTTTATGTTCTATTTTCCTTCTATTTCCAGGTGGAATACAATCTGATTAGTCTTGATGAAGAGAAGAAAGTAGCAAAGCTCTCTCTTCTCGGCCCTCAGATACTTGAAGTCTTACAGAAACCAGAGTCAGATGATCCTCTGTAAGATTCCCTCATGCAATAATGTACATTAAATCTCCCTCTCTCTCTCTCTCAATTTTTTTCTCTCTCTCTCAGACATCATAAAGCAAAATGGAGGCCTGAATATGCCAGCTACATGATAGAAGGTAATTGATTAAAAAATTAATCTTGAAATTGATTGCCACGTTGCAGCCTTAGAAATTCTGCTGACTTGTATAATGTTAGTAATAATGATTGTAGAAATTACTCAAATTGGCTATGACTACAATGATGCGTATATAATTACTACTCATAATTATCATTTCTGCATATTATTATAGGTACACCAGGAGCGAGCCCTTATGGTGGATGCTATAGTGATTTTAATGTAGTCGAGGCTAATATGAAACTAAGGTTTGGAAAGATGATTCTGCAACAAACCTTTATCTCATCTCTCTTCCTTTTTCTCTTCTTTCTTCCTTCCCTCCCTTTCTCTCTCTCCTCAGGCGTGAAATGTTATACGAAGCTCTTAAAGGTACTTCAGTTTTCCCTCTTGCCTTAACTGCCTTCCCAAGGTATGTGATGTACATTGTACATGCACCACTACAATGTATGTATATATAGTACATGTACATTAATAGTAAGTATTTAAATTATAATTGATCATAGGATGGGGTGTCCAGGTTTCACTGAGCCGGAGTTTCTTCCTCAGCCTGCAACCTCAAAGTCTCGCTCTCTCTTTTATCCTGACGAAGTCATATGGTCTGGACATCCTAGATTCATGTAAGAAAAGAATCAAATCTACATTAGGTCTTTTATTCTTATCATTTTAGTACATTGACTCGTAATGTGAGGGAGAGAAGAGGAGAGAAGCCAGCAATGAACATGCCCAGTAATTTATTGAATTTTTGTTTTTTTTTTAATTTTGTTGCTTTCTCTTGTAAAGTATTCAAAGATAAAGCCACACCCTCTCCATTTGTTGAGGTGGTTCCTAATGATGATGGTACTGCTAGTACTTGTGGTAAACCAGATCACATATACTTGGACTGTATGGGATTTGGAATGGGCTGCTCCTGTCTTCAGGTATGGAATGAATGACACTATTATATGTACTTGTACATCCAGTAAATTGCTTTAGCAAATAATATGTTTTTAATTTGATTTTATTTTTTTCGTGTAGGTTACGTTTCAAGGCTGTGATCTCAATGAGTCTCGTCATCTTTACGACCAGCTCTCAGTCATGTGCCCTATCATGGTATTATATATCATGTGACCTACTGGAATAATTTCTTATTTTATTCTATAGCTGGCACTCTCAGCTGCTACTCCTATACTGAGAGGGTATCTTGCTGATGTTGACTGCAGGTGGGGCGTCATTTCTGGATCTGTTGATGATAGAACCCAAGAGGAGAGAGGACTAAAAGTACATAAGTTCATATTGTGTTACGATTTTAATCTTTTGTCCTTTCTTTTTCTTCACTCTCCTTTCTTTAAATTCTTTCTCCTCTCTGTAGCCATTAAAGGATGATAAGTGGGTTATACCAAAGTCAAGGTATGATTCGATAGACATGTATTTGGCTAATCCTGAGTATAATGATAAAGAAGTACCAATCAATGAGTTAGCATATCAAACACTAACAGAAAATGGTCAGTGTTAACATTCATTTACTCTGTTCCCTATACCATATGCACCTCCATAATTCTAACTAAATATTAAATGCATGTACGTGTGTGCTAAATTATTAATCTCTCCCTTTTCTTTTCTTTCCACAGGCGTTGATGAGTTAATGGCTAGGCATGTTGCTCATTTATTCATTCGTGATCCAATCTCACTCTTTGCTGAGAAGCTCGAACAAGACGTGGAGAACGAAAGTGACCATTTTGAGGTTCCCTTGTCATTATTAATAATATAAGATGTCTGACTAATTAGCATGTTATTATGTACAGACAGTGTTAAGATGTTAAATTGAGCCTTTATTTTAAATTTTATACATTGTACATGTACATGTACCTGTACCCATTTGTCACAAAATGGGCATGTGTAATTATGTATTTTTATTTTTAGAATATTCAGTCGACTAATTGGCAGAGCATGCGTTTCAAGCCTCCGCCTCCTAATTCACCTATTGGATGGAGGGTTGAGTTCAGACCAATGGAAGTATGTAATAGTTAAATCAGTTTTACTCTTAACTTATACTACTACAGGCACACATACACATTCATATGCACACTCTCTTATTTATTTTGCTCTCCCTCTTTTTTAGTTGCAGATTACTGATTTTGAAAATGCAGCTTTTGTTGTGTTCATTGTGCTGGTTACTCGTGCCATCTTGTCTTTCAAGTTGAACTTCCTCATACCAATATCAAAAGTACGTCCAGACTCCAGACATCAAGCAAACCCAATCCTATTTGAACGTTGTAGTACCAAGTGCCTCAAAATGTACATGTACATGTGTATATAGAAAGATTGTAGATGTATATGTATAAATAAATAAAATAATTTCTTAGCCATTTTGTCGTGAAGCACTACTACTATATACATTTACATGTAGTACAGGGACTTTAACCTGATTTTTGAGCAACTTTAAAAATTTGTAAAAAATCCAAACTTGATCTGAATCAGCTCAAACTTTCTACACAACATAAGTACATGTATATGTATCAGAAAAAGTTATAAAAATTGAGATTTCTCTCTTTTTCATTTTTACCAAATTTGGCCCAGGACCATGTACTATAGTACAGGGACTTTAACCCGATTTTGGAGCAACTTTAAAAATTAATAAAAAATCCAAACTTGATCGGAATCAATTCAAACTTTCTACACAACATAAGTACATGTATATGTATCAGATACAATTATAAAAATGGAGAATTCTCTCCTTGCCATTTTTGACGAAATTTGGCCAAAGTCCCTGTACTATAGTACAGGGACTTTGGCCTGATTTTGGAGCAACTTTAAAAATTCGTAAAAAATCTAAACTTGATCAGAATCAGTTCAAGCTTTCTACACAACATAAGAACATGTATATGCATCGGAAAAAATTATAAAAATGAAGAATTCTCTCCTAGTGATTTTTGGTAAAATTTGGCCAAAGTCCCTGTACTATAGTACAGGAACTTTGGCCTGATTTTGAAGCAACTTCTAACACATACGTCCTTTGTTAGATGGAGGATAACATGAAGAGAGCCATTAATCGTGATGCTGCTAGACAGGGTCTCTTCTATTTCCGTAAAAGTTTATTACCCGAAGATGACGAGGATGATGAAGGAAAAGAGACTCCGCCTACTGGAGCCACTCCTACTGCCCCTCAATCTCACAAACATGAATACACACTGATGAGTATTGACACCATCATTAATGGAAAGGTAATTATTATTTTCTATCTATCATTCATCTACATGTAATATTGCATATAAAAATTGATTGTAATAATCAGTGAAGACTAGTGTACCTCGTTCTGTACATGATACATGTGTTTATTTAGGACGAGTTTCCAGGTGTTATTCCACTGGTGAGGATGTATGTTAATTCCATTGACATTGATGTAGACACCAGGTGTACTGTAATGCAGTATCTGAGATTTATATCAAAGAGAGCATCAGGTTAGTTAATTCATTGATGCATGCTCAAGTCTCTTCAGCAATAACACTCTTTTATAAATAAAAATGTACATGTATGCCACACACTTTTCATTTCTCCTCTCTGTCTCTCTCATTCTCTCTCTGCAGGTGAATTGCCAACAGCTGCCACCTGGATGAGACAGTTTGTATTATCTCATCCAGACTATAAGCACGATTCTGTTGTCAGCGAGATAATCAATTACGATCTCATCTCAAAGATACGTGATATCTCAGAAGGGCGGAGTCCATGCAATGAGTTGACCGGGAGACTGACGTCAAGAGCTGATTCCCTTCGTCCTTCTCTCCCTCGTCGTATATCAGTCAGGAGCGACAGTAAAGATGGAAATGACTAACAAAAACTTTTGAAGTATTTTGATTATTATTGTTGATTTTGTTATACTGTGTACTGTAAAACTGTTTATTATTGTGTATTGTAGTTTTGTTCTCAGTCATACTATTATACACTTTCCATTTCATTCTGAGTGTTCTTTTCTCCCCCTTTCTTTTTTAAAATTTTTGATATGTTTTTGATGTTATTAGTATTTTATTATTATTGTACATGTGTACATGTATTAATTGTCATTTTTAAATGTTTCTGTATATTGTTAGCCCACGATCATCTTCTAATATTTCCTCACAGCGATTTCTCTGCAAGTAAATTAATAGTAATTTTATAAGTAAAAGTTATTCTAGTGTATGTTTACATTGGTGTATTTGACTGACTTGTGTTTTGTTAAGGTAGTCAGGTACTTCAACATAAAGTGGAGTGGGAGGTATAAAAGTTTGCAGTCGAACTGCCTCTTGTGCAGTCTGCTGTGATGCTATAAGATGCTGTAATTCTTGTGACTATAGAAGAACCATCATCATTAGCAGCTTACATGTATATGTACTGTATACATGTAAAGTATATAGCTTACCCTTTCCATGTCATATGTGAGTTGTGTGTTTCTGACTCTGTATCTTGCCTCTGCTGCTCTGTTTTATGAAGACTGTAAATTATACACTCACTTATTTTCTCTCTCACTTGAGTTGTCCAATAAGTTCGCTGTTTTCTTCGTGTTCTATTAAACTCTTCAGCAATGGAGCAGGATCATCACTGTATAAATAATAGATTTAGTGATGCATAAGAAGTGACTTGTGTTATAATATTTATCTTTGACGTACACTTTTGCTAGCAGTTTTCGAGCTCTAACCCTCTTCAAGGACTCCATTTGTTTTTCAAGGATCTCCTTACTTGTTGGTTCATACTATGCATGGGGATATAATGAAAAACTTAAAAAGAATAAAGTGCATGTACATGTACACGTATAATGTACGCAAATGCATGCATGCAAGCCATAAGTATCACCATACCATCATGTATCTGCTTTTTTGCATTGGTGTTAGCTTGCTGAGCTCTGCTGGTGTCATCTGCTTCCAATTCTTGAGCTCTACCTTTTCCCTCCTCTTCCTTCCCCTTGTCTCTCCATTGGAGCATGACTCCATCTCTTTTTGCTGTCTCACCATTTCGTGTAGCTTCCGTGAAAAGCCTCTACAGCCAGAAAAATAATAGTTAAGCAGGAGAACTGCAACCATGAGTGTAGACTGCAGCAGGACTGTCAATATGAAATTGTGAATCATGGCATTTTGCCAAATACCTTTGTCCAACATCAGCAAGGCTTATGAGTGTAGAGCTGTCTATTGGAGGCAAGCCCGTTGAGGTGTGGAGGTTTAGTTTCTCCGAAGGCTTTTGTCGACGAATAGCAACATCAGAACCATCTGTCTCCATTATATTACTGGGCTGTCCGGGTGTGGGCCAGTTGCCATGGGAACAAAGTGAATCTCATGAATAAGTAATGAATTCCACGGAAATATACTAGAAGTGTAAGATAAACGGACTTTGGGTTAACTTACTGAGTAGAAAGATGGCCACTGCAAGGAGTGCAGTCCCTGAGCTAAGAGTGGAGAGGGAGAGGAGTAGACTGGACTTGGAGCAACTCACAAACTTCCTAGATGGAGGAGAGATGTTTACTGAGCGTAGAAGGGAGCTGGGTAATCTTTAAATATTCTCACCTTCCTCCTCTATATCTGCCCAAATCTCTTTAGTTAAGCTGGTAGTGGAGGACCCAGTGTATAAAAGAGACGACAAGTACTTTTTGTCTCGCGAGGAGGCCTTTGAGTCTTCAATGAGAAAGAGCATTCATTATATCGAGGCTCTTAAATCAGGAAAAATCAAGGGAAGACCTGATGCTTACTTTTATAGAACGTATGTCATCATGCACTGCATAAATTATTCAAGTACTTTAAAGATGCATGTACAAGTGTTTTTATTTATTGTCTAGTGTTTTAGACTTTTAGTAGTCATTGCATTATGCAAATATTGTTGTTTCTACATGACTACATTAATTATTTTTGTTTTTTATTTATTTTATATTTAGAGCTATAAATGATGATCTTCCAACAGTCCTGCATGACTCCATGTTCCTGCCTACAATAGAAGTAGGAATGGAGAGAGAGCAGTAGAGCAACATTCATAAATGTTATTATATTTATACTTGCAGGGTCAATGCACTGAAGAACAGAAAGAGAAATGGTTAAAATTAGCTTCTAATTACAGCATTATCGGAGCCTATGCACAAACTGAGCTAGGACATGGTAAAACTAACGTGTTACTCATAATTTTAATTCATTCATTCCAGGAACCTTTATAAGGGGTCTTGAAACTACAGCAACTTATGACCCCTTGACTGAGGAATTTGTCCTCAATTCTCCAACACTTACTTCAATGAAATGGTGGCCTGGAACACGTAAGAATTAACAAAATTATAACTGTACTTATGTACAAGATGCATCATACATTTATAATACATTCATACAGTTGGTCATACTGCCACACATGCTGTGGTTGTTGCAAGACTAATAACCAAAGGAAAAGATGAAGGAATTCATTTGTTCATTGTGCAGCTACGTAGCCTTGAGGACCATAGACCACTACCAGGTAACAGTAGCTATTAATAAATAGCAGTTATTAATTGGTTATTAAAGGAATAAAGATCGGAGACATTGGACCAAAGTTTGGGTACTTTGGTATGGATAACGGTTTTCTCCACATGACAAATGTGAGGATACCAAGAGATCAGATGCTAATGAAATATGCTCAGGTAATACACGAAGGACTCAATCATAATAATTATCCATTTTAGGTATCACGAGATGGTACTTACTCAAAGCCTCCAACTGATAAGATCACGTATGGTACTATGGTTTTTGTAAGAGCAGGTATTGTCGTCCAGTCGGCTAGCATCCTGGCCAGGGCTGTTACTATAGCAATCAGATACAGTGTAGTCAGAAGACAGACACAGAACAGACCTGGGTAAGATAATGAAGTATGCAATGGAGCCTTTATATAATGGACACTTCTTGTCTGTTATACAGAAGTGTCCATTAAATTGAGAGACACCTGCTCTATTGTATGTATGTATGAGTATTATGTGTTATGTTATATACTTTTAGTGAGCCAGAGACACAAGTACTGGATTATCAAACTCAGCAGTTCAAGCTCTTCCCTCTATTGGCCTCTGCTTATGCTATGAAATTTGCTAGTCAGTACATGCTCAAACTTTATGTTGGAATCACCGGAGAAATTGCCGAAGGGAATCTTGAATCTCTACCAGAAGTAAATCAGCTAATACCCTTTTTATTATATTTAAGCCTCTCTTTATAGCTTCATGCTACCAGTGCTGGTTTAAAAGCTCTTTGTTCTGAAATATCTTCTAATGGTGTTGAGGTATTCTTTATAAATACATGTATGTGTATGTTTCTTATCTTTCTTTCTTGTAGCTCTGTAGGCTGTGTTGTGGTGGTCATGGATATTCAGCCGCTAGTGGTCTACCTCAGCTTTATGTTGATTATTCTCCAGCACAGACATATGAAGGAGAGAACACAGTCATGTTACTCCAAACAGCAAGGTTACCTAATTGAAGTACCTCTCTCATGTCTTGTTCTTTTTTCTGTGCAGGTATCTTTTGAAAATATCCAGACAGAAAGTTCCTCAGGCTCAGTTGCCAAACAATGTGGCATATCTTGGAGTCGATTATCCAAAGTATAAGGAGAGCCCAGTTTTGACTCCAAAACAATTTAATGATCCACACATTTTACTGGAAGCATATCGCCAGAGAGTGATTAGGTAAGAGACAGTGAACAAAAGAACGATGAGGGCTATAATAATTGTGAAGCTTTTTATCATCAATATTTTGTTTTTATTCATTCATTATTTTTAAAGGTTAGTTGCTGTAGCATTAAGGAGGTACATGAATGGCATTGACTCTGGATTGGATGCTGTTGCTGCCTGGAATAACTCTTCAGTGGATTGGACAGTAGCAGCAAGAGTAAGATATGCATCATGTGAGAGTCACATGATAGTATTGGGACTTTTTATTTACAGGCTCACTGTCATTATCTTGTTTTGAAAGCATTCCAGTCCAGCATAGATACAGCTGAAATGTGTGAAGCTAATTTAAGTATAATGAGAGTTTTGTGCTGCTTGTTTGGACTGTTTGGTATAATGCAGTACAGTGGAGAATTCTGCCTGGTGAGAAAATAGTAATAATTTTTAATTATTAATATTTATGATTTTGGGCAGCTTAAAAAATTCATAAAAAATTAATTTTGATTGAAATCAGCTCAAACTTGCTACACAACATGAAAACATGTATGTGTATCAAATAAAAATATAAAAATAAAAAAATTCTTTTTTTAGTCATTTTTGGCGAAATTTGACTTTGGCCAAATTTTTGAGTAACTTTAAAAATTTGTAAAAAATCCAATTTTGATCGGAATCAGCTCAAACTTGCTACACAATATAAAAACATGTATATGTATCAGGTAAAAATATAAAAATGGAAAATTCTCTCCTAGTCATTTTTGGCAAAATTTAGCTAAAATCCCTGTACTATGCTACAGGGACTTTGGCCAAATTTTTGAGTAATTTTAAAAATTTGTAAAAAAAATTAATTTTGATCGAAATCAGGTCAAACTTGCTACACAACATAAGAACATTTGTGTGTATCAGTTAAAAATATAAAAATAGAAAATTCTCTCCTAGTCATTATTGGCAAAATTTGGCCAAAGACTCTATACTATAGTACAGGAACTTTGGTCGGATTTTGGAGTTCAAATTTTGGTTGGAAGCAATTCAAAATTTATGAACATGTATATGCATTAGAAAAAATTATAAAAAGAGAAAATTCTTTTTCAACCCTGATTGTGTGTATTATTATTACTATGTAGGATGGGTATATGAATAGTGATCAGATTGAAATGGCCAAGAACCAGCTTTATTCCCTGCTAAAGGAAGTGAGGTAAACTCTTATATCTGTCTGACCACACATCCTTTGGGTTTGCACTTTGACATTGCCAATATTGAAATTCTGTTTTTAATCATTTTAAGCATTCAAAGTAAGAGTTAATCTTTTCCTTCAGATATGAAGCAGTTCCATTGGTTGATGCATTTGATATTCATGATGACATATTAAACTCGTGTCTTGGTCGTTATGATGGTGATGTGTACAGACACTTGTATCAGTGGGCACTAAGAGCCCCTAGGAACAAGAAAGAGGTAATGACATGTATTACTGACATTAACACAACAGGCATAATGTTTAAAAAATTTGTAAATTTGTGATTGATATTAGTTTAAACTTTTTAAGAGCATGTGGTCGTTGTTGCATGATAACTGTTGACTGATTTGCTTATTATTATTATTTTTAGGTTCATGATACTTATGAGAAATATTTGAGGCCACTTTTAAAGAAAACCAAGTCCAAGCTATGATAGTATTAACTTTGATAATAATGACACTACTCTTGCTAATATTTAATAGATATTAATAATGATGATAATGTTAATCATTTTTATACAATTTTAATTTTAGGTATAACAATTTTGTTTTTTTTTGTAATAAATAAGAGTATAATCACTGGTTGGTGTCTCCCACTCCAAAACGAACAAAGCTCCCAACAGAGAGTCCATGAGACCTCAGCCACTCCCCCACTGGCACACTACCGTCAAACAAAAACCTTTGAGTGAGTAGATCCTCCTCTCCTCCCCCTCCAATGAGACGTGGGTTGCACCCGACAATATGCTGAGCTAGCTGATCACCAAGAGAAGCTGATGACAAAGGAGCCACATTATCTTTATCAGCCTTTAAAGTAAAACTAGCATTAACTCCATTTTCATTATCATCTAAGTCAGTGTTCGATCCATTACTAGTACTCTCTTCAGTATTCCATGTCACTGGTTGTGGTTTATTAATGAGGTGTACAATACAACCATATCTACCCATACCAACACCAGATACATATAGTCCATTGTACACGTACGATGATATGAAACCTTCCTCCTTTCTCCCTCCGTCTAGTCTCATGTGGTAGCCACGTGTCAGGTTTATCTTCTCGCCGAGTAGTCCTATTTTTTCGGCCGTCATGTCACCAAGTAAATTCCCTCCAGGGCCTCTGAACGAGGCTAGATCCTCTGGTTTGAGGTGTTGCTGAGGGTCTGATGGTGGGTTGCACATTAAATGATCGGCTGTAGCTCTGGCAGCCTCTGACACGTATTGAAGGAAATTTTGATTTCTAGCCACAAAATCAGTTTCACAGTTCACCTAATAAAAATAATAATAATTAGCTCATCATTACTACATCATAATATTAAGGTAATTAATTAATAAGTTAATTAATAGTACCGTATAAGGGGTATATTTCCCGGGGAAAATATTTCATGAAAATCCCCTTTAAACCTATTCACAAGGAAAAAATTTTGCATTTTTCTTCTACTGACCATTATTAGTATGGTAAAAATAATTTTCACAGATAAAAATTTTCACGAATTTTTTAAAACTGTGAAATTAGCGAAATTAAATCCCAGTGAAATATACCCTCTATATGGTATCATCGCCATTCTCCTCACTTCTAGCATTGTTGCTGCATTACCATCCACACAAGCAGCTATAACTCCTTGAGTGGTAGCACGTGGTAGGTCAGCCTTTATCCATCCTTCTTTCCTTGCTTGTTCTTTGAGCCATTCTTCAGCCAGAGAGAGGTCATTGTTGTGAAGAGACAAAGCCTCCTTGCATTTTGAGAGCTGATAGCCTGTCTTCTTACGGAGGACAGCCAGAGGACTAGAGGAAACTGAAGAATAAAACCTAGAAAATCTCAACCACATTGTAGAGTAGACGACTAGACGTGACCACACCTAGACCATCCTAGACCCATTCCATTCCCCATCCAGCAACCAGCATTGGTCTCGCCTCCTTTTTTTTGCTGTAGGCTAGATCTAACCATACCGGTAGACGTTTTTGGTTTTGCCAGAATCAGAATGTCAGGACAAAGTTAATTTCACTCTCTTACTTCTCCTCTCTATTTTTCTCCTTTACACAGGTACTTATACATTCAAATGGAGGGCTTGCCACTCAGCTCCAGTAATAGGAAGGTCTCTCTACCTGTGGGGAGGGTTCCAACCTGATTGGCTTAGCCCTGATATCATACAAGCACACGATTCATCTCAAAAGAGGAAAGTGGCTTCAACAGTTGAGTCATTTTCCTTTTCATCAGCTCGCTGGTCCTCTCACCTAACAAGGGGAAATCCTCCATTAGGAATCACTGGCTACTTCTGTACCACCTTTCGTTCTAATATTTATTATTATGGTGGCTGGTGTGGTCATGATATTTGTTTCCACAACAATTTAAATGTACTAAATACACTGACCATGAGCTGGACCCAACTGCACCCTAATGATGAGTCCAGGATGAAGAAAGGCTATGGTGGAATGCTATCACTCGAATTTGATGGAACTGACTATCTTTTTATGGTTGGAGGAGCAGGTACTACACCAGCTGTCAAACATCCTCAGTTTCAATATCAGAATAATAAGACGAATGATGCCCTTGTTCTTACTAATGAACAGTTACTTCATAATCTATCTAATGGTGAGTTTTTATCAGTAATATCAGCGATTGTGTACAAGCCTGAGTTTTAGGAATTCAGGTGGGTTTATAATATGACTCTAGACCAGTGTACCAATAATTTTAAATTAAGAAATGTGGGTGATTTCACTGACCATTTGATGCATGCTTTACGCTAGAATTAATTCAAATTTGACTCTAGTACGTGTCAACACAATGTTAGGCCTAGCATAATATTGTAAACCAGCCTTAAGTTAGTAGCATATAAGAAATTAATGAAGATTTATAATTTTACTTTTTAAAGTTGATTGACAATATGCAATATACTACAACCAAAGTGCCTATAAATATGTGGCGTAACACAAGAATTGAAACTTTCCCAACTCTTACGTTACAGCGGTTATGCATTTATTAACAAATTTAATGTATTGCAGTGTGTCAATTAGTTTGCGAAGATAATGAATTTTTTTGTATTTATATTATTGTGTGTAATTAAATTAACAAATTTCTCTTGTTCTTGTTCTTTTAGGACAATTCACTGTTCCATCTGTCAGTGGACAGTGCTGTCCTCCAACTAGTAGTTTTACAATCAACAAAATAAATGGAAATAAAGGAATAATGTTTGGAGGAGCAATTAATCTTCCTGATGGCTATATACCTACTAATGGTTTGTACATATTTCATGTGACACATACTACAATAGTAAGTTATTATCTACCTTATGACATAATGGCTTTGTTATTTAACATTTTAACTTAAGCTATACCGTTGGCATGTATTAATTTTAGTGTTTTTGAAATATTGAGTGATTTACTTTTACTATAATTTAAATTTAGTACTCGCAATTAAAAGTCACTCTAAGGTAGACACTAAACAATGAAGATTGTAGAATAAGCGTATAAGTTTTAATGTATGCATCAATGTCAATATTATTAGAGGAAACCACTTTTTTGGAGTTGTTGTGTTTTAATCGAAAAAAATTGAGAATTTTGTGATCAAAAAGTAACAAACCACCTAGTTAGGTATTTTTTCTTAGCATCAATACAATCAAAATGATTGCTACACCCATGCAAAATTTCCAATCCCATGATTTACTCTATTATCTATGCTTCAAGTTTAGTTATAATTGAGGTTAGCTGCCTTATTATACTGCACAAAGCTTTAAGCTTGTGTCACTCCTTTACATCAATAGAAGAGAGTTCGTAGCTGCCTTTTTATTTTACTGTGACCATAATTAACACCACAAACCATTATAAATATTTAATTTTGGTTTTTGTTTAAGAATTTCTCACCATGTTTGCTAAAATTAGGCTTAACATTATTGAATTTGATTTGAGACTAGCATTTATGCATCCGAGCAGGTCAAATCACCCACCTTAAAAATTATTATTACATCTGCCTTATTATTATTACAAGTAATGAAGTCCACTGTAGTAAATACCGGTAATTGTATAATTTTTATTTTATCTATTATTTTAGCATTGGGAGAGAGTTAAAAAAGGATCAATATCTGGTAAGGAACTCTGGCCTATGGACATATGTGATCATGCTAGTGCTATTATCAATGGAGTCTCTACCTCACCTGCACTAGTAGTGATTGGTGGGTGGAGTAATAGCAGTCAACTAGTGAATGATTGTTTATTATTGGATAATATCACTACTAGTCAGTACAGTTGTAAGAAGGTATGTCACTGTACATGTTTAATTATTCAAGTTTAATAATGAAATTTGGGAGAGCCTTACCCTGCATGATATTATTAATTATTTCTCAGATTCCTCTACCTGAATCTGTTACTGGCAGATCCTATCACTCACTCACAGCAATCACAATGTCACCACACTGTGTGTGGCTAGTAATTGTTGGAGGAAGTCAAGATATTCGATGGAGAGTTCAACAGTTGATGGAGGGAGGGCATGATGATGAAGAGGAAACTGGATATATGGTGGGTAGATTTATCGCTGATACTAATAGACTAATAATGATAATTGAATTAGGTAAGATACTGTATTATTAATTAAGCAATCACTGCCATAATTATGATGAGGTTTTTTATGACACCTATATAAACTGTTTTAATTTGTTTTCTTATTTCAGTATATATTGAAGCTGGTGAGTGGACAGTACAGTCAGTACTGGATGGTAATGATCTCACTAGTAAGAAATATCAAGAAAAGTATGAATCATACAGCAAGACCAGAACATGGTGGATGGATCAGTTAATAGAATATCCCACAGAGAAGGAAATGGAGCTTCAGAGATACATTCAGTTATTGCAAGAAAAACTACAAGCGGCTTATCAAAGCAAAGTATCACTACAGGAGGCACTGGTTGAGGCCAACAAACAAAGTATAATACCTATGCATGCGTGCACATTCTTAGTTATTAAAGTACTTATTAAATGTGATATCATTTGATATGATTATTTTTATTATATTTTTTTAGCTGAGGTTGGTGATAATAAATTAGTAATGACTGAGAAATTAGAAGAAGTGCTGAAGGCATTACAAGAAGAGAGACAGATTCTTACTGGTTAGGGTATCATCAGTACATAATATTAGATAGATCAGCTAATAGAATATCCCACAGAGAAGGAAATGAAGCTTTCAAGGCACATCCAGTTTTTACATCAAGAACTACAAGTGGCTCATCAGAACAAAGTGTCACTACAGGAGGCATTGCTTGAGGCCATCAAACAAGGTACATGACATGTATATATTTAAATTGTATGTTTTCAGGCTCTAAAGCTGACGGAAATAATTTAGTTATTATGAATGAGAAATACGAAAGGGTTTTACAAGAGAAACAGAGTATTACTGGTTAGTGTGTATCATTACTGCGTAATATTAGATGAGTCTATTAATGTAGAAGATAATGAGAAACTTAGAGTTAAAGTTGCTTATAATGAAGTATGGATAACTGAAATAGAAGAAGAGAAGAGACAAGTAGAGGAAGAGAATAGAAAAGTAGAAGACAAGAATAAAAAAGCAAAGAAAGAGAAAGAGCAAGCAGAGGAAGAGAAGAGACAATTAGAGGAGCAATACCTCATGGAGAAACAGATCACTAAAGGTTAGAGTATATTGTCATCAATATGTGTGTATTATATAAGAAAATATTTTTAGAACTTAAAGCTAAAGTTGCTGTCAATGATGTATTTATAACTCAATTAGAGGAAGAGAATGAAGAAGTAGAGAAACAATATCGCAAAGAGAAACAGCTTACTAAAGGTTAGAGTATGTCATTAATGTGTATACTATATGAAAGAATGTTTAGATCTTAAGAGTAAAGTTGCTGACAAGGAACTGTATACTGCCAAACTAATGAAGGAGAGGGAGCAATGGAGTCAAACCAAAGAGACTAGTTCCAAAGAAGTGCAATTTGATTACATGATCCCTTCAATGGGTAAGAGTATTATACTGACTGCATGAGTATATATTTTATACAATTTATAGATAATTTGGAATGTCTGAGTGATGTCCATGTAGCAGAGAAGAAGCTATTCTTAATTCAAGGAGACAAACCTCAACTGATGAATTGGGAGAAATATGGTCTAAGGATTGGATTACAAGAAGGAAGCCTATTGTCCTCTGAGACAGTAGAAGCAGCAGTGGTTGCTCTAGTAGGAGGACAGTTCCAGTTTCCTCCTAATACTGTCCTAGTCAGTGCTGTGTATGCAGTATCACTCTCAAAGCCTCTCTCCAAACCACTCAAGTTGGAGATACAGCACTGCGTTGATTTAACAGGACGACCAGATCTTGTACAATACTTAAAGTTTGCTATAGCTCCTGTGAGCACGCCCAGCCTTCCTTACCAGTTTTCAATAGTTAAAGGAGGAGAGTTTAAACCTGATAGTTGGTATGGATCCATTCAACGAACTAAGTTCTGTTTAGTAGCTATTGTTGGGGAGAAACATCTACCCAAATCATCAACCAATGGAGAGGAGGATGAGGAGCAAGAGGAACAAGCAGAAGAGGAAGCTGAGGATGAAGTAGAAGATGGTAATAGTGATAATTCTGATGAGACTAAAGATCCACAAGGAACTGGCAGTGGAGCTCAAGGTCAGTATGGTAGTCAGTCAGTCAGTCTGGGCTAATTCCACTATGTAGGAGAGTCTAGTAGTAGTCAGGGAGTAGAGAGAGAGGAGGAGACTGGAAGTCAGCCATTATTTGAGAAGGAAAATGAAGAGTCAAAGGATTATGAAGAACCACAGCATGAAGAAGTAACTGCTCCAATACCTTGTACTGAGATTAGTTCAGATTTTAATAGTAAGTACATACATGCATCCACAGTAATGATATTATCTTTTTTGTTTATAGGTCAGGTAGTAGTTTCCACTAGTATAGTAGAGAATATGGCTTATGCTGGACTGGTTTATTATGAGAAGAAAGAAGCTGAAGATTTGGTGACATTTACTGCTGCTAAAGATCTTAATGCACTGCTTGAGGTATATCTGTTGTATTTTACAAAACTTTTAATATTTTTTTAGTTTATTGAACAAAAGCACTCTCAAGCTGAAGTTGGGCAAAATATTCTATTTCGTTTCAAAGATTATGATGGACATATTGAATTAAAATTTGATACGCCTCAAGATGAGCCATTCACTGGTTGGAGTATTAAGCCTCACCTTAAGCCTTGTAGAGTAAGTACTGCAATATAATGTATAACTGATGGTTGGTATGTGTATATTAATAGTTTCTACGTTGTGATGTTGATAAGTTTGGTGAAGCTAATTATCCTCTTCCTTCCACCTGCCTGATATCAGTATATGGATTACCTGATGCTGTACCGTTATTGCACTATTCTATACCTTTGAATGGAGTGGTTGATCCTAAGACATTATTCATTCACCGATCACTGAGAACTACTCTTCCCTCGCCTCTTCCTTCAACAAGTAATAGATACAAATTTAAAGTGTTTATTTATTTAATATTTATCAGATCCTACTACCTCCTCTAATGTAGTACAGGAATCAACTGCAGTATCAGAAACTAGTAAGCTGATATTAGCATAATAACACACTAATCACTGAATTTGTATCATTAATAGGTACATTTAGATCTGATATTGCTCATAGAGTAATGACAGAATGTACTGGAATGATAAAGGAAAGGCTTGATCTAAATACATTAGTAGATAAGCTACTTGAGAAGAGGATGATAAATGAACGAGAGAAAAAGAAAGTTCTTGATGAACGATGTGGACAAACTGCTGATCAAAGAATGGACGAGCTACTTAGTTTAGTCAAAGCATCCATTAGAGAGGATGGAGAAGATTTTGGTTTGTTTCTAGAAATAATTAAACAAGAGAATACAAGGAGAGCTGATAGACTAGCTCAGACACTATTAGAAAATTATAAAAAGTCATTATAATTTGTTTTTGTTATGTTATAGCGTGTATTTGTTGTTCTTTAATTTTATTATTTTTTATGTGAAATAAAATTATAAGTTGCTGGACCCAGGAGGGCGGGCTTACTCCGCCCTTTATTTTTTCCCGCGGGGGAGCTGTGAAGTAAAGACTGAGGACTCTCACTTCCATCAAAGATACTCTTTGCTCGTCACTGGTCCTTCGAATTCTTCTCTAACTAACATCCCCCACTGATGGCTACCCCAGACCAGCCAGTGGATAGTAATGAAGACAGGAAAGGAGACAAGATGGAGGATGGGACGACAGTAGGCGGGTCCATCCCAATAACTCCAGCTACATTCACTGAAATGAAGGACCTTCAGAAAGGAATGCTACTAGAAGCTAATGACAAATTCGGGAAATGGTATGTACAGACAGACCAAGCTTCTGTAAACTGTTTTATCCTAGTCTAGTGTTATTCTAACTGTGTACATGGTGTGAGTTATCACTATTTCTTTTTCTGGTTTCTTCCTTTCAAAGGTTTCTTGCAAATATTTTGGAGCTCGATGTCAAGTCTGAGAGGGCCAAAGTTCACTTTAGAGGTTGGAGCTCTCGCTTTGACGAGTGGATTAGCCTCAGAGAGGGGAAATTAAGAAAAATGACTGGCGACCACAGGAGACACAGGGGGAAACTATCAAAATCGGTACAAGGGGCAACCACAAACAACAAACAATACATAGCAAGGAGGGATAGGGGAGGATGGGGTAACTCTGGTACTGTATGATTGCCAGTGTATTTTTTGGGGATATTTTTGTTCCAGAAAGGATTACAGACTTTGTTTATTTCCATTCTGAGCTGCCATTATTTTACTTTTTTAGATTGTGATTGGAGATAGAGTAAGTGTGAAGGTTGATAGTAAAGGTGTCAATAAACAGTATGGACATGTATTGAGCCTAAATCAGAAAGGTCAGTGAATATTGATAATAGCAAGGTATTATTTGTTTTTTTTTTTTATTAATTATTATTAGGAAAAACTGTTGAAGTTCAGTTTGATGATGGACACAAGCAAATTATGTCTTTTAATGATGTTACCAAAAATGTAAGAGAGAGGGAGAGGGAGGGAGGGAGAGAGAGAGAGGGGGGAGGTGGAGGGTGTTAGTTACTAATAATACATTCATAAAAGTGACTCCTTGTTCTTATAGATGCATTCAGAAAGCAGTACAGCTAGTACCTCTGTGCCCTCACCAGTCACTGAGGCTAGAGTTCTTAGAACAAGAAAGAGAAAGAAACCAGTTGACACCGATGAACAACCCGACCCCTTTGATAATCCATCCCCTCCCTCATCTCCCAAAGAAAAGAAGAACCAGTCTCTCTTGACCACGTCGGACGACGACTACATTCTAAGTGAAGACAGTGATCACTCTGCAAAAGAGGCTCGGAAGAAGAAAAGACGATTATCATTGAGGAGAAAGAAAAAGAGTGAAGAACCAGAGCAGACCACACCTATAGCTACCACGCCCCCTGTAATTACTAAAGGTAGTGTATCGAAATTGAATTTAAAGAGGTGTGGCTCTGCTAGTTCAACAGTACCTGTTTCACCCGAGGACCCTCTAGCTAGTAATAAGACACTGGGGCCTCTGATGACCCCACCCCCTCATCATTATTCCGCCATTACAGTCACGCCCATTTCTCTTATATCCACGCCACTGGCTGGACTGATACAGACACAGTCTCATACCATATCAGGTATTGAACTCCTGCCGTCTGTCTCTGAGTCTTCTTGTACTCATATTGCTACTGTTGAGGGCGTGTCTCTATTGGAACAGACTCCGCCCGTCACTCCAGGTATAATTAATCTACATGTATGTATTATAGAATGGAATGGGTTTGTAATCAAAAAGATTGCTTTTAGTTTGTATGCAGTCCATTACAATTTGCCTTTTGCATTTGTTACATTGTAAACCCACCCTACATTATTATATGTACATGTAAATTACATTGAAAGTTACATGTACATACATGCATACTCTTGTCTTTTTTCTCTCTTTTAGGTCATTCAAAAGGTGCTTCTAAGCCACAGCCAATCTCAAGGATCCAGCTTCCATTGGTTTCATCTCCTGCTCCAGTGATAGCCTCTGTGGCCACTCCCTCTCTCCCTCCCATTCAACGACCCCCAGCTGCTGCTCTATCACCAGGTAAGGGAGAGACTGGGAGAGAGAGGAGGAGGAGGAAGTCAATGACTACAAGAGCTCAGACTAAAGTGGAGAGAAACGTGAGTCATCTTAAGTTAAATCTCTTGCATGTACTTGCTAAGTATTTTGCTTGCGTGATTTGTCTTTTACTTTAATTTTTCTTTCATAATAGATAATAAAGAATGATAAAGATCGACCATGTAAGTTACATAAATGTATGTTTACCATCATCATGTATATATATGTCATCTTTCCCTTTCTCTCCTATAGCTCACCTAGCTCCTAAAGAGCATGTTGTTATATTGGATCATAATAAGTTCAAGTGTACAGTCTCCACCTGCTCCAAGTCGTTTCGTAAAGAGTCTCTCCTCCAGTCTCACCTCTACCACTACCACAAACAAAAAGGTCTGTTTTAATAACTATTAATAATAATTATTGTATTAATGAGTACTCTACTCTCTACATTGAGTGTATATGTGGTTTATTTTTTGAGGAATGAAATTAATTTTTTTTGTTGCTCAAAAATCAGGCCAAAGTCCCTGTACTGTAGTACAGGGTTTTTGGCCAAATTTTGCCAAAAATGACTAGGAGAAAATTTTTATATTTTTATCTGATGCATATACATGTTCTTATGTTGTGTAACAAGTTTGAGCTGATTCCGATCGAAATTGGATTTTTTTACGATTTAAAAATGACTAGGAAAGAATTCTTCATTTTTATAACTTTATCTGATACGTATACATGTTCTTGTGTTGTGTAGAAAGTTTGAGCTGATTCTGATCAAAATTGAATATTTACGAATTTTAAAAGTTACTCCAAAATCGGGCCAAAGTCCCTGTACTATAGTACAGGGTCACAGGCCAAATTTTGCCAAAAATGACTAGGAGAGAATTTTCCATTTTTATAACTTTATCTGATACGTATACATTTTCTTATGTTGTGTAGAAAGTTTGAGCTGATTCCGATCAAAATTGAATTTTTTACGAATTTTTAAAGTTACTCAAAAATAGGGTCAAAGTCCCTGTACTATAGCACAGGGGCTTTGGGCAAATTTCATCAAAAATCACTAGGAGATAATTCTTCATTTTTATTACTTTTTCTGATGCATATACATGTTCTTATGTTGTGTAGAAAGTTTGAGCTGATTCCGATCAAAATTGAATTTTTTACGAATTTTAAAAGTTACTCCAAAATTAAGCTAAAGATGCTCACAAATGAAATGCATGCATACTCCTTTTACTAAGTTAATAATGAATTCACTTGTTGATAGGTGTAAGGAGGTCAGTAGATGGACCTGTTAAAGGTCCTCCTATGAAATCAAAAGTAATAGAAGCAGCAGGAGCAGCTCCATCACCTTCCATCCTCAAAAAGAGCCCAAAAACTCGCCTTCACTCACCCAAGAAAACACTGAAAAACCCAAAAACACTGCAAGATCTCCCTCCAGCTCCTCCCATCCTTAAAGTACTCGTAGTACCAGCCGAAAAGAGAGCCCAGAGTCTCTGCAGGGAACTAAAACTACCCTTGCCACAGGAACCTATAATATTGAAACAGGTGGAGAATGAGTCTTATAGACCAGCAGGAGCCACAGGTAGTGATCAACCAGCCCAGAGACTCCGCCCTGTTAGGAGATCAAGTACTGCCGTGTTGCCTCCTGAGATGCTGGACTCTGAGACTGAACTTAGTGAGGAGGAGAGTGAGGAGTATGACAAAGGATTTGATGAGGATGATTACGAGGAGGAGTTCCTTGCCTCGTTGAGTGAGAGGAACAAGAGGAAGAAGGAGAAGAAGATGGCATCAAAGGATGATGTTGTACATTGCAATTGTGCTAATAATCTTGATGAAGGCTTCATGATACAGGTGAGGTAGTACAACTAGTATTTATGTGACTGTTGAATAAATACTTGTATTATCACTTGCTTTATGATTTGGTCAAACACATGGGAAGTTGCAACTCCAGTTAATGAGATTTTTTAGCTTGTTTGAGCTTCTGAAAGTAAAGCCCAACATCCACTAGGCAGCTTTGTTGAAATCAACAGCAATTTGTTGAAAGCAACTTTGTGGTCTGTCAAATTTTTTGCCTGAAGTAGAACAGTGTTCTATTTCAGCAACAAAAGTTGCCATAGTGGATGTTGGGCTTAACAATTGACCTTGTTCAAGCAATTTAATGAAATAAATGCACATGTTGATATTTGTAGCTGTACTTCATTTACACACATGTACATGTAGTGATGTAATTATGCTGTACTTAAAGTTATCATTTGAAAATATCATTATTTATAGTGTGATCAATGCTTGACGTGGCAGCATGGAGAGTGTGTTGGTATAATGGAGAACAAGACTCCAGAGAGCTACTTGTGTCCAATCTGTTCTAATCCTCCAGGAATGAGGAGAAGGATTAAGCACATGGTAGGTCCATTTATAAGTTGTATAGATAGCACATGTATGTGTGTAATAGTAACACTACATACTATTTGGCCTAAGACCATCAACTATATACAGTAGTACAGGATACCGTCTATCTGGAAATTTTTACTGTGATTTAAATTTTACTGGATTAGAATTTCACAAAAATTAGATCACCCATATAATTACATGCTACATTCAATAATACATGACACAGTCTTATTTAGTAAAAATTAAGTCACAGCACAATTTTAAACAGCAAAAATTTTCTACCACACTAATTTCCTGATCTACGTATTTCATTTTTTGATGTATATACATGTTCTGTAGAAAGTTTGAGCTGATCCCAATCAAACTTTGATTATCAATTATTTACCATATACTAGTAATAGTACTGGGATTTATTTTGTCTCTCTCTCCCATCCAGTATCCTAGGTCATGGTTTATTGATGGCTCTTTGCCTTCATTTGGAGACAAATCTAAAGCTAGTAAGGATCATAACAAAGCTGTACTCAAGAGTCATAGAATAGCTGACACGCTCTACAAGATAAAGAAAATGGTTCATTGTACAAAGATAAAGCTTCAGGCAATCAAGTAAATCTTTTGATACGTTTTAAAAAGTATTATGTACTCTCTTTCATGTATGAATGTTAATGTATACTATTTTAATATACATGTACATTATAGATTATTTTCTGTTTTTACATGTACATCTAGTACTCCGAATCACTTGTATCTCAAGCAGTGGTCCAGGTACTGTAAACAGCTCTCACCCGAAGATGTCCAGTCAGTCTTGTTCAAAGTCTTAAACCCGGTCAAAGACCTCATACCATTCCCTTCCACTGAGTCTTCTAATGTCCCTCTCTCTACTCAAGCAACCACTGAATCAAAAGTTAATGTTTCTGAGTCTTCCAGCAGCTCATCTCATGAGTCCCTTGTTAAAGAACCTTTCCTGGACGTCACAGACCTCAAACTAGTTCCACTGCCTCCTCTTCCTCTGCCCTCTTCGGCCGAGAGTGGAGGAGGAGGAGGAGAAGGGGGCACTCCTGATTTTCTAATTGACGAGCATTCTCCAAAAAGTGAAGATGGAGATACTCTGTCTCCTCCGATGCAGAGCTTGCCTCCACTCCCAGTCTCGTCGTGTCTAACCACACCCACTGTTGTTACCACGCCGACTGTTTCCTTGGCAAACATCGACAAAGAGGTAAAGAAAAGTGTTACAAAATGATTTCCATCACATTTTACATTGATTGTATTATAGGCCGTTACTCAATCCAACGGAATAGACACTGATATGGAGGTGACATCTAAACAGGAGGAAGAGGAGGAAGGAGGACAAAGGGAGGATAGTTTCATAGCAGCTGTGAGACAAGCTGCTGATAGTCTATACACTGATGGTGACAGTAGTCACTGGATTCAAAGACTACTGCTCATTGAGCATGTGGAGAAAGTCCAGGAGAGGATAACGTCCTGGATAAATGAGATTGATAAACTCATTGAAGGTGAGTTTAAATTGATTTATGGACTATCCATAGAGCAAAGGCCCTCCTGTTATGAGATAGGTGGTATTAAAAATATGGGATATTATATGGTACATGTAGTTCTATAGTTATTCTAACATCTTTTACTATTACAGTCTGGTTCGATATGATTTTTAGGACTCTCTGATAAAGAATTAATCGACTCTGCAAGTCTTTTAATGGAAGTACAAGAAACTATAGTAGAACTTAATAAAATGGGGCACTCTGGAGCATCACTCACGATGAAAACAACAGCATGACTTTATTCAAAAATTCTCTCACTCTCTTTTCTCTTTATGATTATTTTATCCAATCACATAAGATATTGTATTATAATAGCGCTATGATGATAGAAATTAATAATTTTATTCAATTATTTGTCTCAATACTGCTAATTGTACCATTGTACTGAATGGCATTTAATTAATTAGTGACGCGTGGGTGTAGTGAGAAAGGTGTGGCGGCTTCTTGGCTATGATTTCACTGCGCTTTGAGGCACTTTGCCCTCGACTTTACCTCTCTTGATGGCCGCTTCTTTGAGAAAAGGGCCAGTCTCCCATCTCTTTAGTAGCATATCTAAAATCAGGCTTTTATACTCGGCGCGCCTTCTCTCATCCGATGGGATCAGAACTGCTGTTACTGAGAACAATCATAAGGACAAAGCTAGAGTACTGGCTGAAAGATACTCTCTTGATGGAGCGAAAGTGAAAATTGATCCCTTTTTACAAGTATTTGATATTTAGCAGCCTGTATCCAGTATTATTCTTATGCTATTATTATTATGATAGGACCTTGTCAAAACAGGACTCAAGCTTGAGAATGATCCAAGACTACTCAAGTATCACAAGATGAATGGTGTTGAGGAGTTACATATAAATGAATTCATCAGGTTTGTAGGGAAAATCATAAATTGTAATGGGATTGCTACCATAACAACATTCTATGAATGTTTGTGTAATACACTTTACCTGGGCACACTTCATGGATATAAAATTTCACAAAATTTGTTGACAATATAAAAGTTCTTTATAGCATTTTACACATTAATTGTTTATTTTATCCTGTGTACATTATATTAATTTGAGGCTCTACTGTTAGTTTTGTTTATACAATCACTGACATTCCTTCCTTTTTCCTATCCATGTTAAAGTGCTGTACAAGATGATGCAGATTTCCTACAGAGGGCTGTAGAAGGAAAGTTGGTTGTGGAGGATTTCGATTATGTTAAAAGCACAATAGACAACATTTATAACGAGTGCTCTGAAATTAAAGGAGGAAAAGTTAGCATAACAATAATTAGAAATAATGATTATACTGTACATGTACATGTACATCTAACACCTTGTTCACTAAAAATATTGCTGGGTAGGAAGCTGTCCTAATGTACATTGTATAACTGTACCACATTTCCCTTCTTCCCTCACTCTCTCTCTCTCTCTCTCTCTCTCTCTACTAGAATGCTTCCTATATTCCTGAGCTATCACTTGTTGATCCTTCTCTATGGGGGATATCACTGTGTACTGTAGATGGACAAAGGTACAATTCTCATTCACATACTACATTATGTTGAATTGAACATCAATCAGGCATTCTGTTGGTGATAGCTCCACTTCCTTTACCATACAATCTGCTGGAAAGTGCTTCAACTATGCCATTGGTTGTGATGAAATCGGTAGAGAGAGGGTATGTTAAATAGTACTTATGATAAATGAGCTCATTATGATTCTACAGGTGCATCAGTATATTGGTATGGAGCCAAGTGGAGCTCATTTTAATAGGATGGCACTCAATAATAAAAGTAAGTGAGGGTATTATGTACATGTACATCTGTGATGAGGTTTCAATTAATAGTATAAATGTATTATGTATAGTCATTATAATACATGTACATGTATATGTAGGTAAACCTCATAATCCTATGATTAATTCTGGAGCACTTGTCCTGTCTTCTCTTATAAAGCCTCGCCTCTCTCTCCATGAGAGAATGGGATTTGTAAGTTGTATTTTGTCACTTTTTTATCATTTAACTCTTTCTCTCTCGATACTCTTGTTCCTTCTTTCTCTCCCTCTTCATTCAGTTGTTAAGGAAATTTGATGAGCTTGCTGGTTTGCCTCCTCGTTCAATAAAAATTGATACAATAACGTAAGTCAGACTAGATCCACTAATATGTGCCCTGGCTCATTGATCATACATTACATCATAGATAGTATTTGTGATTACACGCATGAATTTGTATACCAGTAGAATCCTGACAGTGTGGCAGTTTGTAGTTGTTAAATGTCACTATAATTAACAAGCCCTTTTTAAGATTAGAAGCTAATAAACACTTGTATGGATATTGACATGTACAGTTTTTACAACTGTACTTGCACCTCCTCTCTCACTATGGATATCTGTGCTCACTTAGCAAAGTGATGTCACTGATGTGTACATGTACATGTATGTGCCTGTAATGAGTAATTGAGTACAATAGATGTACATGTACATTTATATGTAGATTTTATTATGTGTATTATTGTTATGTACATGTAGGTGTGATTCTGAGATGGAGCACTGTGATAAGAATATGGCATTGATTTATTACATGAAATCAAAGAAGGTATACATATTCATCACATTAATGTGTCTGGTATCTCATGAATGTGATCCTTTTTTCATGTCCTCTCTCCTTCTTTTTTTCTCTCTCTCTCTCTTCATTAATATTCTCTAGTCTTTGCCTTCTGATACCTCAATAGATGACACAATAAAACTATACACTCGAGTGAGTCTTTACATGTACATTGTACATGTAATTATTTAGCTTGTTGTACTACTGGTCTAAATAATGTACTCTACATTAAGTTTTAGATTCATAATCCTTGCACTAAATTGTAATTAAAATTGGAGGATCAAACTCCCTAAATAGCATAAGGCAATGTATGTGTTAATAAACATTACTAGTGTGAAAACCACAAACATTTTTTGTTTAGCTCTTAATTCTTATATGAATCCAATAGAGCTATTATTGTTACTATTGTGTTTACATGTATTGCTTGTACTGTACATGTATAGCTTTGTTCTATTGAGATTGATTGCTACAAAGGAGCAGTAATGGCAGCCACTCTTGCTAATGGAGGAGTCTGTCCAATCACTAATAAACAAGTGAGCCTATTCCTTGTATCATTAACACCCTTGCTAATGCATTTGTACCATCAAGAGTACCATGTATCTACACGTACTTGTACAATGCCTTATTCTTCCTTTATTTACTCTCTCTTTTATGTATACATTGTAGTAGCTTCTCTATCTTAATGCATTTAATAATAACAACATACTGTGTACTTATAGGCTCTAGTATAAACATTGCCACTACTATAGAGTGTATATGTACTTGTAGTACAAAGAGGATTCTCATTAATCTTATTGTCGCTAATAATGAGTAGCTAGTGAGTCTGTGTTTGTTTCTTGTTCACAGGTAGTGACCCCGGCCTCAGTCAGGCACACACTGACATTGATGCATTCCTGTGGTATGTATGACTTTTCAGGAGAATTTGCATTCAATGTAAGTCTCATGTTAATTGTGAGTAGTATAGACTCTGTATGTATGCCCCCCCTCTCTCTCTCCTTTCTCTTCTTCAATTCTTTCTCTACCATTTCATTTCCTCCTTCCTTCTATTCTTTTATTTCTCTCTCTTATTACGAAGATCCAATGTGTGTATATCCTTCTGAGAATAAATGTTTATGAAGTCTTAAATCAATGTTATTGCCTTTAAAGTGATGCAAATGTTGTTTCATTGTACTCTCTCTAGGTTGGTCTACCAGCCAAGAGTGGAGTATCTGGAGTCATTGTGGTCGTGGTCCCTCACATAATGGGCCTCTGCTTATACAGTCCTCCGGTCAATGACAATGGCAACAGTGTCAAAGGACTAGAGTTCTGCAGAGTAAGTGATGTACTACTGTACATACCGTATAGTGGGAAATTTTGGAGGGACTAAAATTTGGCGAATTGCTAAATTTTGGCGAATTGCTAAATTTTGGTGATTGGCGAATTTTAATTTGGCAAATTTGTGGCCACGTGCCATTGAGCATGTGTATAATGGCTCGAAATGGTGGATTTTATTTTGGCAAATGGCTATCAAAACGACGAATTCGCCAAATTCAATTCCCTCCAAAATTTCCCGCTATACGGTACTGTACATGTATAGTTTAATACTTGTTAGTTATGCGTATAATTTTTGGTTTTTTTTCAGAGGTTGTCAAAGGATTTTCACTTTCATCTCTATCATTCTCAGTTTCATCAGCATCAAAAATTTTAGCAGTCGATATTATAATCATAGCAATAACAATAATTATTTTTATATTTGTCACAAAATGAAATGATATTGTTGTACATGTATAATAATAATAATGATAATAATAATAATAATAATAATAATAACAACAACAAAAACAATGTAAACAGGATAGGGAGGGGACAAGGTAATGATGTGAACTATACTGACTCTGGAATTATAAGAAACTTCAACGACTCTCAACTCTACATGTGTCTTTGATAGCTGCCAAATCCTATAACAATTGAGAGTGGATCAATAATTACTGCAAACTATTACATAGAGTTTTATTCACTTGTTTTGCTTGTATTACTCCAGGGTTTCCAACAGGTTTAGGCATAATGCTTTTCAATGAATTTCTAAAATTACTCTAAAATCAGGCTAAAGTCCCTGTACTATAGTACAGGGTTCTAGGCCAAATTTTGTCAAAAATGACTAGGAGAGAATTTTTCATTTTTTCACACATTCTTATGTTGTGTAGCAAGTTTGGGTTGATTCCGATCAAAATTTAATGAATCTTTAAAGTTGCCCAAAGCCATGTACATGTACTATTGTAGTGCTTGTCAGCTTGTAAAGCATGCTTTTTAGCTCACTTGGCATGCTTTGTTGGAAACCCTGTATCACTCATTACCTCTCTATCTCTTTCTCTCTCTCAATTATTACTTACGAGTGGATTCCGACCAGCAAATACACTCAGTTCATCGAAACATGTTCGTAAGTTCCTGTAACTTGGCACATCACTGTCTTTAATCCAGAGCTTCAATACAGACACACAGTTATCAAAATCGGAATTATCTCGACGGATAAACTCATTCGCTCTCCTTTCAGGAAGACCCAATATCGAAGTAGCAATTTTCAAAGGATTATACTCACTACGTATGCATCTCATTGCTTCAGTGAGTTCTAGTATAAAATCATCAGAGACCAGATCCTCTTGGCTTGCAGGCTGAAACAAGGTCTGTAGCACTGAAGTGGAGAATCCATTGTAGACTTCAAACAAAAACAGATCCTTAGTTGAGATGTTACAGGTTCCTGATACATCAGTGATGATGCAAGGCTCATCGGGATCCCTCTGGTTAATGATCCTTTGGCTGATCTCAATTAAACGAAACACTCCTCTTTTAGAGCGAGAGAGTTTAAATTCCTCACCTGTAGGAAGCAGAGCCCATTGGGGACTCTGAAAAACATCGTAGCACTGAAGGCCTTTACAGAACTTTTCTTTTGCATTCAGAATTGTTGCTATAACTTTTGACCTGTAGCGAACAACTGATAAACATTGGCCTATTGGTGATGCCATTACTAGCTGTAGAGTCTTGTTATTATTAGTGAAATGAACCATTACCCACATACCATCATCACTCATCCAGCGGAGACCACTCCGCCATATTGAGCACCTTCGTCTTAGTACAGGGAGAGAGGAGCCTTCTTCATTAGCAGGAGGGAGAGCAAAAGAGAGTGCAAGTCTCAGAATGAGTACATGCATGAACCTGTATGTGAAGAACTGCTGTGTCTCATTGGTGCATTGGAGTATCCAACTGAACCAGTTGTATTGAGAGCTTGCTGAGTCTTCCGGTGGCCAGCACTTGCTAGGAGGCTCATTCTTAATGAGAGCAGGAAAAAAGAGGAGAAGGTTCTCGGGATTGTCTGGAGGAGTATCGGCCTCGCGGAGTATTTCAAAGCTGTTCTCATTGAAGAGGTGGCAGAATTCAAAATGGACAAGGAACTCGATGAGCATGTCTGTCTCATACTGAGGGAAAGCAGTTGAGAGATATGACTTGGGAATGAGCCCAGTGCTGTTATTAAGCGGGAGGTGATCGGTGAAGTTTTCTGGAGCAAAAACCAGCCCATTGACCTGTGAGAGGAGTGCTTCTCTTTGGATCACGATCCAGCTCTTGTCTAAATCTGACGGATTCTTTAAGAAGAGTATGAGCCCTTTATCACTGAGTGTGGAGGATAATTCAGTTAGACTAGAGCTATCAGTCGGTAGGAATTCTTCCTCTTTATCCAGGAGATGTTTTGATAAATCGCCAAGAGTCAGTGCAAGGATTTCATCTTCAATTTTTGTAGTGAGGTAGTCGTAGAGGCCATGACAGAGTAGGCTCACTTTAGGAGCCAGAGAGACTATCTCAGAGCAAGTGGTTGAGAAACAATCCTGTAGATCGGTTAGTCTCTTTGAGGACAAAACCCGACAATCCATGGGAACAAAACGAGCTATACGCAAAGATGGATAGTCTTCTGATGCAAAAAAATTGTTGATTATTTTTATCTTATCTGTTTTATTTTTTGCCTCGTCCTCGTGACTGCCAATAATGATGACTGGTGAAGGCTGTGGTAGCTGATATGACTGATTCTGGAGGAGATTGAGCCAATACAGGAGCTGTTGCTTGACCTCTTCCACTGACTTTGACAAGTTGATGAGGAGGACAAACAGAGGAGAGGAGGAGAGAATGAGGTGCTCTAAAATGGCAGAATGAGAAGAGTGATACTCAAAGTGACCTGCAAGGTCGTAAATGACCAAGTTCCCGACTCCCTCTCCACTGATTGTCGTGGGTATTATACCAGCTGTGAACGGCTGGACTGGAGCAACAGTTTGAAACCTTCTCATTAATCGTGTGAGTGCTCCCTTTGAGCCCAAAAAACTCTTAAAAACTTCAATGAAAGTTGTTTTCCCGGCTCCAGAGTGACCCGTGACAAAGACCTTACAAAATGAGTCCATAGGGTACTGCTCCTTGAAACGGGAGAGATTCTGGAATTTGTTCAAAAGTGAGAGCATGGAGAAATTACTTGTTGCCAGTGAGAGTGGAGTCTCTCCATGGGCATTGGCCTCTTTGAGATCAAAGCTCCAATGAGAGAGAAGATACTTAGCAACTTCGATGCCACCGTATCTGCAAGCTATGTGAAGAGAAGTGTTGCCCTCTCTGTCTTTTGACAATGGATCAACATGGAATTTCTCAACAAGATTTCTAGTGAGGTCAGGCTCGTTTATAGCTATCACGGAATGAATGAGACCACTCCTCTCTGTTTTCCCGATATTGAGTGACTCACATTTTGATCCATCAGCATGATCCTTCTCGTGATACGCAAGTAAACAGTGTAGCTTTACCAGTCGAGGTGGCTCAAACTGCATTGCATAGCGACAGAGCTCAGCTATTTCACTACACTTGAGTTGATTGGGACATCTCCTTAGCATAATCTTGAACGGGTCGTCAAAAGTCTCCTTGAGGCTATCGTGAAAAACAGTACAACCAGCTCTATTGGGCGTCATGGGGACCGTATCTCTGTATTTTAAAAGGGACTCCATTGCCTTTGAGACTTCCTTGCTGCTCCCTAGTTTCAGGACAAGGTGAAACGGTGTGTTACCGGCTCTGTCTTTTGCCTCTAGCATGCCACGGAGATCCTCAAAACGAGTTAGGATGAAGTCAACGAGATCGGCACTCACAGTGCAAAGGAGGTGAAAGGGCGTGTCTCCGTCTATGTTTTCCGTTCTTAGAGAGACAACCGGATTTGCATCTTTTTCAAGTAGAGTCTTCACAAGGTTCTCGTCTCCAATTTGACAGGCGCAGTGAAGTGGGAGCCAATTGTCCTCGTCACAGGCACCAACAATGTCAGGCGGGCAGTGACTCAGTATAATGTCGACGGCATTTAAGTTTCTCGAGTGACAGGCAAGGTGAAGAGGAGTCTGTCCCGCTTTATTTTTAATTGTGACAAGACCACGATCAAGATTAATCAAGTGCTCCTGTGCTTTAAGGAAATTGTGCTTCATGGCCACGTGTAAGGAAGTGTCACCATTCTTGTCTAGTGCCCGAATTGCTCCTCTATACTTAGGATCCTCTAGGAGTGAGAGACAAGAAGGAAATAGCGAAGGGTACAAGCAGACTTGATGCAGTAGTGTTCTACGATGTGGATTATAGCTTTCCAGTAATATCTCAGCTTTTTTGAACATGCAAGTCTCTAATGCTATGTACAATGGTGTTTCCCCTTTGGAGTTTTGTTCCTGATACGCTTGCTTAAGGACCAGGTCTTCACTAGGTGTTAAAATATCGAGTGCAAAATCATGTTCGTATGTCATTCGAGATGCCACATGTAGCATGTTGTCACCTTCTCTGATCAGCGAGGGAAACACACAAATCATTTCACTTGGAATTGTAAAGTCGCTGAGCCTCTTGCATCTCTCCAGCATTAGCATGAGAGCAGTTTTATTGTTGTTATTGCGTAAGTTTAGATTTAAGTCCTTGTTTGTGGCCATTATTGAAGCAGCCAGAGCGTTACCCAAGTCACAGGCTACGTGGAGAGCTGTGTTTCCTTCCCTGTTTTGAAAATTAGGGTCAGCGAGAGGGTGAGAGAACAAAAAAGAGAGACAACCTTCGGGGATCCCTTTCTTTGCAACTGAGAAGTGAAGGAGAGTATTATCAAAATCATCCAGAGTAGTTGTGAGGAGACAAAGATGATGCTGAAGCAACGTCTTGAAAAGAATGAAGTTATCATCTTCTAGTGCTGCCCATAAAATATGAATTATTCCTTGCTTTCCTTCAAAATAATAATTACTTCCTTGATGACGGAAGAGAAGGAGTAGGACTAAGGCAACAGAGAGTGTGGGACTGTCAAGAAACCGAGTCATTAGAATCTCAAATATGGAATTCTCATTATTGTCAAATGCACTCTGCAGTATAAATGGATGCTTCAATAGTACTACTAGTAATGATTCATTGCTTTCTTTAGGTGATAGGAGGTTTCGTTTTATCTCCATTAAATGTCGATTGACCGGCTGCCATGAGTGAGTGGCTTCTCTTTCAAAAAGGAGCCCGAGACAAGTGAGGTAATCCTTACCACTCGAGAGACACTCTTCAACTAACAAATCCAATACGCATTCATTTTCATTATTCAACAAAAGCACAGACTCCGGTGCTTTCGGGTGCATCAACAACTTACTAAGTAAGTGATGCTGATCTTTCCTCATTGCTAAATGTAGCACTGTGTCGCCTTCCTCTGACTGTATTGAAGGATCGAATTTTAATAATAATTCTTGAGGTAGATCGCTTATTTCATCGGGCTCCTTTGCCTTTATTAAGCAATGAAGAGCAGTTTCCCCTTTATTGTTGACTCTACTACATTCAGCCTCGTTATCTGCTGCTGAGATAAAGCGACTCACAGTAAGCATGTCGCACACAAGGCTGGCAATGTGTAGGGAGGTGTTCCTACTTGTATTTGTACCACTTATAGGTATTGTTGGAGATGCGCCGCAATCGATAAGAGACAAAATCAGTTCATGAACTAAGTAGCGAGTTGCAAGGTGCAATAATGTTTCCCCGTTGTGTATGGGCATGTTTAGAGCAGTATTATTAGGAGGTGCATTCCTAAGGAGAGGTGCAATGTATTTCAATTGGTCTTCACATCCATCATTGCTGCCAGAAATCAGTGAGATCTCAAGCTCTCGTATCAGCTTGAAGCACTCATTGATTTCAATTGGTTGATTCACAAGAGAGTTGATATGCTGACTCACCAAAGCCCACGGTTTATTTTGTACTGAGTCCCGAAGTCCTGCAATGATCAGGTTGTGTGAGTGAGAGCACAATGTTGCCGTAAGCTCAGGATTGGATCGTAATATTTGTAGCACGTCTGATTCTTGGGTCCCTGGGTCTTGAACTAGCTGAATGAGACGCTCGAATGTCGTGTGAGACCGAACAGGGTGCACTCCATCTCTCTCTGTATCATCATCATCATCGTCGGCTACATCATCACCAACAACAACAACCTCCTCTCTAGGCTCTCTTCTCTCTTCCCTCTCATCCACTCTTACTGGGATTGTATCAGCGACCCCATCGTCACCGTCACCGTCTCCATCTCCATCATGGCCGTACAGTCCATCGTCTGGGTTGTTTACTGGCACTCCTTGTCTGCTTGGCAGACCGTTCACCTGGTCCATATCTGTGGTATCCATTGTCCTCGTCTCCTCGAGCCCTGCCCTCTTCTACAAACACTAATAAATATTAATATCCTCTTGGCTAGCTACATTATCATGTTTTTAAAAGCTTTAATCGAGCTTGAAGTATTTTAGGATTCTGAGGCTTCTTGTTGAAACAATAAATTCTATTGTGACACTTTTGTTTGCACCTTTTCCTAAATGAGCTCCACCTAAAATACAATATGCTTTGCACTGTTCGTGATTGTGTGCATGCAGTCGAGTTATTGTCTATACCAATTTGCATCTTCATAATCTTTTGCATGCATGATTGCAGCGAGTAAATTTTTCAAAATTATTATATCAATTAAAATTAAATTTTATGGTCGGGAAAATTAAAACAAGACAACGATTACTACATGGAGGATGATGAACTCCCTCCTCTTACAGTCCCAATAGTGTCAAATGAATCAGAGAGCTTGTAATACGACTGACGCCTCCTTCCTGATTGTGGCTCGTGATTTCGTACAGCCTCTCCTCCATATCGGCCCACATTCATGCAGCGAACTGCAGTTTGAAATAATGAAAATGAAAATTTGTTTTATTATTAGTTTAGCTCTTACGCGACTCAAGCTCATTCCCTTCTGCTTTCTTTACAGTACATAGCATCAACATTGCAAGAAAAACTGTAAGCAACTGAACAGGAATGATAACATTGGATTTAATGCACAAAAACATGTTACTCACTATTAAGAAAGCATTAGCTGCTGAATGTGTTGTCTCTATTACCTAAAAAGGAATTCCAAGCAACAATAATAACTTAGTCAATTTATGACTCATGAATATGTCTATTTGTACTTATAGTATTATATGTAGATCACTTACTGCATAAGTTATGAAGCAAGCCTGTGTTGAAACTGGATCTCCTGATCCATAAATAGTTGTTGGATCCTCTCCTGCACTCAAGAGTGTGCCATCAGTCAGCAAGAGTGTATCTCCACTACCTTCCATGTTATTATTATTATTATTGTCATTGTTGTTGTTGTTGTTATTATTTTGTGATGATGAGCCACTATTGCAAACTTGATAGCAAAAGAAACCATGATTATTCCACCAGCTTTCGCCTCTCATTGGAAGTGAAAGATACTGCTCAGTCTACTCAAAGAGTTATTGATCATTGTTATTTTTAGTGTTTGCATAATCGAAGTAATCACTTACTCCTTTCAATAGACCGACATTGTTATACATCAGCATGACGGTGATGTTAATTCCAAGTGTGATGAAAGCAAGAAGGATATACTGCAATAAATAATGGATAATTTAAGGTGTGTGTTGTGGCAATATTGATGCTACATTAGTACACAAAATGTGGTGTCATACAGTGTCGAAAGTCAAAGCTTAATCTCATTAGTAATTTAAGCTATAATGCATTTGTTGAAATATTGTGTCTATCACTGATCACATGTGTAGTCTTGCACCAAATGCAGCAGCCCACATTATGACAAAATTAATAAGTAGCCAATAAAGAGTCAGTGCATAGCCTTATAGTGTACACAGGTAACATTAGTGCTAGATGCCTACTATTCAATGGAACCATTCAAGATAGGCTCCAAACTTGTACTTGTACAACAAATCATCATACAACATTGTAGCATAGTAATACTTTCATTCATTCATTATTAGATATCAACTGTCAATGTTTCCACTTACCACAATGACTGCAGTTTTCTTACGAAAGTAAAGTCCCAGTATGCAAAGCATTGAAGAGATTCCTGTAAGAGCATTTATGATCATTGTGAACCACATTTCACCAAAAACATCAATGACCATTCTTTCAATAGTTACAAGCTGCAATAAAAAATTAATCATTTCAAGCAAATAAATCAAAATACTTACTATGATTAGAGTAGAGATTATATAAAGGGCATAGATAATTTTCTCGTTCCATTTTTTCTTTCCCATTTTTTGTAATGACTGCTCTGTGGTATGAGTCTCAAGCATACTTGTTCCAGCGTCGAGAGCGATATGTTATAATTAATCTTCGAAGCAGTGTGCGATGTTTTACGGTGGTATCCGAAAAAGCTACGCGAAAGTAACATTATTTTAAAATTATTTTTGCGAAGACTGTCATGGCAGCCATGGATCTGGAGAAACTCTCTCTCTTTATAAAGGAGAAAAGACAAGAAATAGATGAAATAATGAGCTATGTTGGTCTGAAAAAGGAAAAATTAAACGAAACAATGGTATATTATTATTAATATTAGTATTATTATTATTATAAATGTCAGATTTAAAATTATTTTTAATCATTCTTAGCCAAAGCTTGTGCCGTGTACATACAATCATCACCATTATGTACCTGAAGAGTCACGTGATGCCCACCTAAAGAGGTGTCCATACAATGCTTTAGGGATGAAACCCAACGAAATACAGGTGAAGTTAAAAATTAATTAATAATATATGTAATTATTTTTTTAGATATTTCTCGATCAATTGGATTTTTCTGATCCAAATAATGAGCCAGTGATTATAGGTAATAATTCATTATAATTGTAATAGTACTTTGGTTTTACGAAAGTGTATGGCCTCACCACATTATTACAGGTGTATTACAGCAACTTGGTATACGAGTACTATAAACTTATTGATGTACTTAAGCTGTGTGGAAAGTTTGAGCCGATTCCGAGCTCAAATTCTGGAGTTATGAGCACTTTTTAGAAACTAGCAAATTTTGAAAAAAAAGCATGGACTATTATAGCCCATGGTTTTTTTTCGAAAAACAGCTCTGAAATCACACCAAACTTTTATTACATTTTCTGATACATATTGATGTACTTATGCCGTGTAGAAAGTTTGAGCCGATTCCGAGCTCAAATTCTGAAGTTATTACCACTTTTAAAAACTAGCAAATTTTGAAAAAAAGCATAGACTATAGCCCATGGTTTTTTCCGAAAAACGGCTCCGAAATCACACCAAATTTTTATTACATTTTCTGATACATATTGATGTACTTATGCTGTGTAGAAAGTTTGAGCAGATTCCGAGCTCAAATTCTGGAGTTATGAGCACTTTTTAAAAACTAGCAAGTTTTGAAAAAAAGCATGGACTATAGCCCATGGTTTTTTCCGAAAAACAGCTCTGAAATCACCGAAAATTTTTATTACATTTTCTAATACATATTGATGTACTTATGCTGTGTAGAAAGTTTGAGCCGATTCCGAGCTCAAATTCTGGAGTTATGAGCACTATTTTAAAACTAGCAAATTTTTTAAAAAAGCATGGACTATAGCCCATGGTTTTTTCCGAAAAACAGCTCCGAAATCACCAAAAATTTTTATTACATTTTCTAATACATATTGATGTACTTATGCTGTGTAGAAAGTTTGAGCCGATTCCGAGCTCAAATTCTGGAGTTATGAGCACTTTTTTAAAACTAGCAAATTTTTAAAAAAAGCATGGACTATAGCCCATGGTTTTTTCCAAAAAATGGCTCCGAAATCACCCCAAATTTTTATTACATTTTCTGATACATATTGATGTACTTATGCTGTGTAGAAAGTTTGAGCCGATTCCGAGCTCAAATTCTGGAGTTATGAGCACTATTTTAAAACTAGCAAATTTTTTTAAAAAGCATGGACTATAGCCCATGGTTTTTTCCGAAAAATGGCTCCGAAATTACCCCAAATTTTTATTACTTTTCCTGATACATATTGATGTACTTATGCTCTGTAAAAAGTTTGAGCAGATTCCGAGCTCAAATTCTGGAGTTATGAGCACTTTTTTAAAACTAGCAAATTTTGAAAAAAAGCATGGACTATAGCCCATGGTTTTTTCCAAAAAACGGCTCCGAAATCACCCCAAATTTTTATTACATTTTCTGATGCATATTGATGTACTTATGCTGTGTAAAAAGTTTGAGCAGATTCCGAGCTCAAAATTCTGGAGTTATGAGCACTATTTAAAAAGTAGCAAATTTTGAAAAAAAGCATGGACTATAGCCCATGGTTTTTTCCAAAAAACGGCTCCGAAATCACCCCAAATTTTTATTACATTTTCTGATGCATATTGATGTACTTATGCTGTGTAAAAAGTTTGAGCAGATTCCGAGCTCAAAATTCTGGAGTTATGAGCACTATTTAAAAAGTAGCAAATTTTGAAAAAAAGCATGGACTATAGCCCATGGTTTTTTCTGAAAAATGGCTCCGAAATTACCCCAAATTTTTATTACTTTTCCTGATACATATTGATGTACTTATGCTGTGTAGAAAGTTTGAGCAGATTCCGAGCTCAAATTCTGGAGTTATGAGCACTTTTTTAAACTAGCAAATTTTGAAAAAAAAGCATGGACTATAGCCCATGGTTTTTTCCAAAAAATGGCTCCGAAATCACCCCAAATTTTTATTACATTTTCTGATACATATTGATGTACTTATGCTGTGTAGAAAGTTTGAGGCGATTTCGAGCTCAAATTCTGGAGTTATGAGCACTTTTTCAAAACTAGAAAAAAGCATGGATTATAGCCCATGGTTTTTTCAAAAATGGCTTCGAAATTACTCCAAATTTTTATTACATTTTCTGATGTATATTGATATCCTTATGCTGTGTAGAAAGTTTGAGCCGATTCCAAGCTCAAATTCTAGAGTTATGAGCACTTTTTAGTATCTTGCATAAAACCTAATTATTCTATTATTATCATAAATTATAATCCTTTAGATTCTTCCATCTCTGAAGCAGTTCAGCAGTTTATCCTCAACAAGAGAAAGGAGAGCAGCCTCATCCCACCACATGCTACTCACAATAAATTCTCCTCCCTCGAAGGCGGAGAGAGCAAAAAAGAAATATTAGAATCAAACGACCCGATTCTATTAATAAGGTGAGACCACACCCACTTGTCATACCCACCACAGTACCTATTATTAGGTACATAAAGTCATGGACGTCAATCCCTCGTGTTTTTTGTCAGTTGGTCCCCACGGGGATACATCCTGTTCCCCTCAAGGCGTGGCTCTTTAGAAACATCCCGGAATATCACTCATACAAGTAAAAACAAATCGGTTAATTATTGATTAAAGTAAAAGATTAATTGTTAAAGTAGAATTAATTAATTTTTTATTAATTATTTATTAATTGATTAATTTGATTGCCAGGCATGAGATGAGTGGTGATTTGCATATTGTGGACACTGTAATGTATCAATTTAACTTGACGCCAAACCTCACTCCTGATCAATTGGTTGGAAGATTAACTCCATATCTGTTTGGAGGTAAGGAAATGGATTGAACTCTATAAAAATGACGAAACTTTAGCTGGTCCTTCCAGTTAGCTTGCTCAATCAGCTTCAGTCAATTTTTGATTTAAATCAGAAAGTAATTAACATTGAATTATTAGGAGGGTGGAATTTTGTAGCATAATATTATTACTCGACATTGTAGCCCACTTAGTTTGATAGAGTTGCTTTTTCGCACTTTCCTAAAGGATGTATAACTTGATGTTTTTGTTATTGTTTTTTTTTATTTAGTTAGTCGCAGTTTTGTACTCTCATTATGGAAGTTCCTTTCTATATTGAAAGTTCAACAGGAACATAACATTGCTGATGTATGTTGAATCAAAAACATACTTAAAGATATCTGGATTTTTGTCATTTTCTTGAGCTTCTACCTTAATTTTTCTTTCATCCTTTTTTTTCCCTTTCTATATCAGAAAACAGTAGAAGATTTATTACCACTACAAACTGAAGATGGCAAGCCTGTGACAAGCCTAGTCTCACAAATTAAAGTAACAAGAGATGGGCAGAGAAAAGAGAGAGAGAGAGAGGGGGGGAGAGAGAGAGAGCTAGGGGGAGAGAGAGAGAGAGAGAGAGAGGGAAGGAGGGAGGGAGGAAGAAAAAAGAATGATGCACACAATATTACAGTCAAACCTGTCTATTCCGGACACCTTGGGACCAAATAAAACTGTCCTTATTATAGAGGTGTCCTTATTTCAGAGGTTCATTAATACACATTTATATAGTATTGGGACTGATACTACCTGTCCTGATTATAGAGGTGTCCTTATTTTAGAGTGTCCACAATAGCAGGTTTCATTGTACTATCAATAACTGTCAATTTATTGTTTTAATTAATACATGTACTTATTTGTAGATGCTAGCCAGTGAAGTCTCTACTCTTCCATCCCTCCCTCTACCAATGAGCTCTGTCCTGTCTTCAGCAGAAGAGAAACGTGTCTTGTATGATTATGTGGTCGAGTTGGGGAAGGAACTCGTGGGAGACTCTAAAGATTATCTTCAGGACTCTGATTTATTTCGTGACGATGCTAAAATTCTTTTAGGTACATGTACATGTACACTGCTCATTGATGTAGCTACCAATTAATTTCCGTTATGTACACTTGTTATACATGTACATGTACACCTCTGCATGTATTGATAGCATGTGAATGTTTATAAAGTTACTGATTTTCATTTTATGTATTTGTTTGTATTTAAGTTGTGACCTGGCAAGCTGTGTGTGGTAACAGCCATCTCATTATTGTTATAATTACTATCCATTCCCCTGGGGATTGCCCATTTCCTTCAGCTGGTTTCCTTTAGCTGTTATCAGTCATTCATGATTGACTGCAGATTATAAGTACAGTCTGTATAAAAAATAACAGACACTTAGTCTAGTATACCAATGGCATTCCTTACTGTATAAAATAACCTCCACATGAAGGACACCTCTGTAGCTTTCTTGTCCCAAAGTGTCCGTTATATAAAGGCTCCTTGTATCAAGAGGGCACATGATGTTACTATGTTGTACAATGTACATGTATGTACATGACATGTATGTAATTGATAGCTCAATCAAGAGGGAGGAGAGACGAAGAAGGAAAGAGTCACTTGGCTCAGATTAAGGAGATGAGAGATGTCAAAAGAAGACGTGCCTCTTACAGGGCAAAGAACGTTCACATCACTCAGAAACCCATCAAGCAAGTGAGTGCTTTTTTCAAGCTTTTAATGTATTCATAAGTTCTTTTATTTTTGTAGGTTTTTCATGAAATTATTGCAGCCAGGACTGAAGAATTGAGAGAATTATGGGAAGAGGCTCATGGAGTTGGTAATAAGAATAAAAATGAGAAAGGTGAGTCATCCCATTTATTATAACCTTTCTTTACCACCCCACCCTCCCTCTCTCTCCTCTCCCTCTTCCTTGATCTCTCTGCCCTATCTCCTTAGAAGATGATAAAGACATTCAAAGTGAGGATAGGAGATCTCCCTATTCAAGGAGCAGACAACGTAGGATCAGCTCTCAATACAGATCACACGAGAGGGAGAGATCTAGATCCCGTGGTAGGAATAGAAATAATAGATCAAGATCACGAGACAGAAAAAGGAGGAAGCAGTCAAGGTCACGTGAGAGGAGATCAAGATCACGTCACAGATCAAGATCACATGAGAGGAGATCAAAATCACGCGAGAAGAGGTCAAGATCACGTGAGAAGAGATCAAGATCACGTCACAGAGAGCACTCACACAGATCAAGATCAAGATCAAAGGAGAGAGAAAAGAGTAAGCATCACGGCAAGTCCAAAAGTGAGCACAAAAGCTCTTCTCATAAACATAAACATAAACATAAAACATAAGGACACAATGATTTTTAATCGTAGTACATGTGTAATATAATCCTCTGTTCTATACTTACTAAAAATATGTATGTACATGTACATGTACAGGTATTTGTGTATATCCTACCATGGCTTGAATGGAGGAGTGCCTCAATGATGAATAGTTAATGTTAAATAAAGATAATTTTTTAGCAAATTTGAATCATGAATAGATACATACACATGCAGCACTAATACACAAATTACAGACAAGGATAAGTGATAAAGAGAGGAAGAGGAGGAAAGAAGTCAATCACACGAGAAGTTTTTAAAGTTTTTAGTGTCTCCTCTTTCTTCTGTTTGCCTCTCTCTTGAATTTTATGAGATTATATAGCTTGAATGCTCCATAAATCGGTAAAACTATTGCTCCACCAATCACCAGAAGAGCACATGCCCCCACGAAAAGTATCGGCATTCCAGCAAGGTAGGATATCTTTGCTCCAAGATACCCGCCTCTGACAAGTTTCCTTAAAACGGGATCATTGGGATGATAATTATTGGGGCATCCCCATACGTTGAGGGCAGAGTCGTGATCTATGATACCCAGTTCCAGGTACCTGTCTCCACAGTAATAGCAGAACTCAGTCTCACAGCGATTGCATGTCATGTGGTTACAGCCCGAGGAGCGTTGGATATACACAAAACAAGTTGGACATTTCTGGCAGTTTGCTACGCCACGGGAGCTACGTCCTTTGGTCCACTGCTTAAACTGCTTGTTGCCTTTTTGAAATTTTTTACAAGTAATGTCCTTATGCCATGGTGCGTGGCATTTAAAGCACCACTCGTGATTGCAACTGATGCATTTTATTTTGAGGTCGGCCTCCTTGGCTCTTCTTGGTAGACTGTGCTCTGTTATCTCGCAGCAATTAGGGCACGTCTTCTTCTTTCCGTCGTTTTCAATGTCTACGACGAAACGGTAAAACTTTTCTTTGGTGTCAGGGTCAGAGTGCTCTAGTATGTAGTCCTTGTTGAACGGCTTCCCACATTCAGGGTGAGGGCAAGTGATAGATATTCTGCCTTCGTCGACGCTTGATTTGACCAGAGTTTGTATGCAGTCCTTGCATACCAGCCTCTTGCAGCAGGGGAGCTTCTTGTGAGAGGAGACCCGGATGATCTGAGGGTTCCAATCCCACTCCGTCCACTCTTCCTCGGATATGATTATCTCTGGATCAAAGCACACTATGCAGATATTGTCTTCCTTTATCTCGGGCTCACCTAATTCCCGAGTACGATGCCCTAATCCTAGCGGATCGTGGAGAGATGGCATGCTGTCGTAGAGACTGAGACCGAGGTAAGCCTGTTCGTGTGCAGATAAAGGCAGGCCTCTAACTGTCTCGGGGCTTTCTGATCTTAGATCCTCAATGATTTTGGTCCATTTGTCTGGAATTGGAGGTGCTGGAGGTATCACCCCGGCTGCTACTTCTGTCTCTTCGTCTTCTTTAATGGACGAGCGGCGAGAGTTGCTGTTCCTGCTGCTGCTGCTACTAGCGTTGCCACACTCTGATGTTAGCTCGTCGTCAGTGAGTCCATCGAACGGTAGGCAGCTAGCAATTTCAGACCAGTGGCCAGAGTCTCTGTCTGAAGCCACCTCTCCTTTTAGCCCCTTCTCCAGCGGAGAAGCTGGCTCCAACTCTACTTGAGCTACAACTACTAAGGCCATTATGTTGATGTGTCTTTGAATTTACTTTACTGATAACCTTCAAGCTCTCAGCTGTTTCCTTTTTATATGAAGGAAATTCTATTTTTAGAAGAGATATAAAAATAGTAAGTTTACTATGACGTATTCCATTATTCATAGCTGTTATTATAATAATTTCCTTTTAAAACGTCATTTGTGTACACATAGCCCTGATAGCATATCCAAATATGAAAACATGATAGGTTCACTGAGTCAGACAACAAATCTATTAATAGTAACTCTTGAACTATACCTGTAACCTCATGCAGGAACATGTTGATATGCTACTAGTAGTCTATCTAAATAGTACATTAATATGATATGCTGATATCAAGAGTACATATATAATATTCATCTATACTACTAGTATCTATATTTTTATTGTCATTATGCTTATGTAAGTAGACAAATAATGATATCAATCTTATGTACATTAAACTTGCTAGTATTTGTTGAAATTGCTATAGGTATGTAACCAAAGCTAGGTTTACAATGTACGCGGCTTTACCTGTGATTGCATGCAGCAATAAGACCAAACTAGGATTGGTCTTATGTTGCGTTAAACATAATGGCGTCACAGTATATACTATAATCCTAGCTTAATATTGCTCTATTAGCTACTCATCATAAATTCATAATATATGATTTACAATTGAGTATTTTTTTAAAAGATAAAATACAGCTTAAAACAATGATGATAATAATGATAATAATGATACACCATTGGCCACAAATACTAAAATAACACTATACAAGTTTCTCATCTTCTTCTGATGTAACGTTTGATTCCTTTGCATAGCTTGACAGTGCCAACCACTGGGAGTATCACTGCCCCTGCTACTATTATTATAGTACAAGCTCCAACGAACAGGATTGGGTAACCAGTCAAAGCAGCTGCTTTCACAAATATATATCCTCCTCTTATGAAGCGTCTTCCGGCCGGCCTCTCGGGCAAGTAGTTGTACGAACAGCCATAGGGAGCTAGCCTTTGATAATGGTCTCCAAGAAATATAACAGATTTAAATTTTCCTCCACACTTGTAACAGAAGTTCGTGTGACATTGATTACAAATCATGGAATCGCATCCTGTTGACCTCTGAATGAATACTTTGCACTTTGGACACTTTTGACAATTGGGAGTGAACCCAGCCATCCTATCTCGTGTCCACTTATGAAACTGCTGGTCTCCTTGATGATACGCCTTGCATGAGATACCCTCATGCCACGGAGAGTGACAACTGAAACACCATTGAAAGGAACATTTGTCGCACGTTATGTTATAATCCTCTGGTGTCGGTGGTTTTAATTTATATTCTGGAAGGTCGTTTCGCTCTGTTATAAGACAGCAGTTGGGACACGTCTTCTTTGTCGGGTCGTTCTCCTGGTTGACACGGAATTGCTCATATTTTGCTTTCGTCTCAGAGTCAGTGGCATATTGTAGGATGAAGTCTCTTGTGAGTGCTTTGTTGCAGTCTGAATTAGGGCAAGGCATGAAAGAACGACCCTCTCCAATGTTAGTTGCAATAATCTGGCGGACACAAGCCTTGCATACTTCAAATTGACAGCAAGGCATTTTCGGTGGATGGGACTTTTTGCATAAACAGATTGGGCACTGCATACAATCACATGTTGCCACATCATTGCTATCATAGTCCAGGCCAATAGGATCTTGAAATTCTGTAATAAAGTCTTCATGAGTGAGGCCTGAGCCCGGTAGTAATAACACAGTATTGACTTGGGGTAGTGGAGGAGGTGGAGGGGGAGTGGGGATTCTTGATATCACAACTGTCTCCAGCCCTGGACTGTCTTTGGGGTCATCATTATCCAGTGACCATTGCCCTGAGTCCCTGTCATGACTATGATCATGATTGTATTCATCTAATTGTAAAACTTTATCTGGAACAGCTTCAGCAACCTCCAAAGTCTGAGGATACACTACAGCTGCCATAGTAGCTTGTAAATAATTAAATTATAATGTTATAAGCATAATGAAAGCCAATTGAGCCTTTATATAGACTCACCAATTTCTATTTTTAGAAATGACATCACCTATATAAATAGTACAGTGGATGTCGTGGGTGTAATTATAATATTCATTAACACTTGTGTGGTTTAAAATGAATTTGTTTATATCAGCAATATAGATGTAATAAAATATAATTATATATATACAGATAGTAAAAGATGTCAGGTACACTAAATCATTCAATCATTTCAAATAATTCTTTAATTTTTTTGTACAGCTTTACCAATCCATCAATAGACAGCAACACTATTGCTACAACAGCAATTATAGCACAAAGTCCAACGAACAGGATTTGGTAACCAGTCAAGGAAGTTGCTTTCGCAAAGTAATACCTACATCCTTTTGCTGATATCTCAGGAATCATGTTAAATGGACAACCATTAGGAGGTAGCTTTTGGTAATGATCTCCAATATTTGGGAAATTGTCAAATTTTTCTCCACACAGGTAGCAGAAAGGTGTGTTGCACTGGCTGCATATAATGGTATTACAAAATCCTTCAGAAATCTGAATGAATACCTTGCATTGTGGACACTGCTGACAATTAGATGGTCGATCATCAGTCCATATACGAAACAGCTCATCACCTTGATGATACTCTTTGCATGAAAGGTCCTTGTGCCACGGAGAGTAACAGCTAAAGCACCATTGAAAGGAGCATTTTTCACATGTTATGTTATAATCCTCTGGTGTTGGTGGTTTTAATTTGTACTCCGGAAGATCGTCTCGCTCTGTTATGAAACAGCAATTTGGACATGTCTTCTTTGTGGGGTCATTCTCCTGATTGACACGGAATCTCTCGTACTTTGCTTTCATCTCACTGTCCTTTTTTCCAAAATATTCCTGGATGAAATCTCTTGGAAGTCCTTTGTTGCAATCCAAATTTGGGCAAGGCATAAAAGAACGACCCTCATCAATATTAGTTGCAATAATCCAACGGATGCAAGTTCTACATATTTCAAACTCACAGCAAGGGAGTTCTCTGAGGAATTCCTTGTCGCATAAACAGATCGGACACTGGACAGGATAATCATAGTCCTGACAATTGAAATTTTGATGAAATCCTGAAATAAACTCATCATTAGTGAGACCTGAGCCTGGTAATGCTAGCATGGTATTCTCTTTAGGCAGTGGAGGAGGAGTGGGGGTTGCTGTTGTGGTCTCCATAGTTGTGGGTTCACTGGTATCAAGTTCCTTATTTTCCAGGGACCATTGTTCTTCTGAGTCGTCTTGATCACTCTGCGAGGCCTTTTTCAGTGGAACATCAGCAACCTCTAGAGTCTGAGAACTTACTGCAACTGCCATAGCAGCAAGAAAGAGCTACAAACTTTTCAAGCTGAGGCAATGGTGTTGCAATAATTTTAAACACATGACGTCATTGTGGGTGTGTTCTAATAAAATAATAATCATGGAGAATCCCAATGCTGATACTGAGTGGAATGATATTCTCAGATCTAAAGGGATATTGCCTCCTAAAGAGAAAGGGATCACAGAGGATGCCGTGGTACAGGTATGAGAAAGCAAAACTCCCTGTTTTTGAGTCTTCGTTAGATAGTAGACGATGTAATTAACCAGAGGGTTGTGAGTGAAGGAGAAGGAGTGTCTTCAAAGCCAATAGAAGACATGACACTCGATGAATTGGAGGAATTAGAAGATGATGCTGATGAGAGAATACTCCTGGAGTACAGGTCGGTTTAATAATGATAAAATAGCAGACAAGAGTATAAAATTTTACTTCTTGAAATTTTGATTTATTTTGCTGTTAAAATTGTTCGTTTAGACAAAAGAGATTGGCAGAAATGACAGCTGTACAGCGGAGAGCTGTTTTTGGGTCAGTTATAGAGATAAGTGGTGTAGACTATGTGGACCAGGTCAACAAGGCTGGGGATGGAGTGTGGGTAGTACTTCACTTGTACAAACCTGGGTATCCTTAGTAAAGTTACCAAACACCCAATACTATATAGTACAGGGCATTTTGTCAAAAATGGCTAAAAGTTCATTTTTGTAGTTTTTCTGATTCATATACATGTTCTTATGTTGTGTAGAAAGTTTGAGCTGATTCTGATCAAATTTGGATTTTTTACGAATTTTTAAAGTTGCTCCAAAATCAGGAGAAAGTCCTTGTACTATAGTACAGGGACTTTGGCTAAATTTCACCAAAAATCACTAAGAGAGAATTCTTCATTTTTATAATTTTTCCTGATACATATACATGTTCTTATGTCGTGTAGAAAGTTTGAGCTGATTCTGATCAAATTTGGATTTTTTACGAATTTTTAAAGTTGCTCCAAAATCAGGCAAAAGTCCCTGTACTATAGTACAGGGACTTTGGCCAAATTTCACCAAAAATGGATATGTAAGAATTCTCTATTTTCATAATGTTTTCTGATACATATACATGTTCTTAAGTTGTGTAGAAATTTTGAGCTGATTTCAATCAAATTTGGTTTTTTTACAAGATTTTAAAGTTGCTGCAAATTTGGGCTAAAAACCCTGTGTACAAAGACTGTGGCCAAATTTCATCGAAATACCTGTAGTATTTAAAAAAAGTTATTTTCACTTAATAATACAGTACAGTATTCCTTTATGCACACTAGTCAATCAGCATATGGTAAATTTAGCTGCCAGGTTCCCGGCGACAAAGTTTCTCAAGAGCGTGTCCACTACCTGCATACCCAACTATCCTGACAAAAACCTCCCGACAATTTTTGTATATTTTGAGGACGATCTCAAGGGTCAGATGATTGGACCATTTGAATTTGGTGGAATGAAGATCTCCCTTGAAGGTAGATCATAATGATGAAGACATAGATATAATTGTAACGTGAATATAATGTAATTATTATTTTTTTCTTGATAGAGTTAGAATGGAAGTTATCAGAGATTGGTGCAGTGAAGACTGATATTGAAGAGAATCCTTGGAAGAAGAGAGAGATTGCCGATGTGATGAAAATGACTGTCAGGGGCAATTATAAAGACCCTGATGACTCTGATGAAGATGATGACTAGCAGTTAATTTTTTATTTTTCACTCTTATTAATAATTAATAATTAATTTTGGCAATAATAATTATTAGTGGCCCACGTGTGGTCACGTGCTCCCGAAGCATTTCCGCTCGCAAGCACACACCCTGCAGGCCAAGTTGTGATTGCTGTGTGTTGTGTCGTAAATGTCTGCAGATGAGAAAGACTTGCTCTTGCTCTCCACACAGTTTTACTCCGAGCGACGCTCGCTATGGCGGAGACACTGCCTCCCCTGTGTCCCAAAGAGGTACATACTGGCCGTCCTATCTTTCCTGGGATTTGTAAATGTCTACGCGATGAGAGTCAACCTTTCTATGGCAATCATTGTAATGGCGAATGGGACAGACGGCCGCAAGCATTCTCACAGGGTAATTTGCTTATAAACCGATGCTTTTTATCTTTTTATGATATCATAGACATACAACTGGACTCCAACGGAGCAAGGTAGACTGTTCCTCCCCTAACTAATGCCTTATTAAAACTTCTTCATTACATCATGCATAATGATAATAATATAAATTTCCAGGTTTTCTCTTGTCTGCCTTTTTCGTTGGGTACATAATCACACAGATACCAGGAGGCTGGCTGGCCCAGAGATTCAGTGCAAAATATGTTTTTGGTGTCGGCATTCTAGCTACAGCAATATTCACACTCCTCACGCCTCTAGCAGCTAGTCTGGGCATATGGGTCCTTGTGGCTGTACGGATATTGGAAGGAATATTTGAGGTCATTCATTTGTACTATTATGCATGCACAATCTTAATCCGAACTTGAGAGTTGTTCCAATACATGAGCTATATTGTTTGATTACAGGGTGTTACCTTTCCGTCAAATCACACACTCTGGGGGAAGTGGGCTCCGCCTGCCGAAAGATCTCGACTTATAACTTTTGTGTTTGCAGGTACTAAAAAGAAGGCGCATTTTTAAAACCTTCACTAACTCATTTCTTTCTAGGACAATACGTAGGCAATATCCTCTCGTTCCCTCTTACTGCCCTTCTCTGTAAATATGGATTCGCTGGTGGATGGCCCTCAGCCTTCTACTTATGTGGTATGCACATCTCACACTCTGTTGTAGTAAGTTTTATGTTCCTTATATAGGTATTATGGGTGTCATCTGGTTCTTTTTCTGGCTGTTTCTAGCATTTGATAGTCCCTCTAGTCATCCGAGGATAACTTCGGCTGAGAGAAGATACATAGAAAATGCCATTACTGAAATTGATAACAAAAATATTGTAAAAGTAAAGATAGAATTGCTGCCAATTCGATTCCCTTGTAACAATTGCTGTTACTCTCACGTTAATATTAGATTGTTGTAATTAGTTTTGTTATGTTTTCACACGTATTGTATCGTCCTTTTTTATATTCAGGTTCCTACTCCATGGTTTGACATATTGACATCGCCAGCAGTATGGGGTACTATTGTAGTCCAATTCAGTAGTAACTATGGGTTTTATGTTCTCTTGACAACAATGCCTACATATTTCAAACAGGCAGTTGGATTTGACATTAAAAAGGTTCGTATAATACAACTAAATTGAACTAATGTTCATTTCTTTACACTGATAGTTAATTACTGCTTTTTGTTACGTATAATACTTCTCATTGTCTAGGATTTAGTTATGAATGGAGTGTTCTCAGCTATCCCTTACTTCTTTGACACTATTGTTGTTTTTGTTGCCGGAGCAGCTGCAGATCTTATAAAGGATAGGTTTCTTTCTGTCACTAACACACGAAAACTTTTCAGCTGTTCATGTAGGCGTATAGCTATGTATTGCCCCTACTTCTTTTTTTGCTTTATAGTTTAAAAAAAACAGCATCTAAGGAGAATACACAAATATATATATATATATATAATGTAATGAAAAACAGCTTTCTGTTATATATTATTTACATTTGTGTCTTCTCTTTAAATGTTGTTGTTACTTATTCTTTCACTTTCATGTTATTTTTCTCCCCCTCAGCTCTCGTACTGCAAGCACTCTTCATTGTACTCTGTGCGTACTTTGGTACGACGAAACTCTTAGCACTTCTCCTGTTAACACTGACAGTCTCTGTAGGAGGAATGCAGCTAGCAGGCCACTCCGTTGCAATGCTAGAGATGGCACCCCGATATGCAGGGATCATTATGGGGCTGTGCAACACTGCAGGGACTCTACCTGGAATCATTGGACCATTAATAACTAAACTAATAGCTCATGCAGTACGTTATGACTGGAAATTTGCACCTTTTTAGATACTCGTTTACAGCTTGCATCTTTATGCCTATAGCTTACACAAGCTGTTGAAAACAAAATGGAGCTATTTTTATATCTGTCAGAGATTTGGCCAATTGTTCAAATTTGTGCGTTGTTGATTTTTATAGCCAAACCTCACAATGTGGTTACAAATGCAGACCTTTATTTAATGATTGAATAGCTTAATGCATTGTTGTAGCATGTTTAAGGTCAAGCCTCATTTGTATGGTAATGTAAACTGACCTTTATCTCAAGCTTTATTAATTTCATAGAATGATTCTGATACTGAAGTACTCATTGAAGAATGGCGCAATGTTTTCATCATTGCAGCTGAAGTCTTTCTGTTTGGTGCTGCCATTTTTGCTATCCTTGGCGATGCCAGAAAGCAAAGCTGGTCAAACGGGCCAAGAATAAGAGGAAGGACTCCAGTGTTACTGCATGACTCAACCGCTCAGTAGGAAGAATTTTATTACATATTCAAGAATATCTTTTATTATTTTTGTTTCACAGCTTAATATTTATTATTTGTTTTCTATTGCATTTTTCTTAAATTATTTCATATTACAGCAACATGTCACTGTCATCAAAAGAATTCAGTTATAATAGAAATAATAATAATAATAATAATAATAATAATAATAATAATAATAATAATAATAAAGAGACAGCAGGTGCCTTAAAAGCATTATTATAAAACTATAAAAATAATAATAGTCATGGCTTAGCTATCTTGAACCGCTTCCAAGTAATGAGCCATTCTTTTCCTGGATAGTTGTCTTTTGTTCCTGACTAACAATCAGTCCATCCTTTGTCTCTTTCTGAGCTCTTTTCACTCCATCTGCCCACCATTGCTTTGTGCCTTCAGCCAATATCAAGTAGACTGCAGCACCAAAGAGATACACTTCAGCTGCTATGATAAAAACTTCCCTCCATTCGGCTTGATAAATGTGTCTCTCATCAGAACCTTCAGGTGGCTTTTAATGTAAAATGCAAATAAATGTAAGTATTATAGTAGCAAAAATATGACACAAATGCATGGATATTAGTAACGCGGTAGCGTTACTAAGTAGGATTCACCCCCAAACATAGCTCTATATAATAGGGTCATTAATTTTTGATGTAAATAAATTATACCACCCTAATTTACTAACTAACCTTCTGTGCAATGTATTTAGCAACAGTAGGGGCCACAATGCCAGGGATGGTGGCTGCACAGTTAGTGATCCCCATCAAAACACCAGCAAACCTTGGAGCAATGTCAATATGATTGATATTGAATCCTGCGTTTGCCAGACCCACTCCGGTCACAGATATGGTGAGGAATATAACAGAGTCTAGTTTCTTTTTACCAAAATATCCGGTAACTAGAAGGCCAGCCGCACCAAAGACAAATGCTACACAGACAGAAAGAACAATAGAGTAGGTTTCTCCCAATAGTGAATTGTACCAATAAGTGTTATGCCTTTTCGAACGTTTTTTGTTGAGATCCATTTCTTTCTCAGAAAGTCTGCAACTTGCCCAGCAATTATAGTCGATACAACAAACCCGACATATGGGATGCCAGAAAATATCCCATTTTCGATAAGATTCTAAAAAATTAATTTTAGTAATAATAATCTTGATACATCATTTTGTCCTCTCTTTACTTGTCCAAATGATAGTCCCAGAGCATCATGAAAGTAAGATGGTATGCATGTTAGCATAATGTAGTTGCCCCAATTGACGCTTACATGGGCCACTATTATAGCCCACACTGCCGGAGATGTTAATATCTGCAGCCAAGGAACAGGGACCTATCATTGAACAAAAAGGCTAAAGTAGAGAGACTAATCTTTTCGACTGTTACTTATTATTAATTATATGTTACTTATTATTACCTTTTCTAATCCTACATTAGCATTATTAGAGATATTAATCTTTTATATTATTATTTATTATTATTATTTTTGATGCATTGTTTTTATAGGGACAATGGTAATAAAGGGAAGAGAGAGAGAAAAGAAGGTATTGATAAATTATTTGGCAGTACCTTTTCTGATCCTACATTAACATCAGCAATCCCGCCCTCAATGTATTCTTTTTCCCGCTCTGAAATGCGAGGGTGTTTAGCAGGAGTATCGAAAATAAGCAACAACCAGAAAATATACCAAATAATACCTAAAATACCTATGAATAAAAAAAAATTGATTTTCAAAGCCATTTTATTTTATGCTCTACCAAATGTATAAAAGACTGAAGGCCAGCCTCCAGCGAACCCGTACACACAGAGAACTGCAGACAGTGGGAAAGAGATGACATTACCAAAAAACGGACCTGTAGGAAACCCAAACAAAAATTTTGCAACAAATCGTCAAAGGATCACAAAATCTATTTTCATAGAACATACCTGCATAAGTAATTGTGGTTAGTATGCTCCTTTCAGCAGGAGGTGCCCACTTGCCCCACATTGCATGCATTGCTGGAAACGTTACGCCCTAAAATGTTATATAAACATAATGATAGTGAAATATTATTCTTTTGGCCAAGGCTACTACTACAAGTATATTATAAGGTTTCTTTAGGTGGAAAGATATTCCTAGGTTCTAAACCTCATCCTACACTATTGTTATATGGTGTATGAGTCATTAGCAAATGCTCTATCTCTTGCTTTCTCTCTCAGTTTTCACCTCAAAGAATCCTTCTAATACTCTAAGGGCAATGAGCGCTCCAAAGTGTATCCTAGCAGCCAGTGGAGTCAGGAGAGAGAGGGCAGCAGTAATCACTATACCAAGTCCCAGAACAAGCTTTCCTCCAATCACACCAGCAAGAAACCCGCCTGGTATCTGGGTGATGATGTAGCCATAGAAAAATGCCGAGAGTATCCAACCTGCACAATGAAATAGTCATAAAACTTTGGTATATCTTTGAAAAGATAAGAGGAAAGGTTCATAGGACTTAGGCTGACCTTGCTGAGTTGAAGTCCAATTAAAATGCTAGATATCAAACACAAAATCCATTAAAATTGATTGCATATTATAATTAGCACAGCTACTTACATCATGATCTGTTTCATTGGACGAATTACCGACCATTGCCACTATAGCCATGGAGAGATTTACTCTCAGAGCATACACTATTACAAAACCAAAGAAGCTCATTACGGCGAGGATGTAGCGAGCAGGCAGACAGGGACAGCAGTCTTGATGCCATAGCATCTTGGCAGCCTCCCAGTGGCTCAGCTCTTCCTTTTCCGGTGAAGCACTGATGCATCTTTCTTTTAAAAGAGCCTCTTTCTCACTTTTAGCCATTTAAAAGGTGTGGCTAATTAATTAATTGTGCGGCTCAGCTTAAACAATGGACTCCTTGTGCGCATGCGCAGCCACGTGCTCTCACGTGTGCAAAGTGGGCAAGTGCTACCTGCCCACAATTAAAAATGAGCTCCAAAGAGAGCGAGGAGAAGTCCAAAGGCTCAAAGAAGGATCCAAAAACTCAACCACAGCGTCAGAAAGGAGGCAAGGATGGAGGAGGCAGTGCTGAAGGGTCTGGAGCGTCGGCCAAAGAAGCAAAAGAAGCTAAGAAGAAGTTAAAAGCTGAGAGAAGAGTGAGCAGTTTATTAATTAAATATACATACATACTCTTTGTTATAATAAATGCAGGCTCAGAAGAAATTAGAAACTGGGAGTGTGGGCAGTGTTCCTTCAAAAACAAGTCAGACTGGCCCCGTCGGTAAAACCGGTCAAACGGGTTTGACTGGTAAGACAGTAAGTGGAGGTGTTAGTTGTAGCGAGAGTAAGAAAGACATTGGAGGCAGTTATAATATTGAACAGGTTAAGAGTACGGCTAGAGCTGTTCACTTGTTAAAAGAAAAAGTAAGGGAATTTCCCCAATTGAACTGAATTAACTCTTTTTACTCAATCGGTCTTGCTTCTCTCACTCTCTTCCTTTCTCTCTTCCAGAGTATATCACATTCAGAAGATGGCAGACAGGTTCCATTGTTCTCTCATCTTCATCAGTACGAGAGGAGAAGTGATTTCACTACATCACTGAGGTACCTATTTATTTTGACCTTTTCTTTATTTTTAATACAGTTTTTGATCAGGGTTTCCCAAAGGATCTTGAATTGTTCTAAAATCAGACCAAAGGGCCATAGTACATGATGGTCTTTTGTCAAATTTTATCAAAAATGGCAAAGAGAGAATTCTTTCTTTTTATATTTTTTCTAATACATATGCATGCACTTATGTTGTGTAGAAAGTTTGAGCTGATTCCGATCAAGTTTGGATTTTTTACGAATTTTTAAAGTTGCTCTAAAATCAGGCAAAAGTCCCTGTACTATAGTATAGGGATTTCAGCCAAATTTTACTAAAAATGGGTAGATGCAAATTCTCCACTTTTATAATTTTTCCTGATACATATACATGGCTTATATTACATAGAAAGTTTGAGCTGATTCTGATCAAGTTTGGATTTTTTACGAATTTTTAAAGTTGCTCTAAAATCAGGCAAAAGTCCCTGTACTATAGTACAGGGATTTCGGCCAAATTTCACTAAAAATAGGTAGATGCAAACTCTCCATTTTAATCATTTTTCCTGATACATATACATGGTCTTATGTTACATAGAAAGTTTGAGCTGATTCCGATCAAGTTTGAATTTTTTTACAAATTTTAAAATTTGCTTTATATGTATAAAGCATGCTTTTTAGTTCATTTAGCATTATACTTTCTGGGAAACCCTGCTTCAAATCCAGGCAAGGGGTAATACGTAATAGTGAAATTGATTTCACTTGATAAAAAGCCAAAATTAATTTTTAAGTACTACCTTTTTCTTTTCTTTTTTTACTCACACACACACTCAGTCCTAATCTCATTCCGCCTTCAGTAGTAAGACTAGCTGTGCTATATTCTCAGGGTATCATTTGTGGTTCTAATGCACGCTGTATTGCAATGCTGGGAGCATTCAAAAAGGTTAGAATACCAACCCAGCATCCCATAATTACAAAGAGACAATCATAGGTCATAAAAGAGTACACGACGCCACCACAGAAAATACTTTCAAGAGATCTCGAGGTTACACTGAAACCGTACATCAGGTTAGAATGAGAATCCGAAAGTCAATGTACATATATACTATGCACATGTAGTACATTTATTTATGTATACCGTATAGCGCAAAATTTTTGAGGGCTATAAATTTTGTGGATTTCACAATTTTTTGGAAGATTTGCAAAAATTACTTCCACGAAATAGATTTTTAGGCAAATTTGCTAAATGTACTGCCCTTGAAAATTTTGTGTTATACTGTATCACTATATTATGTACTTCTTCTCTAGTTTTCTTATATCAAGTCGTCCTCTGTCAGTCAGTATGGGTAATGCCATAAAATGGCTCAAACTCAAAATCACTAAAATACAACCAAACACACCAGAGAATGAGGTGCATTAATTAGAATGACATAAGTATTGAATTAATTATTAGTATTTATAAATTTTAATTATGAGTACCATATGCTGGCTTATTTTCGTGGTAGAAATTTTTTCACGAATCTTGCATTTCTAAGATTTTGTGTAATTAATTTTCGCGAATAGCTTGCAGACTGCACCATGTGGCAATGGAGATGAAGAGTTTTGCAGTGGAAAATTTTTACGACGAAGCAAAAAATGCAAAAATTTGTGAAATATTTCACTGTGAAAATAAACCAGTATACAGTGTTATAAATAGGAATTTTTTCACATTATAGGCAAAGCAAGAGTTGTGTAAAGATATTGATGAATATTTACAGCATCGTGTGTCGCTAGCCGACGAAGTAATCTCCGCCTCTTGTTGTAAGATAATCAAAGACCACGACGTCATTCTTGTCTATGCACAGTGAGTTTAAGGGGCGTGGCACTGACACGCCCACTCTCAGTTCTTCTATAGTTGTAAAGTCCCTCATTGATGCTCACAATAAAGGATTGAAGTTCAGAGTCATTGTGGTGGACTCAAGACCTAAGCTAGAAGGTAAAAGTAAAAACAAACTAAAATTTAAAGACGCAGTGTTCCCAGAGTTTCCTAAAAGCATAAAAAGACATGCTTTGTGACTTGTGAGCTAACTAGCCTTGTAATATAGCATATAGCTTGTGGAGCTATTTTGGAAATTCGTATAAAATTCAATTTCAATCAGAATGAGCTCAAACTTTCTATACAATATAAGAACATGTATATGTATCAGAAAAAATTATAAAAATGAAGAATTCTCTCCTAGTGATTTTTGGCGAAATTTGGCCAAAGTCCCTGTACTATAGTACAGGGTCTTTGGCCCGATTTTGGAGCAACTTTTAAAATTTGTAAAAAATCCAAATTTGATCAGAACCAACTCAAACTTTCTAGACAACATAAGAACATCTATATGTATCAGAAAAAAATTATAAAAATGAAGAATTCTCTCCTAGTGATTTTTGGCAAAATTTGACCTACAATGTAAGTCCCTGTACTAGGGTGTTTGGCCAGATTTTTGAGCAACATTGTACTAATGAGAAGCTGAACACTATTCTGTTGGAAACCTGGTGTTACATGTACCTCTTATTCAATGGCTTGTTTTCTTGTTAAATTGTTATTGGTTTATTGACATGTCATGATAGCAATGATACTGTTGTGTGCTCTTGTTTCCTCCTACAGGACAACAAACTCTTCGTAGGTTAGTAAAGGAAGGGATTCCTTGCTCTTACATATTCTTTAATGCTGTATCATACATCATGAAAGAGGTAGAGACACATTGTACATATAAGAATGAAAGAGGAGCAAAGAGAGAGAGAGAGGGGGGGAATGCCAAAAGAATAATAAGATTGAAACAATAAACTCATCCTTAGTTACTATTACTATTACTGGCAGGTGTCCAAGGTCTTGCTAGGGGCCCATTCATTACTGGCCAATGGTTATGTTATGTCAAGGATTGGTACTGCCACTATCTCTCTCGTTGCCAAGTCATACAATGTCCCTGTACTCGTTTGCTGTGAGACGTACAAGTTCTCTGAGAGAGTACAGGCTGATGCCTTTGTCAGTAACGAACTGGGTAAGGTTCTCTTATTAAACTATTGCTTTTCTTGTTAGCTGCTGTGCTATCTGGAATGATAAATCATGTGCAGAGTCTGTTGATTTTTTTTAGTAGATTTTCTGATACATTCGTTACTTTATTAATACACTTATGCCATGTAGAAAGTTGGAATTACAAATTTCAACTAAATGTAAGGCTATCTGTGTGTGCACATGGACGTATATCTTGTTCAACCTACTATAAAACATTGTATTGTATGATTAATGATTATTTTTAGGTGATCCCAATGATCTTGTTCCTATTAATCGTCGTCAAGGTAACCTTTTGTCCAACTGGAAGGACCTCCCTTCATTGAATCTTCTCAATCTCACGTACGACGTCACCTCTCCCGATCTGGTTGCCATGGTAATAACGGAGGAGGGGAACCTCCCCTGTACCTCTGTGCCCGTCATTCTCAGACTCTCTCAAATGAATATTACTTAGTAATAACACTTTATCGAATCGCAGAGCAAATAATAATTCTACAATACAAATAATAATTTTGCAACAGAAAACTCTCACAGAGAGTTGAGTTAATTTATGAAACATAAAAAATAAGTTTATAATTTATATTTGGAGTTAGCATAATGCATAAATTATTACTGCAGCAGTTATTATTAGTACTATAGTCATAGAACATAAGAAAATTAGAAAATAAACAGCAATAATTGCCTATAAGATATGTTCTTGTACGTACTACACTTCAATAATTAAACTAAGCAAAAAACGACATGCCCAAGAGGTCTAAAACCATCCAAAAACTTGACATGTAGCCTGTCATTAAGATCCGAAGGCAGCATGTAAGAATCCTTGTAACGGTCAATTAGGTAATTCAAACGCTCATGAAAGCTCTCCTTAAGGAACATGAACTCTGTTGGTATTGCCATGTTCACAGACCCTCCAATGAAATCAATGCTCCTTTGAAGTGTATATGAGATACGCTTAAGAGCATCCTGGTGCTCTTTGAGGTTAGCCATTTTTGTTTCATAAATCTGGCATGTCTGAGCGGTCATTTCTTCTTTCTGTTGCTCCAGAGTGCCAATAAGTCCGCCGTAATAATCTGAAATTTCATGAAGCACCTTATCTTTTTTGGGGGGTAAGGATGCTATCGTTGTCTCAATCTCCTTCATTGCATTTTCAATTTTATTATGTATGTCATTAACTTGATCAATGAGCTCTGTCATAATTGCTATTTCTTTATCCATAACATCCATGGCCAGCTCAATCTTTGCACACTCGCGATGACCACTAGATACACCAGCACATTCACGGCATATTACTTGCTTATGCTCATAGCAATAACGATCAACAGGATGATCTAGGTGATTATCGCAAGGCCAGTTGTGTCGAATGAAATTTTTCCATGTTGGAAAATGGTTTTGTCCTTTACTTCTGTCTTCAGGATTTGGGTCTACAATGCGATGTTCTTTTATTTCGGAATTTTTCAAATGATGTATTAAACAATCAGAGCAGAGTGGAAGGTTGGCACATTTATAATTGTTACAAACAGCAACTGCAACTTCTCCATCATTACAGCTCTTGCAGAGGATCTTACCAGCTGGTAATTCATTCTTGAGTTGTACGTCCTTTACCATGTTGTCAAGGAATTTATTTGAAGGTGGGATGGGATCAATGGCACCACCATCTCCATTAAAACTTATTCCAGTGGGACACTGACAGCCTTGAGGACAGTCAAAGGTGTTGCTCAAAGGCTCAGAGTATTCATTAGTTGATCCTTCAGTGGAGGAAGGAGTGAGACTGCATGAGAAATTCTGGTTTGGATCCTCCTCCTCTGTTTGCCCACTTTCCTCCCTTTCTCTTGCTTCTCTCTCGCGCTCTATCTCATCTTCCTCTCTCTGTTTCCTCGCCTCCTTTTCAAGACATTCTCTGCAGTAGCTGTCCAGACAAGGTAGTGTCCTAGGATCATCATAGTACTTGCCACAGGAGGGACAGTGCAAGTGATCACGAGCGAAGCTGTCTATGTCGAATCCGCCACTAGGAGCAGGGTCAAGACGGTGTCCAGTTTCTGAATCTTCTCTTGTGGCCATTGTATACTGAAAGTGAAAGATCAAGCAAGCAGCACCTTAGTAATTCAAGCCTGACCACCACGTGATGATAGACCATAGACCAATAATAATTATTTATTTAAAAAGTAATTGTAAAAAATAGAATAATAGATTCTACTACTGAGAGCTACTTATCATAAAAGAATACAAAATGATAATTTTTGCAACAGAAAAACTCTCACAGAGAGTCGAAAGAAAAATAAAGTTTAGGATACCTGGATCTAATACAAATTAGTTACTAAACAATTAAGCTATACCCAGTTAGCATAATCATAAATATTATACACTACATTACGTAGTCTATAACGGTTACGTAGTCTATAATATCTATGGCATAATGCATGCACACAGTTATTGTAACAGTTATTATTAGTACTATAGTCAAGACACTTCATGGAAAAAAACTTGCATTTTAAGGTTTAACATCAATATAGAAAGGGCATCCCCTCACAGGAATTCCCTCAAGAGGATCCTGGTGACGAAATACACTAATCATGTGCCTACCAGCTGTAAACGGGTGGAAATAAACTGTATAAACTCCTTCCTCGTTATTGAGTCGAACAAAGCATTCAACTGGTTCTAGGCTTGCAATAGAACAGATAGTTGCCTTAAGCATTGGCACATTACCAGCAACTTCTGTCCTGCATATATCACGACTCTGAATCTTAAATGAGTAAGCTCTTTGAGAACGGACTGGATTTGGGAAAGACTCCAGGGTATAGTTTTCAATAAATGGCGTTCCAACAACCTGCCCAAGAGTACCACCGTCTATGCTAAAAGTATCATTTAACTTGAGGTGTATCCTTTGGTTCACATCTGAAGGCAGCATGTAAGAGTTCTTGTAACGATCAATTAGGTAATTTAAACCCTCATGAAAGCTCTCCTTAAGGAACATGAACTCTGTTGGTATTGCCATGTTCACAGACCCTCCAATGAAATCAACGCTCCTTTGAAATGTATCCGAGATACGCTTAAGAGCATCCTGGTGATCTTTGAGGTTGTCCCATTTCCTCTTGTATACGTGGTATGTTTTATTGATGAGATCTCTTCTCTGCTGCCTTAGGCTGTCAACTAGCTTCTTGTACTGCTCATCAATTGCACGGTATGCCCATTTCTTATTCTTCCTCAGCTCTTTCTTCATCGTGTCAATATCCTTGATGGAATATTTTATTTTATCGTGCAAAGAATTAACTCTGTCAAGCAATTCAGCAATGGCAGGCTCTTCATCCTTCATACAATCTTGGCTCAGTAGAGTAAAGTTATTGCAGTCAGGGGTACACTCTCGCTGAGGGCACAAATGACAATCCCTGCATATGACCACTTTATGTTTATAGCAATATCGATCAACAACTTCGTCGGGGTGGAACTCGCAACGCCAGCCATTTCGCAAATTTCGCTTTTTACCATTTTTGTTGTTTCCCTCACCACCTTTGTTGACACAGATTAATAAATGTGATTCTGGCTCTGACGTGGTCAAATGACTACCCACACACTCAGAACAGAGAGGGAGATTGGCACACTTTGGATTACTACAGGCAGCAATTGCAGGTTTTTCCTTATCGCATCCGCCACAGAGAATTTCCCCGGCTTTCAAACCTTCGTGCAATTGAACACCTTGTACCATGTTCTTGAGGGATTTGTTTGATGGTGGGATTCCACTAATACTACCATCTTGAGGATCAAACTTTATGCCAGTATAACGCCTACAGCCTTGAGGACAATGGAAGTCGTTAGATCTACTGACAGGATCAAAATCATCATTTCTAGCTGAGCGCTGAGACATAGTTGAACCTGTAGTGCTGGACGGGCAGGGGCTGAGATCAAATGTTCTAAGAGCCTCGTTGTATTCTTTGTCCGAGTCTTCACTCTCTCGGTTTTCCTCTCCTTCCCTTTCACGCTCTCTCTCCGCTTCCTCCATCTGCTCTCTTGTCTTCTCTTCAAGACATTCTCTACAGTAGCTGTCCAGACAAGGTAGTGTCCTAGGATCATCATAGTACTTGCCACAGGAGGGGCAGTGCAAGTGATCACGAGTGAAGCTGTCTATGTCGAATCCACCACTAGCAAAAGGAGAAGGAGCGGCAGGTGCTGGGATATCCTCATTCTCTACTTCCTCCTCCTCTTGGTCGTTTACAAGTAGATCTACTGGTGGAGGAAGAAGAGCAGGAGAGAGACGTAAAGGCTGCTCATCTGCTGCCATTGTGTACTTTATTTATGGGCTGTCACAACACAATTCACAAAAGATCAATAATCGTTCATTAATTAATTAATAGATTCATAATTATTATTCATAGCTATTGTTTATTGTTGAAACTAAAAATTCTTAGTTCTGATATGGTTTCCATTATTTTTCTTTTGCATTTTTTTAATTTGCTACACATACATTTACAGGCACTTCCAGTCGTATTGCAGTGTGAATTGGCCTTACAATAGTATCCCCCAGTACCTCTGCACAGTGCACACACAAAATTTTTATGTATAAACATGAAATCATGATAGCTACAAAAGAATTACATTGAAAAGAGGATCTAGTAACAAGATAAAGAAAACTAACAAAAGTATAATGTAAATAAAATTTTACAGTCAACATCCTCTCTCAGTAGTCTTGCATAGCTGGCCAGACCCATCCCCCTTTTTGACAATTTGGACGGTTGTCAAAAAAGGGGATGGGTCTGGCTACGCAAGATCTAGACTACTCTCTCAGAGAGTAAACATCTAAATACTTATCATAGCATAGATATCAGATGCCAAATGCAGCGTGGTATACTGTAGATGTTATCAGGACAGAAGTTACACATAATACATTGAGTACTTACATGTAAGTTTATGCAGTACATTCACAGTCAGCGCCTTACATCAATATAAAACGGGCATCCTTTAACAAAAAATCATCAAGAGGGCGAGTTTGAGGACGATACACATTAATTTTATGTCTGCCAGCTGTAAACGGATAAAAATAAACAGTGTAAACTCCTTCCTTGTTATTGAGTTTGACAAAGCATTGGATCGGATCCAGGCTTTCAACAGAACAGATAGTTGCCTCAAGCATTGGCACATTACCAGCAACTTCTGTCCTGCATATATCACAACTCTGAATCTTAAATGAGTAAGCTCTTCGAGAACGGACTGGATTTGGGAAAGACTCAATGGTGTAGCTTTCAATAAATGGCATTCCAACAACCTGCCCAAGAGCACCCTTTAAACTAAAATCATCATTTAACTTGAGGTGTATCTTGTCATTTACATCTGAAGGCAGCATATCAGAATCCTTGTAACGGTCCTTGAGGTAATTCAAACGTTCATGAAAGCTCTCTTGAAGGAACATGAACTCTGTTGGTATTGCCATGTTCACAGACCCTCCAATGAAATCAATGCTCCTTTGAAGTGTATCTAAGATACGCTTAAGGGCATCCTGGTGCTCCACAAGATTGGCCATTTTTTTATCATGTATTTGTTCAGTTTCATTTGTAAGACTTTCTCTTTGCCTCTTCAGATCCTCAATGAGTTCCTCACAATGTTCATTAATTGTAGATATTGTCCAGTTTCTATTGCTGGTGAGGGATTTTTTCATCTCCTCGATTTCATTTATTGCTTTTTTAATTCTTGGTTGTACACCTTTAATTTCATCAAGTGCTTCATCATCAGTTGTTTTTTCTTGATCTAAAACATCTTCAGTTAGTTCCACATTCCCACAGCCTCGATGGCCTTTATTATCATCACCAAGAATTGAGCAGTTGAGGCATATCACCTGTTTATGTTTATAACAATAACGATCAACAGGATCATTAGGATGAAAATCACATAACCAGTTGCGGCGTTCAAAATCTTTCCATGATAGCGGCAGGTTTCCTTCCCCTTCATCTCCACTCCCATTGCTATTTCCTTTTGCTCCTATTGTCTCGGGATATATTATATTATGCCTTTTTGTTTTTGTTGCTCTCTTATGATGCCTTAAACATTCAGAGCAGAGTGGAAGGTTGGCACATTCAAGATTGTTACAAATAGCAACTGCAACGTCTCCATCGCAATCCCCACAGAGAACCTTACCAGCTGGTACTTCATTCTTGAGTCGTAAACCCTTTACTATTTTGTCAAGGAATTTATTTGCTGGTGGCATGGGATTGATGCCACCATCTACATCAAACTTTATTACAGTGTCTTCAGGCCACTGGCAACCTTGAGGACAGTCAAAGTTGTCAATATTACTCAAAGGGTCGATGGAGTCTGCAGGAATCACTTTGCAGCTACGGAGAGTTTCCAAGTAACTTTCGTCCGGATCCTGAGGCTGTTCCTCGAACTCTTCTCCTGCCTGTCCATTTTCCTCCCTTTCCCTCTGCTTTTCCTCGGCTTTTCCTCCCTTTCCATTTCTCTCCGCTGCTTTTTCTCTTTCTGTTCTCTTGCCTCCTTTTCAAGACATTCTCTACAGTAGGTGTGGAGACAAGGCAGTGTCCTAGAATCATCATAGTACTCAAGTTGCCACAGGAGGGACAGTGCAGGTGATCACGAGTGAAGCTGTCTGTGTCGAATCCACCGCTAGCAAAAGAAGAAGGAGCATGTGCTGGGATATCCTCGTTATCTTCCTCCTCTTGATCGTTTACAAGTAGATCTACTGGTGGAGGAAGAAGAGCAGGAGAGAGACGTAAAGGCTGTTCATCTGCTTCCATTGTGTACTTTATAGACTAGTTTATGGGCTGTCACAAGTTCACAACACAATTCACAAAAGATCAATAATCGTTCATTAATTAATTGAATATTATTATTATTCATAGCTATTGTTTGTTGTTGAAACTAAAAATTTTCAGTTCTGATATGGTTTCTATTATTTTTCTTTTGCATTTTTCTAATCTGCTACACATACATTACAGGCACTTCCAGTCGTATTGCAGTGTGAATGGCCTTACAGCAGTATTCCCAGTAGATCTCTGCACACATGAAATTCTTAATAATATTTATTTTATAAACATGAAATCACAATAACTACAAAAGAAACACATTTAAAAGAGAATCTAGTAACTTTCATGCAGATATAATAAGATAAATAAAACTAACAAAAGTATAATGTAAATAAAATTTTACAGTCAACATCCTCTCACACAAAGTAAACATCTAAATACTTGTAACAGCATAGATATACATATGCGTATAGATATTATTAGGACAGAAGGTACACAATACACTGAGTACTTACATGTAAGTTTATGCAGTAAAATCAGAGTCAACGCCTTACATCAATATAAAATGGGCATCCTTTAACAAAAAGAGGTTGGGTTTGAGGACAATACACATTAACTTTATGTCTACCAGCTCTCAACGGATAAAAATAAACCGTATAAACTCCTTCCTCATCATTGAGTTTGACAAAGCATTGGATCGGATCCAGGCTTTCAACAGAACAGATAGTTGCCTCAAGCATTGGCAAATTACCAGCAACTTTTGTCCCACATATATCACGACTCTGAATCTTAAATGAATAAGACTTTTGAGCATAGACTGGATTTGGGAAAGACTCCACAGTGTAGTTTTCAATAAATGGTGCTCCAAAGACATACCCAAGAGCACCGTCCGCACCAATACCATCATTCAACTTGAGGTGTATTCTATCATTTACGTCTGAAGGCAGCATGTGAGAGTTCTTGTAGCGTTCCTTGAGATAATTCAAACGCTCATGAAAGCTCTCCCTAAGGAACATGAACTCTGTTGGTATTGCCATGTTCACAGACCCTCCAATGAAATCAATGCTCCTTTGAAGTATATCTGAGATACGCTTAAGAACATCCTGGTGCTCCACGAGATATGCCATTATTTTATCATGTAAATGCTTCGTTTGATTTATAAGACTTTCTCTTTGACTCTCTACATCTGCAATGAGTTCCTCACAATGTTCATTAATTGTAGATATTGTCCAGTTTTTATTGCTGGTAAGGGATTTTTTCATGATTTCAATTTCATTTATTGCTTTTATAATTCTTGCTTGTACACCTTTAATTTCACCAAGTGCTTCAGCAACAGCTGTTCTTTCTTCATCTACAACATCTCTAATTAGTTTCACTCTTGGACAGTTACGATGGCCTTTATTATCATCACTAAGATCTGCACATTCAAGGCATATCACCTGTTTATGTTCATAGCAATAACGATCGACAGGATGAGTAGGATGAAAATCACATAACCAGCTGTGGCGTTCAAAATCTTTCCATGATGGTGGCAGGCTTCCTTCCCCTCCATCTCCGCTTCCATTGCTATTTCCCTTTGCTCCTATTGTCTCAGGATATATTATATTATGCCTTTTTGTTTTTGTTGTTTTCTTATGATACCTTAAACAATCAGAGCAGAGTGGAAGGTTAGCACATTCATAATTGTTACAAACAGCAACTGCAACGTTTCCATCACAAACCCCACAGAGAACCTTACCAGCTGGTACTTTATTCTTGAGTTGTACGTCCTTTACCATGTTGCCAAGGAATTTATTTGAAGGTGGGATGGGATCAATGTCACCATCTCTATCAAAACTTATTCCAGTGGGACACTGACAGCCTTGAGGACAGTCAAAGGTGTTGCTCAAAGGCTCAGAGTATTCATTAGTTGATCCTTTGGTGGAAACAGGAGTGAGGTTGTAAGAGTTACGGAGAGTTTCTAAGTAACTTTCATCCAAATCATGCGGCTCCTCCTCTGTCTGCCCACTTTCCTCCCTTTCTCTTGCTTCCCTCTCCCGCTCTCTCTCCTTTTCCTCTCTCTGTTTCCTCGCCTCCTTTTCAAGACATTCTCTACAATAGCTGTCCAGACAAGGTAGTGTCCTAGGATCATCATAGTACTTGCCACAGGAGGGACAGTGCAAGTGGTCATGAGTGAAGCTGTCTATGTCGAATCCACTACTAGCAAGAATAGAAACAGTCTCTTTATCTTTCAAATGATCTATTCAAATATCAACAATCAAATGATGACACACATCATCAATAAAACCTTTAATATCTTTTATAATCTTCTTAGTGTGTTCTCTTTTAGTAATTAGTTCCATATTCATTAATCTTATTCTTTCTTGTAATTCCTCTATTATTTTTTAATCATCTACTAATGGCTGATAGTCTGGCCTTGTCATTGCTTTAAGATGACATTTGCAGTCATCAATTTCAAAGGACATTCCTCTTCTCACTTTGCTAGCAGCTTTAATAAATTATATAATTATTAGTATAATTAATAAAACTACTCTAACCGGAATCAGTATTACTAGAAAGTGATCTCAAATACTCATTCTTCATTTTTGATAGTTTGTTTGATGATTCTTCATTTTCTTTTTGTATCTCATTAAACTGAGACCTCAATACAGTCAACTCTTCATAAAGTGGTTCTTCCTGTAGTAATTGTTGCAATGCAACTACTTCCTAATTAGATAAGGTAGAAAAATCAGAAAATTGCTGAATATATCCAATTACATATACATGATGCATAAAATTATAGTTACCGTATAGCGGGTTTATTTTGAGGGTAACAAATTTCGCGGATTTTTGAAGATTCGCGAAATTAAATTTTTTTGAAAATCAATTTAATACAGTACAAGATGGCAGAAAAGTGGCAATTTGCAAAAATTAATTTCGTGAACCTCCGGATACAGGCCATTCGTGAAAATTATCATCCTTGAAATAAACCCACTATAATTATGGTATATTTAAAGAGGAATGATTAGATGTAAAGTACAGCATGAAATGGTAATTTCATACTATACAATGAATTGTACAGTCTGGTAGTATGACATACCTTCTCTTTGCTACTGATAGCATCTCTTAGTTTATATTCGGCTTCTTCAAGTATAATATAAGAAATAACCTGTACATATAATTAATACAAAACACGTTGTTAGTTTGTTACATTGTACAGGCACTATAATGTAACTAATAAAAGAATGATTATATTAACTGACCTCAGTACTTTGTAGTAAGCCTTGAACCTTTTCTTTTAGTTCCTATACAAAACAATATTCATAAAACAATATTCAATTATTATACCTCTTCTCTAACATCTTTTCTCCTCCATAATGTTAAGTTACCAATAGTCAGTTCCTTTAATCCTTGTCCCATTAGTATATGAATATTCTCTATCATCCTCAATACAGTAAACCCAACATCAGAAAAAGGAAAGGAGCAAGTGACACATATTGATTTGTGAGGCTCTATAAACTGAATCTTCAGCAGTTTACCGGACACTTTTGATAAAATGTCCTTGATATCCTGCAGCACATGTTCCTCAGGCTTCCAGTCAAAAATAAAAGTAACTGTTTCACATTGAAGATGAGAAACAGAGCCAAATCTTTTCTCCAGACAAAGACTAACTGATATTGATTTGTAGAATTCCTTTAACTCAGTTCTATATGTCTCAATGTGTTCCTTTGCTTCAGTGATCTCCATTTTTTCAACTACACTATGAAGAAGTGCAATGTCAGTCAGAGAACACTCGTCTTTAAAATGACGAATGATGCTAGAAATATCTGTACAATTCTCAATTTTTCTACTGAGGGAAGTGCTATAATAAGACAGGAACTCTTTGATGTCATCCACGTCCAATTTCCTCCTTAAAATTTTGCAAACATTATAAAACATTTTTGCATAGGACCCTCTTATTAGTTTAAAATTCTCCAGTAAATGTTTAGGAACAGGCACTTCAACTATAAGTTTTAATAATAATTATAATAATAGTATTAAATAAAATCAGTAATACCTTGAGAAGACTCGGATGATAATAGTTGTGAAGATGAATTAGTAACTTCAGTGTCAGCAGTACTACCTACAAAAGAAAAGGACAATAAGTATAAAACTATGAACCATTAATTTTGATGATATACATGTATAAATACCAGATTGTGTATCAGTTGGTATCTTGATTTCATTGGGAGTACTTGTATTATCTATAGATATTAATGAATGTATTATCAATTAAATGATTATTATTACCTTGTGAAAGTACATCATGATCTACTTCAGGAGTAAGAAAATACTTACCTAAAAGCATAATAATAAGAATACAAAGAATAGTATAATTAGGACACTACATTTATAGACTCCTATTTCCCACAACACATGACCTCATAATTGGATATATTTATTGACTATACACATAATTTATACTAACAATAGCAAGAGTCTCCTATTGTGCACTCTATGCCCCCTGCTTCATCACTGCGTAGTCACATTCTGTTTATTTCTGTATTTTTTTAGTAGTTATTTGAAAATAAATAGCAATAACTACTCAAAATAACTACTCAAAATAACTACTCAGATAAAATACGGAATAGCCAGAATTTGACTTTCCATTTCTACACGGTGATGAAGCAGACCATATAGCTGGTAGGACACTTTCCTCTATAATTATTATCTACTCTTGACAATACTGGCCACCCACATGCATCAGTGTAATGGGAAACTATGAACAATGAATTAATCAAAATTGCCTTGACAACAAAATAAAAGATGCTGCAGTGATTATGTTATCATACTCACTAATATCATCCAGTATAGTTTGTCCCAGTGATACATTAGTACTGATTGTACACAATACATTAGCAAATGTATGTAAACTGTTGGGATCAGTTTGAACAGCTTCTTTGACAGCAGTTAATAGAGCCTCACGTTGATTAGGAATAGAGGGACTAGCTGACACCACTCTACTAACTGCTTCTTGTGTTAACATACGTTCAGTATAAAGTAACCAAGCAATAGCAACAGAATCACAAAGAGACTGAGACAGAACAGTATAACGATTATTAAAAATATTAACAAGAACCTGTTGTTCTATGATAGAAAATACAATGATTATAGTTATATACACTTATGGTTGACCTCATGGTTGACTCACTCAATTTCTCAGCTACAGCAGTTTCATTCATTGATCGTAGAGCAGTTGACAGTGAGTCCAAGTTGGCTCCTCCTCTATTGTCAACACTATCAGCTCTACGTAGCCAATGGGAGAGGCACTCTGTCAAACATTGATTCACATCACCACGATACTTTGTTTCAATGGCTTCCAGTGTATCTTTTACTAAACCTAGTCTCAGTCCCAACTCCTGCCACTTTGTTCCTTGAAAGCTACATCTCTTCAATAAGTCAAAGACATCAATCAAGTCTCTGATATCTATCAGTGAAAATCAAAATGCCACTGAGATCATCTAATCTAGTCTACTATATGACTACCTAAACAAGTATGATTGGAGGCCATAGTTCCAGTAAGAGAGTTTCCCCAAGCAGGGGCGGATCCAGTATTTTGAAAATAGGGTGGTTGACTCACTTCAGAGTCATCATTCGACATGGGGCTCGCCCCAATTATTATAATCTTTCATTAATCGACACATAATAATTATTCATAGCTATTGTTTATTGTTGAACTAAAATTTTAGTTCTGATATGGTTTCCATTACTTTTTTTTGCATTTTTCTAATTTGCTACACATACATTTACAGGCACTTCCAGTCGTATTGCAGTGTGAATGGCCTTACAGCAGTATTCCCTGTACACACATAATTCTTCATAATATTTATTTTAACTCACAATAACTATACAAAAGAATTACATTTAAAAGAGGATCTAGTAACTTTCACGCAAATATAACAAGATAAATAAAACTAACAAAAGTAGACTATAATGTAAATAAAATTTTACAGTCAACATCCTCTCACAGAGAGTAAACATCTAAAATTACTTTAACAGCATAAATATACACATACCAACAGTGTGGTATAGATACTATCGGGGCAGAAAGTACAAAATACACAGAGTACTTAAATGTAAGTCTATACAGTAAAATCACAGTCAGCGCCTTACATCAATATAAAATGGGCATCCTTTAACAAAAAGATCATCAAGAGGGCGAGTTTGAGGACGATACACATTAACTTTATGTCTACCAGCTCTTAACGGATAAAAATAAACCATATAAACCCCTTCCTCGTCATTGAGTTTGACAAAGCATTGGATTGGATTCAGGCTTTCAACAGAACAGATAGTTGCCTCAAGCATTGGCACATTACCAGCAACTTCTGTCCTGCATATATCACGACTCTGAATCTTAAATGAGTAAGCTCTTCGAGAACGGACTGGATTTGGGAAAGACTCGAGAGTGTAGTTTTCAATAAATGGCGTTCCAACGACCTGCCCAAGAGCACCGTCCACACTAAAATCATCATTCAACTTGAGGTGTATATTTTCATTTACATCCGAAGGCAGCATATCAGAATCCTTGTAGCGTTCCTTGAGGTAATTCAAGCGCTCATGAAAGCTCTCCTTAAGGAACATGAACTCTGTTGGTATTGCCATGTTCACAGACCCTCCAATGAAATCAATGCTCTTTTGAAGTGTATCCGAGATACGCTTAAGGGCATCCTGATGCTCCTTGAGGTTAGCCATTTTTTTATTGTGTATTTCTTTGGTTTGATTAATAAGACGCTCCCTCTGTTCCTCTAGATCTGCAATGAGTTTATCACAATGCTCATTGATTGCTGTTATTGCAGCATCTTTATTGTCGGTGACAGATTCTTTCATGTTCTCAATTTTAATTATCGCCGTTTTAATCTTGTTATGTACCCCATGCACATCATTGATTACTCCAACAATGGCTGCTGTTTCTTTGTCTATACATTTTGTGGTAAGATGAATTTTTTTACAGGAGCGATGGCCTATTTCATGATTTTCATCATCTTCGCCATCATCATCATCACCAAGAGCTGCACATTCACAGCATATCACCTGCTTATGTTTATAGCAGTAACGATCGACAGGATGATTAGGGTGAAAATCACAGTTCCAGTTGTGCCGTGTAAAATTTTTCCAATCTCCAGCCCCATTGCTACCTCCTAGCGTCTCAGGATTTGGGCAGA